TTTGTCAGACTGAAAGTTCATTACAAACACAAAGCTCCCGCTGTCGCTGCAGCCAAGCTCCCTGGCCGGTGCCTCTGATGCTTCGTCCGCTGAGACGTCGGTGAGCGATGGGATTCGTGCGCACGTGTCTGCGCATGCTGATGCGCGAACAGAGCGGCGCACACACAGCGCAGGACTACTGCCGCGCGCGCATGACTGGGCCCCTGCAGCGCAGCACCATGCGCGCACGCGGCCGCCACCGCGCACCAGCACCGCGCCCCTCGCGACCTCGTCCGTGCGCTTGCTCGGTGCGGCCCACGACGTCAGGGGGGAGGTGGCTGCTGTCAGGGAGGGGGGTTGTCCTCGACTGGGCGTGCGAGCCGATGTGGGTGCCTCGCCGCGCCGGCCGCGCACAGTGGGGAGCGTCCAGCGTCACGGCCACGACGCAGACTCGCAACTCACCGACGTCACCGCACGCACGCGTCGGGCGGCAGCACCTGTCAAGCAGCGAGGAGCAGGGTCGACTCCGCGTGCGTTTGCGGGCGGGCAAAAGGTGTATCGGTGCACAGGTACGTGACATGTGTGTCGCTGGCAGTGCGGCTCTGCGTGTGTGCGTCCGGAACGCGCCTGAGTGTGGCACCGCTGGCGATGCAGCACAGCCTGGGTGCTTGCCGCGCTGCTGCGTGCGGGTGCCGCGTCCGAGGCGGATGTCAAGCATGGCGCTACGACGTTTAGTATCAGCAGAGCGTGGCTCGATGTCGGCCGCGCGTCGCTGCCGTCGGACGACGTTGGTTGACGGCCCACCTTCCAACCGCCTCCCTCGTTGTCTCCGTGGGCACGCAGAGGCAGGGCACGGGCGCGGGAACGCGGCAGGTTGAAGCTGTCGTAGTGCGATGGCGCCGCGCCGGCGCAGCGATGCGGGCGCGCCCCGCGGGCGCTCAAATCGCGCACGGCCCCTCCAGCATCACCTGGAGGACATTCAGTGCGGGCGGGACGGTCCCCTGGCCAGCGTCATCCGTGAGCTGCCGCGCAGGTCGCGCGTCGCGCTGGCGGCGACGTCGTCGGCGATGATGGCCGCTGTGCTGGAGAGCTGCGACGGCGCGAGGTGGTGGTCAGGGGACACACGCAGCCTTTCTGCGGAGCGGCGGGTGGGACGGACGGTGGCGCGGCGGCTGGAGGGGCGGGTGTCGGAGGGGACGAGGTCGCTGGTCGGGGGGGCGAAGGGGCGCGGGGGGTGGGTGGTGTATCACCGCGCAGGCAACGTCGGCGGGCGGTACGGATCCGCGGTGGTGCGCGTGGAGGCGGGAGATCGGCGTCTGCTGGAGTCCCTGGTCGGGACGCATGCCGGCCGGCGTGACCTAGCATCGCACCCGGTGGTGACAGCGGAGATGACGGGCCTGCGGTACCTGGATGTGGGATTCGAGGGGCTGGACATGGAGCGTGTGTGGGGGCGGGAGTGGCTGCCCGTGGGCGTGGCGGCGGGCATCACGGAGCTGAGGGTGGGCGGGACGAGGCTCGAGCGCGTGCCGGAGGGCATGGTCTCGCTCGAGGTCATGGATGTCAGCGATTGCGCACATCTGGACGATGACTCGTTCCTGCCGGCGTCGAGCGCGGGGCGGGTGCGGGTGCTGAAGGCCGACGGCAGCAGACTGCGCAGGGTGCCTGAGGGGATGTGCGCGCTGGAGGAGCTCAGTGTGTGCGAGTGCAGGCGCCTGGCCGAGGCGTGCCTGCCGGCGTCATCTGCGGCGGGGCTGCGCGTGCTGCACGCAGAGGGCAGCGAACTGCGCAGGCTGCCCGCGGGCATGCGGGCGCTGCGGGGGCTCCACGTGGGCGGGTGCACGTTTCTGCAGCCCGAGCTTGCGCTGACGGGCGCCGTCGAGCTGCGGGTGCTGAACGCTTTCGGCACGAGGATGCGGGTGGTGCCGGAGGGGCTGACGGCGCTGGAGGAGCTCGACGTGAGAAACTGCGGCTCGCTGGACGTCGGCTCGCTGCGCAACGCTCCCACGGTGCGCGTGCTCAAGGTGAACAACGTCCAGCTGTGGAGGGTGCCTGTGCCGGAGGAGCTGACGGCGCTGGAGGAGCTGGACCTGTATGAATTCCCGGGAGAAATCACGGAGGGCTTCTTGCCGGCATCGATCTCTGCGAGGCTGCGTGGGCTGAGTGTCCGTGGGTGCCCTAGAATCACGAGGGTGCCGGAGGGGCTGACTGCGCTGGAGGAGCTCGACGTGAGTTGGTGCGAGCAGCTGGACGGCGAGGCGTTCCTGCCCGCGTCGTATGCTGCGAGGCTGCGGGTGCTGAGTGCCACACGCAGCAACGTGCGGAAGCTGCCGAGGGGCATGGACGCGCTGCAGGAGCTGAACGTGGGCGCTTGCGAAGAGCTGGACTGGGAGGACGCGGCGGAGGTGCTGGGCGGCGCTGCGAGGCTGCGGGTGCTGAATGCATACAGTACCGACATGCGGAGCCTGCCGGAGGGACTGCACGCGCTGGAGGAGCTGTACGTTGATCGGTGCGAGAGTCTGACGGGGACGCTGGAGCAGAGCGTCGCGGACCGTCTGCGTCGGTGGAACGTCCAGGGGAGCGGGCTGGTGCTGCCAGAGGGGATGCAAGAGATGCATTACGAGTGAGGTGCTTGCGGTTCTGCTCTACGATGCCGCCGGCCTGTGTGAAGCCCCGCGTCATGGTCGCCCGCGGCGTGACTCGCCGCGCTCTCCCGTCCCTGTCCGCGCGAACAGAGCGGCGCGCACACAACGCAGGACTACTGCCGCATGCGCGTGACTGGGCCCCTGCAGCGCAGCACCATGCACGCACGCGGCCGCCACCACGCACCAGCACCGCCCCCCTCGCGACCTCGTCCGTGCGCTTGCTCGGTGCGGCCCACGACGTCAGGGGGGAGGTGGCTGCTGTCAGGGAGGAGGGTTGTCCTCGACTGGGCGTGCGAGCCGATACGGGTGCCTCGCCGCGCCAGCCGCGCACAGTGGGGAGCGTCCAGCGTCACGGCCACGACGCAGACTCGCAACTCACCGACGTCACCGCACGCACGCGTCCAACGGTAGCGCAGCGACCGTTGGCACTCTTCACGGGCCGTTCGGGATGGCGGGGGGGCCTCGGCCGCCCCTGCCTCCGCAGGCCGCACGGGGCACGCCTCCGGTTTGTAAGTCTCAGTCTCAGACAGCACGGGTCAAGCAGCGAGGAGCAGGGTGGTCTCTGCGTGCGTTTGCGGGCGGGCAACAGGTGTATCGGTGCGCTGGTGTGCGACATGACGTGTGTCCTTGCAAGTGCGGCGCTGCGACGGCACGAGCCCGCAGTGCGTGCACATCTTGAACGCCGAGACCTGGAGCGTGGCGGGCTCGTCAAACGTCAGGTCGACGCTGAACGTGAGGCTGTTCGACAGGTCCGCCGGCGGGGTCGGGACCTCGGGCGTCACGGAGATGGCCGCGATGGTCAATGCTTCGCATGCCACGTCAACTCCAGCACCGTGCTCTGGAATACACGAAATTGACATTTTTTCTCACGATTATGCTCGTGCGAAAAGCGGGCGGGGGGGGGGGAGTCCCCATGAGTCAGGGCGTGTAACTCAGTGGATAGAGTGCCAGATCTCGGAGCCTACTGGGCGACGCAATCTGGATTCCACGGTTCGACCCCGTCCTCGCTCGCGACGTTTATGCCCATGTTTCTGTGCCCTGCTGCAACAACAGGCGACGTGAACACGCTTGCCAGCCCCCGACGCCTCGCACCACCCCCGCCATCCCGTCCCGATGCCGGTCGCCACGCTCGCGGTGCCCGCGGCCTCAACTGCATGGCCGCACCGCTCGTACCCCGCGCTTCGCTGCTGTGTGCCGCCCCGCATCCACTCCACGCTGTGTGGGGGCGCGCGTCGCCGGCACCCCGCCCGAGCGCCCGAGCCCCTGCACGAGCCGCGCCCGGCACCGCACGCACCGCCAATCTGCCCCTCCGCACCGCCACGGGCGCCCCGGGCCCACGCCAGGACCGCCCACAGGCTCGTGTGCCAGAGCCGCCCCGCGGCGCGTCGCAGACGGTCCGAGGCGACCTGCCCGGGCCCGACACAGGCGCTGCAAGGAGCGCACGCGGCAGGTCCGGACGTCGCACCGCCGGCGGCGAGTCCCCGCCCGCACGTGCGACATATGCCACCCGGAGCATGTTTGGTGTCATGTGCTGCTGTTGGTCGCACGCGGCGGCAGTGACGATGCATGTGTGGGCGGTCTCCGCCACACGTCGGTGCTGCTCGGGGCCAGCGGCACCTCCGGCAAGATCTCCAGCGCGCTGTTGCTGGCCAGGACGGCCCGTCGCCACCGTTGTAGCAGGTGACGGGCACTCGATTGTCTGCAGGGGCGCGGGCGGCGAGGCGGTGCGTGTAAGGGCCCTGGTCCGTGGCCGACGGCCCCGCGGAGCGATCCGGCGGCGCGCGTCGTGCTCAGCAGCATATATAATGACATCAATCAATAAACAATGAATAAATCATGCAGACTCACCGTCCCGCAGGGAGCCCCCGGGGTCGCGAGACGCGGCGTTGGGGAGCAACCTCCCACAGCTCGCGTCGTCCATAAGAGTACCCGCGGCGCAACGCCCCCACAAGCCCCTGTCTGCTGCAGACACATGGCAGCCATGTTGTCGTCCTCGAATGGCGCACCCCTGAGCGCCCTGCAGTATGTTCAATCTAAGATGGTATCATTCCTGTCTCTCGTCGCGGTGAGGGGTCGTGCCCGTGGACGTTCTGGTTCCAGACCTCAGCGATCGGTGCTGGATCATGGACGAGCCCTGAGCGAGTCGATCGCGTGGTCACATTCACCTCGTTCGTTCACCTGATTCGCTGAGGTGAGGTGAGGTGTCACATTCTTCGCTGTGGTTCATGCACACTATTCGCAGTGTCTAAGTCTAATACATGCTTGCCCCGCCCACCTATAGTGCCTAAGTCGTGGATGCGGAGAATCACGCGGCGGACTAGGCCACCCTATGAAGATCATGTTGGATGGAAGTGCTTCCATGATTGTGAGGTGATATCTTCACGCGGGGGGCAGCATGGGCACGCGCCGCCGCAGCGCGTCCTCCGCCAGCTCCTCCACGTCCTCGACCGCGGACGGGTCCCAGACGACCCACGCCTCCGCGTCGTCGAAGCCCAGCAGCCGCCGCTTGCTGGTCGTCGTGACGCTGCGCGAGGCCACGGCGTAGAAGCTCAGGAAGTACGGATCCACCGTGGTGTAGATGAGCAGGTACTGCGTGTTCGGGTCGATGGTGTACGCGACGCCGCCGAGCGTGCAGCCCGAGATGGTCGCCGTCTGCGTGGCCCCCACCGTCGCGGGGGTCACCACCACGCGGCCGTTGGAGATGACGCGTGCCGCGGCGCCGCCGCCGCTGAGGAGGTCGCCCGCGGACAGCGTCGTGAACAGGCTGTACGCGAGCATGCCCTGCCGGTTGAGCGCGAAGTCCGCGGTGAACTGGTTCGACCCCGACGTGACGACGGGCATCGCCGGGTCCGTGAAGGTCGGACCGAAGCCCGTCGTGTCCAGCGACACCGTCACGCCGACGCCCCGCGTGCGGTACACGCCCGCCTGCGTGGCCGGCTGCGGGCTGCCGCGCGTCCAGTGCACGAACGGCCCGGTCTGCACGTTGCCCGCGGTGTTGGCGTTGGGGTTGACCGCCTGGTTGCAGGAGCGCGCCGCGACGTACCCGGCCGCGGTCTGCGCGGCGGTGAGCGCCTGCGCGGCGGGCGTGCAGCTGTCGAAGAGGTTCTTGTACGACGGCTGCACGCCGTCCGTGGCCACCACGTAGAGCGTGAAGTTCTTGCACGGCGGGCGGTTGGACACCTCGAAGCACGTGGTGGTGTCCGTGGGCTGGATGGGGTTGTGCGACAGGAGGCCGCTGACGGGGATCGAGGCGGTGAAGGGCGCGGTGGTCGTCGTGCTGCCCGTCACCGCGGTCACCGTCGCGCCGTTGTCCGAGTTGGTGGGGAACACGGGCCGGCACAGGTCGCGGCAGTCCGGCGCCCCGCTGCCGCTGGCCGGGGCCGCCTCCGTGCAGATTGTGCGCGCGTTCTGGACCTGCGCGATCGACGGCACGAGCCCGCAGTGCGTGCACATCTTGAACGCCGAGACCTGGAGCGTGGCGGGCTCGTCAAACGTCAGGTCGACGCTGAACGTGAGGCTGTTCGACAGGTCCGCCGGCGGGGTCGGGACCTCGGGCGTCACGGAGATGGCCGTGACCGTCGGCGCGCTGGTGTCGGGCGTGACGACGCCGAACAGCGCGCCGAGCACGTTGGGCCGGGACACCCCCTCCACGTGCACGAAGATGTCGTACACCCCCGCGCCGGTCAGGCCCGTCACCTCGACCGAGTTCCCGACGCCGCCGCTCGTGCGCGAGTAGACGAACGTCCCGGACACGCACGCGGGCGCCACGCAGCCCCCCGGGATGGACGTGGGCGCCAGCACCTGCGCCGCCGTGGGGATCAGCGCCGGCGAGGTCCCCGCGACGCCCCCGAGGCGGCTGTTGTTGCGCAGGAGGCCCACGAACGCCACGTTGTGGTTCACGCCGACCCGGCTGGTGATCCCCGGGCGCAGCGTGAGCTTGGTCGAGGTGATGTTGACGGCCGAGGGGAAGGCGGGGAAGAAGGTGAGGATCTCCGTGAAGGCGAGCTCCGTGTAGGGGACGTAGCCGAGGGCGCCCGGGCTGGCCTGGAGGTACGCCGGGCGCCCCGCGGTGGTCCCGTAGTAGGCGAAGAAGCCGTTCTCCGGCGTCGCGAAGGGCTGCCCCGCGGCGTCGCTGACCTCGACGTGCACGGCCACGGGCACCTGCGCCTCCTCCTGCACCTGCTCCTCGACGTTGCCCGCGGCGAGCGAGAGCAGCCGCGCCTCGAACACGCCGGCCCCGAGGAAGTCCGCCGTCACCAGGTAGGTGTTGTCGCTGGTGCGCGAGGCCAGGTTCCCCGCGGCGGGGTTCTTGAAGACCAGGTTCTGGTTGGTGCGCAGCTCGAGCTTGACGGTCGTGTCCGCGGCGTCCGCGAGCAGCGCGCCGGCGTCCGAGCGCACCTCCACGCGCAGGCTGGTCTGCAGCGTGTTGGTGTCCACGACCTTGGTCAGCCCGCGGTAGAGCTTCTGCGTGTTGGCCAGCACGAGCTGGTACAGCAGGATCGCCTGGTCGTCGCCCGGACGCAGGATGTCGATGGCCTGCCGGCTGCGGTACGGCGTCCCCGCGAACGCCGTCCCGTCGGGCCGCGGCTGGAAGTACTTGTCGCCGGCGGCCAGCGTCGACAGGTACTCGAACGTGGGGTCCGTGTTGGCGATCTGCCGCGCCGTCACGCCCACGATGTCCGACGCCACGTTCGCCCGCGCCCGCTGGTCCGCGGACAGCTCCGCGAGCCGGTCGAAGTAGATGTCGCGGAAGTCGGGCCGCGAGGTGTCCAGCGGGTTCCAGAAGTTGCGCACCTTGAGCAGCGCGAGCGCGTCGCTCGGGCGGAACTGGCAGTCGCCGTCCACGTCGCCCAGGACCGACGCCTGCTGCGCCACCGTGCAGTTCGTCGCCGTCTGCAGGCCGCGCTGGCGCGCGTGGACGGCAAACGGGTGCGCCGCCGCCGCGACGTCCGCGACGGAGGGCGTGCGCGCGGCCGGCGCGGCCGGCTCCGCGGCGGCGAGCGCGCGGCGGCGGGAGGCCACGGTGAGCGACCCGGCGGACGCGGTGGAGTTGAAGTCGCGCAGGATGGGCTGCCCCGCCAGCACCATCTCGCGGACGACCGCGCCCACGGCCGACGTGCCGGCGGTCTGGAGCGTGAAGGCGACGTCCGCGACGACGACGGCGGCGCCCGTGGTGCCGGTGTCGGTGCCGATGCCGATCACGTTGACCTGGTTGGCGGGCTTGTTGATGGTGCACTGGAACGAGAACCGCCAGCCGGCGCCCTGCGTGCACGACGTGGCGAGCAGCACGGCGGGGTCGAAGGTGAGGATGATCTGGAACGCCTCGAGCGCGCCCGTCGCCGCGTTGATCCGCACGGGCACGCGGAGCTGCGGCGCGGGGTCGGTGGTGGACAGGTCGCGCGCGCCCGTGTCCAGGATGGGCTGCCGCTGGAACTGCGGCCCGTGGAGCTCGCCGACGTCGGCGTCCCCGGGCGCCGGGTCGAGGTTCGCGTGCATGTTCTGCACGTCCGTCAGCGTGGGGTTGGCCGCGCACGTGTACGTGGTCGTGAGCTGCGCGGCCGCGACGCCGGCCGAGTTGCCGACGATCGTGAGGTCGCCGAACGTGTCGACGGCGATCCACGCCGTCTGCGAGGACGCGAAGGCCAGCACCTCGGGCGTCGGGAGGATGTCGTAGGCCGACGCGGGGCCGCGGGCCACCCCCGTGAACGCGAAGTAACGGTTGTAGTTGGCCGTGTTCACGATGATCTCCGCGTCCAGGAGCTTCGTCTTCGAGCCCGCGATGCCCCGCAGCGTCGCCGCGCACAGCGGCGGCGTGGTCGGGTCGTCGCACAGCGCGGTGGTCACCGTGAGGGTGGTGACGGCCGCCAGCGTCGCGTCGTCCAGCGTGATGTCGACCGTGCTGTTCCGCTGCGCCGCGCCGGTGCCGAACTGCATCGTCACGGTGACCGTGCCCGCCGCGAGGGGCTGCAGGCGGTTGAACAGGTCCGGCAGCGCCGCCTGCGTGATCGTCACGATGTTCTCCCTCCACCGCGCGTTGGCGTTGCTCAGGATGAGCGTCGACTGCGGCGTGATCTCGAACACGCTGTCGTCCGTCAGGACGGCCCGGTGCCACGCCGTGAGCGACTGCCACGCCGTCGCGGTGCACTCGAACTTCTGCAGGCGCGCGGGCTGCGACGCGGTGCGCGTCAGGTCCTGGTCCGTGGCCCGCGGGCCGACGAAGTAGTCCAGCAGCACGGGCACGCCCGTCTTCCACAGCACCACGTTCAGCGTGGTCGTCGCCGTCAGGTCGGTGCGGTTGAGCGCGGGGAAGTCCACCCGCAGCGTCGCCGTGCCGAACGCGCTCGAGTTGCCCGCCGCGTTCGCGATCGTCGCGCCGCCGGCGTTCTTCGCCAGCGTCAGCAGCCCCGCGTTCACCGTGACGTTGAACCGCGTCCGCGCGTCCGCCGAGAAGTCCACAAACGTCCCGTCGTCCAGCTCCAGCTCCACGAACAGCCGCGCCTGCGTCGGCAGCGACATCGGCGCCAGCCCGGCGGGGTCCCCCGCGCGCGTGATGCGCGTGACCACCGTCGTCGACGCCGCCGCCACCTGGCGCACCTCGAACCTGCGGATGCGCCGGATGCCCGGCAGCTCCACGCGGACGGGCGCGAGGCCCTCGATCACCGCCGCGCCGCACAGGCGCATCTGCGCCTTGATGAACCGGCCGCACAGCGCGGGCGACCCGAGCTGCGCGGTCACCTGGACGATCTGGTTGCCGTTGCTGTCGCGCCCCGCGGGCACGATGATGTCGGGGCGCGTCGACGTGAAGTTGACGAAGCCCGTCACGTCGTGGACCGCGTCGTCGAAGGTGCGGACGTACGCGCGCACGTAGGCGCGCGCGCGCTCCGCGGTGAGCCGCTGCGCGGGCGTGAAGGACACCGTCTGCCCTGCGTCGAGCGGGAACCCCCCCGCGGGCGCGCCGGACGCGACGGCGGCGCCCGTGAACACCACCACGTCGAGGCTCGTGAGGCACACGACCTCCTGCGCCGTGCTGATCGTGATCGAGGTGGCCAGCGCCGCCGCCGTGCTGGCTCCCGTGGAGATCACCGCCGAGCCGGGGCCCGACACCCCGAGCGCGGTGGTGGACGCGAGCTGGACGACCGTCGGGTCCGAGGTGGTGAGGCTGACGAGGTCCGTCACCTCGACGTCGGTGGTGTTGGGCAGCCCGGCGCCCCCGAACGTGGCGTACACGCGCAGCGTTGTGTTCTGGTACAGCGACTGCGTGCACCCCGCGGTGATGATGCCCGGGTACACCGTCGCCGCGTCCTGCGCCGAGGGGTCGAGCACGCGGGAGAGGAGCGTGTCGCCGGCCGCGATCTGCAGCCGCAGCGGGAAGAGGACGGTGACGGTGGCCGCGGTGGTGAGGCCGCCCTGGGCGACCGTGATCGTCGACACGCCGCCGTTCCTGAGGACGTTCGACAGCGTGACGCGGCAGCCGGTCATGGCGACCACGGACCCGGCGGTCGCGGCGTCCGGCGTGCACTGCGCGAGGGCCGTCACGTCGGCGTCGGCGGCGCTGAGGCGCGAGCTGACGCTGCGCACGGTGATGGCCGACGTGACGTCCGCGCCGTTCAGCACGGCCGTGTTGACGACGACCGCGCGCGCGGCGGTGGCGTACAGGCCGCGCGCCACCTCCGCGACCACCACCAGCTGGTATGCCTGCTGCGCGCCCCCGCGCTGGTCGTTGATCTGCGCGATGGGGCGATCGGCGTTGATCGCAGCGCCCTGCGTGAAGTCGCCCGTCAGCTTGGCCGGGTTCTGCACCGCGCCCACGCTGAGCGCGTTGAGCTTCGGGCCAGCGGTGGTCCCGGTGCGCACGCGGAACGTGGCCGTGAGGATCGGCACCGCGGTCCCCGTGACCTGCGCGCGCGACACCCCGTCCGCGCGGCCCTCCGTGTTGAACCCGACGAACCCGGAGCCCGTCGCGACGATCGCCGCCTTCCACAGCGGGTCGGTGCTCACCGCGCCCGTGTACTCGACCACGCCCGCGTCGAAGTAGAACGGCACAGACCACGTCTTGATCGACGTGCCGCCGCTGTGCGCCGTGACGACCGCCGTGAACTCCTCCCCGGGCAGCATCGGCTTCTGCGGCATCGTAACGGTGAACCCCGCGGTGGTCGTCTCCGTGTGGGTCGGCGGGGGCTGCAGGACGACGCTCGCGGGCGCCGAGTCCACGACGCCGGTCGTGAGCGTGGCGCGCACGACCGCGCTCGCCGTCGCCGCCGCGGCGCCCGGCGTCGGGAAGAGCGAGGGCGGCACCGCGGCGCGGCAGGTGCCCACGCCCGTGGTGGCCGCGGGGAGGCTCGGCGCGATGCACGTGAGCTCCGCGGGCGGCTGGGCGCCGACGGTGACGACCACCGACACGCGCGTGGGCGTCGCGACCTGCGGCCGCCCGTCGGCGTCCCGGAGGAAGTACCGCAGCTGCAGGGTGGCGAAGTCCGTGAACAGGTCGCTGGTCTGCATGATGACGCCCACCGACGCCGCCTGGTTCGCGGCGATCACGCCCGTGATGTTGGCCCGGGTGCCCGCCGCGATGCTCGTCGGGATCTGCAGCTGCGCGTCCGACACCCCCCCCGTCGTGGCCACGATCTCCACCGCGGCGCCCGGGAGCGCGCTGCGGAACAGGTCGATGCCGCGGCTGAAGCGCCCGTCCACGAGCGTCGTGTTCCCGACGCCGCGCCCGGGCAGGCCGAGCGTCGGGCGGATCGTGGGTCGCAGGTCGCGCGTCAGGAAGGCCTGCGTACACTGCGCCAGGTTCAGCCCGGCGTCGTCCGCGGTCGAGTTGACCGGGACGCGCGTGACGGCGTCCTGCACGTTGGGCCGGCGGTCCTGCGCGATGCCGTACAGGCTGTACGTCACCGCGCTGCTCAGCCCGCAGCCGCGCGCCGAGTACACCGTCAGCGGCGCGGGCACGTCGATGGAGCCGCTGAGCGGCGTGGCGAACGAGCCGTCCGGGCGGCGCAGCTCGAGGACCTGCGCGGGCGTGGGCAGCTCCGTGAAGAGGCCGTCGGGGTATATGACGAAGCGCACCTCGCCGGGCTCGTTCAGCGCCGTGTCGACGCGGAAGGCCGTGGGCGGCGAGAAGAAGGCCTGGAGGAGCGTGAACAGCGGGGGCGTGAGGTCCGGCGTCGTGAAGTTGGCCACCGGGCACGCCGGGAGCGAGACGATCCCGCTGCGCCCGCCGATGTCCTGGGACAGGATGTGCAGGCGGTACGCGGTGCCGCTCAGGAGCCCGAGGACGCGGATCGTGACGTTGAACGGGCCGAGGAACTCCCCGGGCTCGTTACCGACCGGGCCGAGGTTGCTGCACGCCCCGCCCGGCTGCGGCGCGGGCGTGCCGAGCGCGGCGACCACGCCCGAGACGTTGGCGCTGGCCAGGCGGCCGTCCGTGAGCCGCCCCGCGCGCAGCTGGATCTCGCTCGGCGCGGGATCGGCGGCAGGCAGCACCAGGTACGTCAGGTTCCCCGGCTCGTCGAGCTCGAAGTTGAACGTGGCCGTGGTCTCCGTCAGCGCCACGTTGGCGGGGACGCAGCTATCGGTGATGTTCGGCGGCTGGTTGTCGACGGTGGTGGTGGCGAGCGTCTGCAGGGGCGCCAGGTTCCCGCGCAGGTCGTCCGCGGCCACGTACACGCGGTACTCCCGCGACGGCAGCACCGGCGCGATGGGGATGGTGGCGCTGCCGCCCGCGGGGCCCGTGCGCGCGACGGTGCCGAACGCGGTGAAGTCCGTGCTGATGAACCCCGGCGGAACGGTCCCGTTCGCGATCTGCCGCACGAGCGACGCCGTGGGCGTCGACGACGGCACGGTGCAGTTGGGGTACACCGCGTACCAGATGTTGCCGGGCTCGTTGATGCCCGCGACGAGGTCGAAGGACGTGGGCGCCTCGTTGTTGAGCACCGCGGTCAGGACGGGCGGCGTGACGTCCGGGAGCGTCACCTCGAAGCACGTCGTCTCCGTCTGCACGTTGGGCTCGGGCTGCACCTGGTCCTGGGCGAACATGTAAATGGTGTACGTGGCGCGCTCGACCGTGCCGCGGATGACCTCCGCGACGTCGCTGAACGCGCGGCTGACGCCGAAGGACCCGTGCTGCACGCGCGCCAGGCCCAGCTCGGCCGTCTGCACCAGGCGGACGTTGTCGACGGTGGCCGTCACGCGCGCGCACTGGGCGTCGGAGACGACCATGTAGGTCACGAGGCCCGTCGTGTTGAGCTGGATGACGAGGTCGAACGAGTTCGTCGCGAAGTTGTCGCCGCGGAAGGTGACGAACCGCGGGGGCGCGTCGTCCTGCGTGCACACCGACAGCACCGCGGGCGGACCCGGCATGCGGTTCGGCGTCACGCCGTCGCTCCGCGGACCGTCGTCCTCGCCCGTCCAGAACATCTCGTAGCACGACGCCGGCTGCAGCCCGCCCAGCCGGAACGTCACGTTGCGGAAGCCCCCCGGAATCGCCACCGTGCCGTTCAGCACCGACCCCTGCGCCGCACGCACCTCCGCGACCGTGCGCTGCGGCGTCAGCGCCGGGTACAGCGCGTAGATCGCCGTCCCGGTCTCGTTCAGCGCCACGGTCAGCGAGATCGACGTCTTGAACGGGTCCCGTGCCAGCGGCGTGCCCAGCACGAATCGGGGCGGCGTGATGTCCAGCGTGACGATGTTGACCGTGAACGGCGTGCCCATCTCGTTCGGCGGGAGCCAGGAGTCCGCCGCGATCGCCGCCACCTGGTACAGCGTCTCCGACTCGAGCCCCGTCGGGTTGATTGTCGCCGCCTCGCCCCCGATTGTGGCGAGCTCGATGAACCCCATCTGGCCCTGGATCAGCTCGAACGGGTCGTCCGGGGCCGCGAAGATCTGCTGCAGAGCCCGTCCGGGCCCGCGCGGCCCCGGCGGCAGCGCGAGCGCGGAGCCCTCGTCCCCGTCGTCATCACCGCCGCCAGGGAGCGCGAGGGCGCGGCGGCGGCGCGACGTCGTCTCCGTGACGGGGTAGAAGTCGGTGTCGAAGGGTCCGAGCACGCCGGGGAAGTCGCAGCGCTTGATGGCGAGCGCGAGCTGCGCGCAGAGCTCCCCGATCCGCGTGGCCGAGATGCGGAAGTTGGGGTCGGCGCTGTCGGGCTTGAGCGTGAGGTAGCACAGCGTGCCCGTCTCGCTGACGGAGAGCCCGGCGACGAAGGACGTGCCCGTCACCTCGCGCACGTTGTCCGTGACCACGGGCGGCAGGCGGTCCACGTCGGTGCGGAACCCCCCCGAGAAGATCTGGTTCTGCAGGACGCCGAAGGGGTCCTGCGCGACGAGGTGCAGCGTGTAGTTCGTGCCGGCGTTGAGCGCGAACTGCGTGTACGGGCACATCCGCGGCGTGCACGGCGGCGTGATGGTGAGCCGCGTCACCACCCCGCGCGTGAGGTTGAACTGCCCGTTGGCCACGATCCCGCCCTGCCCGACGCTCTCGATCGTCAGGTTGGACGCCAGCTTCAGCGCCGTCGGCCCCGTCGGCGGCGCGGAGGTGAACTGCAGGAGCGTCTTGTCGCCGTACCGCAGGAGCCCCGCGTCGGACGTCACCGCGTAGAACACCGTCGCCGCCGTCGTGGTCCCGATCGCGACCTCGAACCCGTGCAGGCCCTCGCCGGTCACGGAGGGCGTCCCCAGGAACTCCGTCTGCGTGCCCCCGAGCGACGTGACGAACGTGTTGGCAAAGACCTCGTCGCTGAGCTGGCCCCCCTCGGGCGGCAGCGCCACCGCCAGCACCGAGTACCGCACGCCGGGCTGCAGCCCCGCGCACCGCGTGCACAGCACCTCCAGGTCGCGCGCCCGCGCCTCCTCGTCCACCTCCCCGGTGGTGTCCTGCAGCTGCTGCAGCCGCTGGAGGCACTCCGGGCTGTTCAGGCCCGACGCCAGCCCCGTGACCGACGTCAGGTCGAGGTCCGAGGTGTAGAACGAGCCCCCCGCGCCCGCGGGCGACGCCACGCCCGCCCCGGGCCCGAACAGGCTCGTGCGCTGCACCACGCGCGACCGCGGGTGGTCGACCTCCGCGCACAGCGCCGGCCGCAGCCCCGCGGGGAGGTCGCGCAGGTACGCGACCTGCTCCGGCGACGGCAGGTTGTCGCTGCCCTGCTGCAGCGCGCGGCGCGTGGTGCGCGCCCCCGTCGCGCTGAAGCCCAGGTCCTCGAGCTGCTGCGCGGGGAACACCACGTAGCGCACGCGGCCGGGGCAGTCCAGCGCGGCGTCCACGTCGACCGAGTACGGCGACTGCGCGATCACCAGCGGCCCGGCGAGGATCCGCGGGGCGTCCGCGCCCCCGCGCGGCAGCAGGAAGAGGAGCAGCAGGATCAGCAGCAGCAGCAGGAGGAGGAGCAGCAGGATGGCCCACCACCAGCGGAGGAGCGTGTCGAAGAGCCGCGCGAGGCTGTCCATCCAGCGGTACATGTGCAGCCCGCGCGACGACAGGTGGTCGGTGTGCAGGAAGAGGTTGTGCCGCGGCGGCAGCTCGACCTGCATGGCGCGCCCGACGCGCTTCTGCGGGCCCTCGCTGCGCGGGGACGCCGCGAACGCGCGCTGCTGCGCCGCGGCGTTCTGCGCGGCGATCTGCGCCTCCAGGTCGCGGATGCGCGCCTCGTTGGCGGCCTGCTGGCGGCCCATGTTCTCGATGACGCGCTCCGTGGTCTGGACGAAGCTGTCGCTGTCGCGCTCGTGCACGTCCGCGCGGTCGCGCGCCGCCGTCAGCACGCGGGCCAGTGCGGCCTTGGCGTCCTCGCTGGTGTCGTGGTCGGCCGCCTGGGCGCGCGCCAGCTGCTCGCGGAGCTTCCGGATCTCCTCCCCGCGCTCCGTCACCAGCACGCGCAGCCGCTCGAGCTCCGGCACGTCCGGCCTGCGCCCCGCGTCTGCGAGACACCCGAAACCAGCGCACAGAGGTGGGTCGGCGCGCCAACCAACAGCAACAGCGAACACCACAACCACGGCCGGGGCCGCTCCGCACCTGGCTGCGGGCGCGCGTCGTCGTCCCCCGAGGAGTCGTCGTGGTCGCGCATGAGCGCCACGATGTAGTGCGCGAGCCCCGACGTCTTCTCGTTGAAGTAGTGCGCCATGCCCTCGCGCGTGATGTGGGCGCGCGGGGTCGTGGTGACGCCCGTGCGCGAGGACGCCCGCGTGGACGACAGCCACGACCGCCGCGCGATCGTCGCCATGCCGTCGCGGGCGCTCATCCCCGCGCCGCCCCACGCGCCCTCCATGCCCGTCAGCCGCACGCCCGCGGGGGAGAGCGAGCTCGACCGCGAGTGCGACGGCTCGTGCGACGTGTAGCGCGCCGAGGTGCGCAGCGGGTCCAGCGCGGCCGCCTCCGCGCGCGGCCGCGGCGGGGGCTCGTGGTACGACGCAGATGCCACCTGAGCGCGGGCGGTGGTGGCGGGCCGGGGCGGGTCGGGGTCCGCCCGCCGCGCCCGTATCGAGATGGTCGCGGTCCCGGTCTCGTCCGCCGCGAGCCGCGCGGCCGGATAACTCCGGGACGAGTCGTCTGCGGGCGCAAGGGGTGCGGCAAGCAGGAGGTGGGTCGGTGCTGGGGCGACGCGCGGCGGGCGCGTGTGGGCTGCTGGCGGGGTGCAGGCCGCAGAGAGCGGTCCGCTGCTCCGGCGGATCTGGTCGAGCGGGCACACCTGGCGCCGTGGAGCTGCCGTCGCGTGCCCCTCCTGGCGCGCCCGATCCTGGTCCCGCGTTGGCTCTACTCGGCGGGTTTCCATCCATGTTTCGTGTCGCATTCGACGGAGCCGTCCCGTCAGAGGCTCTCACGTCCGGGTAGGCCCCCTGCTGGCCCTGTGCGGGGCGTGCAGCGGCGTCCAACTCTTCACCCCCTGCGCCACCTGGCCTTCCATCCGAGCCGTCCCTCTGGGGAGGCCGCGCAGTCGACATTTCCTCCACTCGGGCTGGTCAGCGACCAGGCATCAGCGTGTGTGCCCTTTGCTGCGCCCTCTCGCGCCCTGCCTGCTGTGTTTCGGGGAAAGACGCTACGCTGGAGGAACCTGGGTGCTTGCCCCGCCCTGACGGCCCGCACGAGGCCGGCGCGGGCTTCCCCGCGCTGTGCCTGCGCTCTGATGGCCCGCGGACGCCGCTTGAGGGGCGCGTCGACCAGGCGGAGGGTGCCTGCCTGGGCCAAACTACAGATCCCGCGGCCACGAAAGCGACGAATGTGGCGCCTCGCGACTCAGCAGAGACGGCCCGGCCGAAGGTGTGTTACGAAAAAGGCCTCTTCATTCAAATACTGGCCGTCACGTTCCGTCAGCACGGAGGGGCCGAGCAACTTTTGGTTTCGCTTCGCGAGGGACGGTATTCGTCGGCCTCGCGCGCGCGCGGAAATTGGCGTGTTCGCCTTTCGTTGATATCGCGGTGCGCAGAGTGCCCGGCGCGCGCAGCGTCGCACGGCCAAAATGAGGTGAGGGAGAAGCGCGAGTCGGGCTGGGCGGTTTCAGGGGCCCGCGGGGCAGTCTTCTTTGCGCGACAAGCCTGTCGTTCACGTTCAGTCGTCGAGCCGATAGACAGGGGTCCCGGGACGCACCGGCACGACAGCACGCGCCAGGCAGGGCGTACGCGGCGCACCAGGAGCTTGCACCACTCAGGCGCGCAATTCGTCGCCCTACACGACCCTCTCGGCCGAACGGCGTCGTATTCTCACAGTACGTCCATCTCACAGGGCGCACGAGTCGATTCTAGCGCTGTAAACGCGGTCAGGCGCCTGCTGCTTCGGCAGGGCCTGTCTCGGGGCAGATTGAACTCGCTGGCCCCGCGGCACCGCGCAACGTCGCCCCGCGGCATCCATCGCCTCCCTATTTCGTACACACGGTCTGCCGCCGCGTTGAGGGGACGTCACGCGGCGACGAGGGCGCCAAGCCCACGTGCACCTCCACGTACACCACGCGACGAGTCTCCGCCGGGCGCACAGCTCCGGCGCTGCAGCACGCGGCCAGCCTGGACGCTCCGCCAGTGCGACGAGCTCCACTGCGCGGGCGGTCACGCACCGGTCGTCGCCACGCGGGACCGCACAGCCCTCAGTGCATGCGTCACACTTTCCTGCGTTTCCCCCCGTCTCCGCCCCGAGCGTCGTCCTCGCGCCGCGCCTTCTTCTCCGCGCCCGTCCGCTGCGTCGCCGGGAATGTCGGCATCGCGTGGGCGGCCTTCGGCAGCGGGTGCTCCGCGAAGAAGGGGTGCCGCAGCGCCTCGCGCGCCGTGATGCGCCCCGCGGGGTCGTACGTCAGGAGCGCGTTGAGCAGGTCGATCCCGGCCTCGGAGAGCTGCGGGAAGTGTTTGCGGAGGTGCGAGTAGGGTTGTGTGCGCATGTGGAACTTGGAGAAGTGCGGAAGGCGCTCCACGCCCGGCCAGATCTTCCGCGTCGGCGCGCCGAGGAGGCTCACGAGCATCTCGATGACCTCCGCCTCGGTCTGGCCCGGGAACAGCGGCTCGCCCGTCAGCAGCTCCGCCAGCACGCAGCCCACTGCCCACACGTCCACTGCCTCCGTGTACACCTCCTCGCCCAGCAGAATCTCGGGCGCGCGGTACCACAGCGTCACCACGCCTGCACGACGCACACTCCGGCCCCGCAGCTGCCGTGAGGACGGCGCCGTCTCGTGTTGCACGCTGGCGGGCAGCACGAGCACGAGCAAGCGGCGCGCTCGCTGGGCGTGGACGCACCGGGAGTGTAGGGCTCCTTGTACGCGCGGAAGTACCTCGCGAGGCCGAAGTCGCACAGTTTGAGCACGCCCTGGTTGGTCATCAGGAGGTTGGACAGCTTGATGTCGCGGTGCACGGTCCAGCGGTCGTGCAGGAACTCCACGGCGTGCAGGAGCTGCTGCAGGAGGCCCTTGACCTCGGAGAGCGTGAAGAGCTTCCGCCGCGCGTCGATCAGCCGCCCGAGGTCGTGCTCGCAGAACTCAAACACCAAAAAGACGCTCCCCGCGCTCGACCCCGTCACCACGCGCTCCAGCGCCACCACGTTCGGATGCCGGCACGCCTGAAGGACGCGGATCTCCCGCAGCGCCGTCACGGGCACGCCGTCCTTCTCCCGGTCCATGCGCACGCGCTTGAGGGCCACGATCCGGCCCGTCGGGCTGCGGGGGGGTCGAGCCGCGCCGCCCGCGTGAGGAGGCGTGGCGGGAAACAGCGAGGGGTGCCGTGGGGGTCGCGCGGGGTCGCTCACCGGTGGCGTGCCTTGTAAACCACCCCGTAGGTGCCTTCGCCGATGCGGCCGAGCTTCTCGTACTCCGCGACGGAGTCATACACCTTGAACTCGGCCTCGCTGGATGCCTTGGGCGCGCTGTCGCTCATGCCGGAACGCGCTTGCACCAGCCCCCCCTATCAACCTACGCCAGCCCACTCGCGTGTGGCCATCTCACGGTCCGCTGCCCGCCAGCAAGACGTCGTCCCTCTTTCGTGTCTGGTGGGTGCGTATCCGCGACGAAGACCAAATCGCGAAGGCTGCAACGCAGGCACGGGGCTCGCGTGCAGAATTGCCGCGAGAAAGGTGCTAGGCGCGGCGAGGTACGCGACTCGACTGGGCGGGGCGGATGTCCCTGTTATTGGCAATCTGGTCGCGGCCTGTCAAGGCGCCTGGCCAACGTGCTGATTGCAGGTCGTACCAGGTACAAGCAATGGCTCTGGGGGACTTTTTGTCGAGCTGTGCGCGGCACAAGACTTGCGCGGACCGCGCCGGGCATGTCACTGCTGGCTGGCTCCTGCCGCGTCGCTTGCGCACTCGTATCAGGCGACCCTCGAGTGCGCGGAGGCCTTGGTGTCCCCAAGCGGTTCGCTGCGCCTGCAGGCGCCCGCAAAGGCTACACCTACCCCTGGCTCTGCTGCGACACTCTGATGTAGATATGGCCCCGAAGACAGCGACGAAGACGGCGGCCGCCGGGGCGACGGCCGGCGCGAAAAAGGCAACAGGGGCATCAGCGGGCAAGACTGCCGCGGCGAAGAAGCCCGCGCCCGCGAAGAAGGCGGCAGCAGGTGGGGCATACATGAGCGTGGGCGCAGGTCGCCTTGAAAGCGAGAGTGGAGCCGGTGTCTTCTCGTCGGACACGGGGGTGTGGCTGGGGGTTTGGCCCCACAGTCCGTCCCGCGGGACAGACTCAAGTCTTTCTGCGCGCGTGCTGTCTGCAACCGCCCTGGCCAGCGCCCCCCGCCTCGCAGGCGCAGCGACGAAGACAGGCGCGAAGAAGGGCGCTACGAAGAAGTCGACCAAGTCCGAGGCGTCAAAGTACACCGACGAACAGAAAGATGCCGCGGTTCGCCTACAGGCGGCGTGGAGGGGCTTCAGCACGCGCAAGAACCTGGCGGACGAAAGGAAGAGGAAGGCCGCGATGGAGGTGGAGATCGAGGAGCTGCGGCAAAAGGCGTGGCTAATAGGTCCGACGCACCCGCGCCACACAGCCCGCGCTGCCTCTCCCTGCGACACCGGCCACGGACGCATCCGCCGCAGCCAGCGACGCGCACGCGGCCCGCCGGTGCCCGCAGAGCTCGAGTACAACCGCAAGAAGGAGAAGGAGCGTGCGAAGAAGGCGGCCGAGGAGGCGCGGCGGAAGAGGGAGGCCAAGCGCATCACGGAGGGGCTCCTGGACGCGGCGTTCGACGGCGAGGTCGAGGAGCTGGAGAAGCTGCTGCGCGAGGGCGAGGAGTACATTCCTAACATCGTGGACGCCGCGGACGGGCACGGCAACACGCTGCTGAGCGAGGCGTCCGCGGGCGGGTCGCTCGAGGCGGTGCGGCTGCTGCTGGCGCGCGGCGCGAACCCCAACACGCAGGGGGAGTTCAAGCGGAGTCCCCTGTTCCGGGCGTGCTTCATGGGGAAGACTGACGTGATCCTGCCGCTGCTCGAGGCCGGCGCGGACCCGCGCGTGCCGAACGAGTTCGGGGAGCGGCCGGAGCACATCGGGTCGGACGACAGCATCAAGGCGTTGGTGGCGAACTGGGACCTGGGCAAAACGGACGCGCTGGTGGCGGCGTTCGAGGAACGGAAGGCGGCCGCCGCGGAGAAGGCGCGGAAAGAGGTGCGAGCGGCGGCGGCGTGCTCCACGGCCCGCTCACGTGCACCGCTGATTCGCGGGGACCGCTTCGCGCATGAGGCTTCGATCTGGCCCCAGGCCTGCTCACTGCTTCGTGTTCGCGCGTTCGGTCGCGGTGCAGGCGGAGCAGCGTGTAGCGAGCAAGGAGGACGAGGTGGGGGAGCTGCAGCGCGCGCACGACGCGGACCAGAAGGCGCTGGCACACGCGCACACCGAGTACGAGCGGCGCGTGTTTGAGTACGACACCAGCGTCGAGGAGCGCCGCGCGGACGAAATCCTCAAGGCTGCGCTCGCGGTGAGCGCACGGATCCCCCTGCGCGCCGCGCGGTCCCTTGGTCGCCGTCTCTCGTCGCGACGCAACAACAATCAAAGCGTACTTCTACTTGAGTGTTTTTGCAGTCGGTCAAGGAGGCGGAGGAGCACCTCAAGGCGATGCGGGACCGGGCGTCGCTGTCGACGGCGAAGCTGCAGGACGCGCGGATGCGGCTGCGCGAGGAGCGGGCCAAGCTCGAGGAGGAGCACGCGGTGGACGCGGGCGAGGAGCTCGAGGGGCGGACGGTGGAGATCAAGGAGCTCAACGAGATCCTCATCCTGGACGTGGGCGGCAGGCTCGCGGACCCCGCGCACCCGTGGCCCTTCGTGCTGGACCCGAGCAAGCAGGCGAGCGTCTTCCTGCGGTACGCGGACACCAACTACATCAACATGCTGTCGCCGTACGACACCGAGGTGGACCGCATGCGGCGCGCGATCCTCGGCGGGTTCCGCTACGGGAAGCCGGTGGTGTTCGACGTGATGGACGTGGATCTGGGCCTGGAGGGGGTGAAGCGGGCGTTCGAGGCCGTCCAGCCGGGGCTGTTTCAGGATCTCGTGGCGAGCAAGGAGCTGCTCAAGGACGAGAGGTACCTGTCGCTGAGGCGGGAGGGCGACGGGCCGGAGTACGCGGACGCCCACAACTTCCAGGACGCGCGGGTGGCCAACTTCCGCGTGATTTTCCTGTCGTCCGCGCGACACCTGCCCACGGGCATGGACCACATGTTCGACGTGCTGCGCGTGGCTGTGAAGAAGTGACCGGCGCGTTGCCTCGTGCGCGCGCAAGTCGCCGCGATCGTGCTGCGGTGAGACGTCCATGACGACGCCCTGCAGGTTTGCCGCGTATTTCTGGTACGTGTATACATCTAACATGCTGACTCATGCTCTCAGGGATCGCGGTCCAAATTCACCGAGACCCTGCCTGCTCCGGCCTGGTCGCGGGCTACGACGCGACCGATTTGCATGGCGCAGTCGTAGCCCGCTGCACGGAGCTGCTGCAGACAGGTCTGCGCCTCCTCCGATGGCACCGTGGCTATGAGCCCTCCGGCCGTCTGCGGGTCAAATACGATGGGCCACATCTCGAAGCCTGCCCGGAACGCTGCGGGGTCGTCCAGACACACTTGAGCCGCCTCGTTTGCCGCCGCGAGCGTGCTGCGGTACCCCTGCGACAGCGTATCCTCAGCTCCCTGCAACCACCGCAACGTCGTACGGTGCACTTAGCACGTACTGCGCGTGAACGTTGACCCGCCTCCTACGACAAACTGCAGCGTGTGCGCACCTCCAGGATAGGGATGCAATTTGGCCAAAGCTCGACGCCAACGTCGTCGCCGCTGGCCTCGACCATCTCCTTGATGTGGCCGAGGAGCCCGAAGCCCGTGCAATCGGTGCACGCCGTCGCGCCCGCCGCGAGCAGCGCCTGCGACGCCGCCAGGTTGGACCTCGAGGCGTTCTGGACGACATCGGCGACGTAGCGCCCGCGCCCGCCACCGCGCATGTCCGCGGCGAAGATTGTTCCCGACCCGAGCGGCTTCGTCAGAATCAGCGCGTCGTGTGCCCGCATGCCTCCCTTGCGCATCAACTGCAGGGCGAAAGAAAAACAAACAACTTGCTGTTGTTCGTCCCGCGATGCTCCGCCACTCGCAGTTGGTGCGACGGCGCACGACGGGCGCTGTACGGCCTCACCTTATCTTCCTGGCCCCACCCGGTCACCGTCAGCCCGACCTGCATCTCGGCCGCCTCCGCGGAATGCCCCCCTGCCAGCACACACCCCTCCTCCGCCAGGACGCTGCACACGCCCGACAGCAGCTGCACCATGTCCTCCTCCATCTTATCCTCGCGCGCGTACGGCACCGTCGCGATCGCGAGCGCCGTGCGGCCCCGCGCGCCCATTGCGTGCAGGTCCGACAGCGCGTGCACCGCCGCGATCCGCCCGAGCACGAACGGGTCGCCGACGCACGCGCGGAAGAAGTCCACGCTCTGAATCATCACCGCGCCCTCCGGCGCACGCGCCACCGCGGCGTCGTCCCCGATTCCCGAGACCACCTGGTGCCCCTGCGCCACCATCCACTTGTCGACCCGCGCGAGGGACCGGGAAAGCAAGTCCGGCCCGAGCTTCGACCCGCAGCCCGCGCAGCGCATCTGCGACGCGCCGAGCGTCGCAGCGTCCGTCTGCGAGGCCGTCAGGCGCTCGAGCGCTGCGTCGGCGTCGGCGGGTGCCGCCATTCCCGTCATCTTCGGCAGATCGGTGCTGAACTTGCGCATGAAGGCGCGGTCGATGCTGTCCTTCCAGTTCCAAAGCCAGGCGCCCTGCAGCCCGAAGCCGGCCTTCGTTCCGATGCAGTGCTGCCCCCCTGTTGTCACGAGACTGAGAAAACTCGACTGCGGAATGAACGGCTTCAGCGGTTCCCCGAGGACGACTCGGCGGAGGTTCTCGGCAAGAGGCGGGCCCTGCCGCACCGCGAAGACGCCGGCTTTCGGGCGGGGGTGCTCGAGCACGCCAGCGCAGTCCCCCGCTGCAAACACCCCCGGGTGACTGACCGACTGCAAACACGTGTCCACCGACAGGAACCCGCCCTCGTCGAGCGCCAGCCCCGTGCGCGCCGCCCACGGCGCCAGCGCGGCCTGCGTGCACCACAGCAGCTCGTCGTACGGCACGCGCGCGCCGCTGGATAGCACGACCTCGCCGTCGACCACCTCCGTCGCCGCAGCGCCCTCGCGCACCTCGATGCCCCTCTCCGCCATCGCCGCGAGCATCGCCCTGCGCGCGTACGGCGCGTGCGATCCCAGCAGCTGCGAGCGCGCCACGATGCAGATGCTGCAGTGGTGCGTGGAAGGGCTGACACGGTGAGCGACGTCGAGTCAGGTGCGGGGCGCGAGCGCGACTCACTCGGTATTGCTGGCGCCCGAAAGTGTGCTTGCGCTGCCGGCCTCAATTTTGGCGGGCACGTGGACGCGGCGCCGATTGCATGCGCAAATGTGGATGTGGCCGACCCTCAGTGAGCTGGCAGCGTGGCAACACTATTCATCACGTGCGCGCAGCTGTCCTCCTCGCTCCAGGCGTGCGTCGCACCTGTGTCCGCGTTCGCTCATGGTGCCTTTCGACCGTTCCCACTTGAGCCTGTGATCCAACGCGCACGCGATCTCCGCCCCCGCCGCGCCGCCACCGACCACCACGATGCGCAGTGGTGAGGTGCCTTCCCGCGCGCGGCGCAGCAGGGCTTCGATGCGGCCGACGAAGCGATCTATAGGCTTGACAGGGGTGGCGCGCAACGCAGCTCCCGGGACCGCGTTGCTCGCCGGCGTGATCCCGATGTCGATCGACAGCACGTCGTACCGCAGCGGCGGACGATCCTTGAAAAGCACGACCCTGCGCAGACAGCGACCGCCTCGGGCGGGTGCAATGTGGTTGTGTGCGCAAGGAGTGGCATGTCAGACCGGCGGCGCAGCCGACGGGGTCGAACCGCGCCCGGAGTACGGTGGCGACGGTACATGCACACGTGCGCGTGCTTCGTCGGGGTCTGCGCCGCGCTGCTGCTCACCGTTTGTTCGGGTCCAGGCCAGCTGCCTCAGCGTGGACCAAACGTGCGCCCGCGAACGTCGCGAGCTTCGCGAGATCCACGTGGCAGTCGTCGAGCCTGTAGAAGCCCGCTACGAAGCCCGGCAGCATCCCGGAGTACGGCGTGTGGACGTCGCGCGTAACCAGTGTGATGCGCACTCCAGGCACGGGCTTCATTCCGAAGCTGCGTAGAACGAACAGGTGCGAGTGCCCCCCCCCTATCAGGACGATGTCCCGGAGAACAGGCGGCGCCGCGGCCATGGCCACGCCGGTCGCTCGGAAGGCGCGCATGGCCGCGCGGAGTGGGGTCTCCCTGTCGTTGGGGCGCAACGCAGGCCTGCGGGGCCGAAAGCGACTCCTCAACGAGATCGCCCGGACGACATGATCAGGGACCTTGCTCGCGGGTGTGCGCGCCAGGAGGTGCGTCCTCAACATGCCTCGCACGGAGCGGCACCGCTGCTCGCGTCATCAGCAGGCCCGCCAAGAGCACCGCGGACACGGTCCCGGCGCCGCGCCCCGAGCGACAGATCCGTGACTCGTGGCCAGCCCTCGCGCGCAGTCCCTTTCGTAACCAGGCCGGGCGGACGCCCCGGCTCTTCCGAGTCCCCCAACGCCTCCCGCTGGCACAACCCTCCGGTGCGGCGCCCGCGTCGGCGCGACACCGGCGGCCGCGCCCGCGGCGTGCGCGCACTCCGCACACGCGATCCGCGCACCCGTTCGGCGCAGGCCCTCCAGCCGTCAATCAACCTTGACACATCAACTGTTGCGCGATGTTGCCACCGACGGGCACCACCGCGGCCCCGCCCGCCCGCACGCACCCGCCACGAGCTGCGGCACTGCCGGCGTGGCTGCGCGCTCCCCGCGCGCCAGCCCGCCGGCGCGTGCAGTGCCGCGCTCCCCGCGCGCCAGCCCGCCGGCGCGTGCAGTGCCGCGCGGCGGAGCACCTGAACCGCTGGCGGCACTGGAAGGTCGACTACTCCGACGTCGTGGGGCCCTGGGTTTTCTTCGACGCGAATCCGAACCAGATTCTGATCGACCACCGGTTCGCGCCGCACTGGCCGCGCGTGTACCGCCTGGCGCGTGCGATTGAGGACGAGGACGCCCGCCCCCCGCCGGTCCAGTTGACCATGGACGCGAAACGCAACTGGGTGTGCTCGGACGGCGCCCACCGCACGTGGGCGTACCGGCTGCTCGACCGCCCGATGCCGTGCCGCGCGAAGGCCAAGCTCCTCAAGCGCTTCCAAGAGCACGCGCCCGAGCACGGCCACACCGCGCTGGAGCACGGCGGCGACGTGAGGCTGACGCGCAGGCGGCCCTACGAGGAGCCAGGGCCGCTCCCAGAGGACCGCGCGTCGCGCAGCAGACTGCAGAGTGCGTCGGGCGAGCGCTGAGCGGGGTGTGCAGTGGACTGTCCGGTGGTGCACGACCGCTCAAGGGCCGGCGGGCTGGCATGCGCGCCGCAGTTTGCTTCGACAGGAGGAAAGTCCGCAGTACATTCATCTCGAATTCGCTGTAGCTGAGGAGTAGTTCAATCATGGCGTTCGCGACCAGCCGCGGCCCTGTCTCTGCGCTGGCCAGCCGAGGTGCGCTCGCGACGCGGCACGGCCGGCATTGTTTCCTTGTTTCTTCCGGTCTTACAGCAGTTGTCATTCGCTTTGCGGCCCGCTTCTGTGCGAAACGCAGGTGTGGCGCGCGTGCGCGCGGCCTCGTCAGTGTGCGGCCCCCGTGCTCTCGGCCCCCACGACGCGCGCACGGGACCGCGCACGGGGCGCCGTGGGTCGCCGTGCCCGGCTTCTGACTTCACGGACGCGGAGGTCGTCGCAGGCGAGCACCCACGTCCACCACGCGGCCCCGAACAGCAGCACCACCATCGCTGTGCTAGGCTGCCCGAACCACCTCCCGACGGCACTTTGAGGGCCCGTTCGTGGCGCTCTCCTGGAGTGAACAGGCATCGTCGGTCCAGCTGTGCGGCTAGATATCCCACTCATGCCCGCAATTGACCGCGCAGCCGCGAGTGTCCTAGTGCTGTGCAGAGGTGCCCGCGGTCCCGTCGACGGCGCTGGCCGTCGACGAGTCGCCCAAGAAGGTGTCAGGTCCGACGATCATTGTTTCGGGCGGTTCCCAGGGCACCGGTCTCGCGCTCGCGAAGATCTACGCCAAGAAGGTGGGGACGCAACAACACCCGCCCTCGACCAACACCGCACGCGCGCGCCCCGGAACTCTCGCACCGCAGCGCCCGCACGGGTCCGCTCTCCCGCCTCCCGATGCGCTTCCCGCCCCGCGGCCCCTCCGACCGCCGCTCGCGTCGTTCGTGCCGTCGCAGGGGTACAACGTGGTGCTCGCGGCGCGCAACGAGGAGGTGCTGCAGGAGGCCAAGGGCGCGGTGCTGCGCGAGCTGCCCGCCGGCACGACGGACGCCGAGGACCGCGTCGCCGCGGTGCCGTGCGACATCACGTCGCCGTCGCAGGTCAAGGCGCTGGCGCAGGAGGTCGCGCTGCGGTTCGAGGAGGTCACGGTGCTCGCGAACGTCGCGGGCGTGTGCATGTCGGGCAGCTTCGAGGACCACTCGCTGGAGGACTTCCAGTCACAGATGGACGTGAACTTCATGGGCGCGGTCGCGGTGACGCAGGCCTTCCTGCCGCGGCTGCGCGAGACGGCGAAGCGCAAGGGCCGCGCGCACATCGCGGTGGTGAACTCGTTCGGCGGGCGCATCCCGCTGCGCAACATGAGCGCGTACACGGCCTCGAAGTACGCGCTGGCGGGGTGGACGGACGTGCTGCGCGCGGAGCTGGAGGGCAGCGGGATCAAGGTGACGCAGGTGCAGCCGGGGGTGATCAAGAGCGCGTTCATGTCGCGGGCGCAGTTCCGGGGCGCGGACGGGGCCAAGGCGCAGCAGTCGATGGCGCAGATGCTGGAGAACGGGGTGCCCGGGTTCACGCAGACGCCCGAGGAGGTGGCGCGGGACGTGCAGTATGGGATCGAGAACTGCAAGGACGAGGTCGTTGTGGGGGGGGTGTTCAAGGCCATCCTGAAGTCGTACAGGCTGACTGGCGCCAACCCCTTCGCGATCGCGCCGCCGCAGTGAACGCCCCGGCGCACGCAAGTAGGCTGACGATGCGTCGCCCACGCGGGGCCGACGCGCTCGAGCGCAGGCGGGCTCGGACGAAGCATCAGTGAGGTGAGGTGAGGTGTCGCATTCTTCGCGTCGTCAGCCATAAGGCTTTGGGACCTGAAAAGATCATTCGACTAGGTGGCGAGTCATGCTAACCCCCCACCGTTATGGTAGCAACAGGTTCGGCAGCTGTGACAGAGTCAGCCTGGAGCAGATCCTCGATGCCACGAGCAAAGATCGCCATGCCTCGCTGATTCGGCAGGTTCAGAAGATAACGCACTGCAGCGTTAGCAGCGGCTTCCGAGTCGAGTGTTGCAGCGCCGTGCAGTGTGACTGATGCGTTGGACGCTCACATCGTGCGTGCTGGCGTCCCGGAACGCGTGGGCTACTGCTGTGCACGTGCGCGCTAGCGTCCGACGTAGAGCTCGCGCAGCACCTTGACCACGGACTCGAACGCAAACCACGGCGGGATCTCCTCGCCGCTCCGGAGCATCTGCCGGAACTTGGTGCCGCTGAGCTTCATGACGCTGAGGCCCTCCGCGCGCGCCTCCTCGTCTGCGCGCGGCGCGGGACGGCGGCAGGTGAGGTGCGGGCGTTCTCAGGCACAGTGTCTGGAGCCGGTGCGATTCGAGGGCGCGGGTGGGGGGGCGCACCGGTGACGTAGCCCTTTTCCCGCGTATAGACAACGTTCTGGCTGGGCACGACGCGCATGCCGAGCTCCTCGGCGTGTTCGCGCGCCATGTGCTGCGCGTCGTAGGGCCCGTAAAAGTCCTCCCCCGTGAGGCAGCTCTTCGACCCCGCCATGTCGCGCCCGATGATGAAGTGCGTGCACCCGTAGTTCTTCCGCACGATCATGTGCTGGATCGCCTCCCGCGGGCCCGCCATGTGCATCGAGTAGGGCAGGTACTCCCACAGCACCCGCGGGTCCGCCACCTCCTCCTTGAGCACCTCGTACGTCCGGTACCGGATGTCCCCGGGCACGTCGTCGTCCTGCGTCGGCCCCACCGTCGGGTGCACCAAACACACCGCCCCCTCCCGCACGTTGCTCGCCTGCAGCGCCTTCATGAACAGCTCGTAGTGCGCGCGGTGGACCGGGTTGCGACACTGGAACGCCACCACATCCGTCATCTCCGGCAGCCGGTCCCGCACCTGCGACGCACCAACCCCGAGGCGCCAAGCGTCACTGCCGGCGCCGACGAATCTGAAGCACCTGCGCGTCTCCACGGCCGCTCACGCTGCCGGCGGTGCCGCGGGGGCGCCGCGTCGACGCGCTGCGCTGGCGATATCGTGGGCGCGGCGCGGGCGGGTGCGGGCGGCGCGGCGGGTGCGTTGGCGGCGCGTCACCTGTTGCGGAGTGCTGCAGGGGAAGATGCGATGTGGTAGCTCGAACCCGTGGACGCGCCCGCCGATGTAGTAGCACCCGCGCTCCATGGCGAGCATCTTGACGCCCGGGTGCTCGATCGACGTGGTGCCGTAGCAGTGGCGCGCCTCCGCGGGCTTGTTGGGCTTCCACTTTGTCTCCACGTCGAGCACGGCGAGGTCCTGGCCGTGGTACTGCAGCAGCACGCGCTGACCCTCCTGGATGTCCTCGCGGCTCGTGTCGAGCACGATGGGCAGCCCGAAGAGCAGCGTGGACCCCGGCAGGCGCATGTCTTGGATCACGCTGTGGTATTGGCCCTCGTCCATGAACCCCTCGAGCGGACTGAAGCCGCCCACCATCTGCGCGGGTACAGTACGGAGCGAGAACGACGGTGGGCGGGCCAGGGCGCGCCGAAGATGGCGTGCGGCGCGCCCTGAGCGCGGAGGTTGAGCAGCCGAGGCCCGGGCCGCTTCTGCGGAGCTGGCGGCACCTATGCAGACCGCTACCAGGACCGGCACGCAGTGTCAGACGTGTGAGATGCGCTGCGTGCCACCGCGCTGTGTATCAACGCCTGTGGGCGCGTGCGGAGCTTCCGAGGCAGCAGGCTAGGATGTCCGCGGGCGCGGGCGTTCGGCAGCGGCGCCGCACGAGCGAGGGTCGAACGCATGCACGTCTGCGAGCCGGAGTGCGGCGCACCAGCAGCTCGACGTCGCACGCGTTGCGGTCGCTGCATTCGATCGCCTTGCCATCGCAGCTCGCTTTCAGGTCCGCCCTGAGCTGTTCGTCCTTCACCATGAGGTCCCGCAACCAGCCGCCGTGCGGCTTGATCTTCCCCTGCTCGTCCCAGTCTATCTCCGCCTCAACATGGTACTCTCTGCGCCCCATCGCCGCGCCCCGGCAACCAACTGCACTCCCAAGTGCCGCGAGCCGGGCCGCTGCTGGCCGCGCGAGCCTCCGCAGCATCCTTCGCACCGCCCCTGCTCGTATCTACAACGCCTCCACCCGATTCGCGCAGCAACAACAACTGCGCAGCCCCCGCACGCCGCCCTCGAATCCACTCGCTCAGGACACAGCTGCCCACCTGACACAGAGTAGTAATTGACCACCCGCGCACGAAACGAAATGCGGGTGTGCTATCGTCCTGATCAAGGCGGCAGCGTGCTAGGAGTACTCGCGCGAAATGCCATGTGAGCGTGCCATCATGTGCCAAGGGAAGGCTCTGACCTGCAATCAGTTAGAGTGAGTGGCGGGCGTCGTCAGCAACAACGCGGCGAGCCGCGCGAGTACTGGACGACGCCCGCCAGCCGACGCGCCGAAGTGCTGGTCCACGTCCTAGGCTGCTTGTACCAGGGGGTGTCGGCAGCCGGCTGGGTGACAGCGGTGACTGAGTCTGCGGCATTGTCCGCGTTGTGTGGCGACGCGCCGACGGCTACTCAGCTCTCCTCGTCATCGCCGTCCCCCGCGCGTGGCCTGTCATGCGAAAAGGGATCATACCTCGGTCTAGCGGCCACGGAATACGCGCATGGCCAACATGTCAACATCGGGGGGGTAACAGAGTGCGTCATGTGTGCGGGCATGGCTGGATAGTTCCGAGCCAGCTTCGCAGCGCCGGGATCATGTATGAGGGTGACGAGTTGCAGGGCGCCGGGCACGCCCTGTCAGCAGGTTGGCCAGTATGGTCTGCAAACTGCACGTGGCGACGCACGAGGTCAGCCAGGCCCGCCGGCGTGGCAGGGCCAAAATGCGGGCTCGGGTGCGTCCGGCAGGCGGCGCGGTGGATCGCCAGGACCTGTCGCATGCAGTAACCTCGATGCGTACGCATGTAGCGCATCATGGCCGACATCTTGGCTACGTAGCTGTCGCGGTCAGTCACCTCGCTGGACACGCGGATGTGTTCGGTGCGGACGATGTTGTAAAGGTGTCGTCGCAGCAGCGCACACGAAGCGTGGGGGTACTGTATGAGGTGAATGTTCTCAGGAAACAGACCGCGTTTGTCATAGTGCGAGATCAGGAGGAAGCCCTGATATTCGGGATGCGGACGCACGCGGAGGTCTAGGAAGGAGACACCGTCGAGCGGGTTCGCTGGGGCGTCAAATTCGACCTCAAGACAGGGGGGGTACATGTTATGTATACCAGAGATGAGATCTACGATCGACGACGGGGTTTCGGGGGGCGGGGTGGGGGGGCGGGGGTGGGTGTTGAAGTAGCGGTACAGTGCGTTCGCGAGAGAGAAATTGTCGTCGATGTAGCGCCTGGAATAACGGAAAGACCCCAAGACCTTCAGCCAAGCGACGTCGCCAGTGCTCAACCAGCGGTCGCGAAACTGGCAGAGGAACGCGAGCTCATGCCGGAACATGTAGCAGTTCGCGAGGTGGGGGGAGGCCGAGAGCCCCATGGGCACACCGCAGGTCTGGTGATATACGACGCCCCCGAACACCACGTAGGCGCGTTTGACGAGGATGTGCACGAGACCATGAAGTTGCTCGATGCTCGGTGCCCATTTCCCAACCATGCCGTCCGCGTCCGGCAGCTGCGCCACCCACCACCACGTCTCCCTCGCGTCAAACGCGGGTTGCAAGTCGATCAGGAGGTGTTGCCCTGGATGCAGTGCAAAAACAGCGTCGATGTGTTCGATGACGCAGTCGATGAGGCCGGTCCCGTGGTCCGCGCTCGTCTCGTGCCGGATGTGCGTGTAGAGCCGCTTGATGTCGGCGCCCAGCAGCAGAGGTGGTTGTTGAGCATGTATCGCTGAGCGTGGTGGGTTGTCATGTAGATACGCGGTCACCATGTCACGCATGCCGCGGCTGGAGTCCACCAAGAAGGGCGCGAAGCTGCTGCAGAGGTCCTCCGGGACGCCGTCGAAGATGGAGCTCCAGACCTCCACGAGGGTGGCGTGGCACATGAGCGCGCCGAGGGCCTTCGTCAGCAGCTGCGCTGCGGGGCGCGTGATGTCGCTCGAGCAGTCCGAGATGTACCGCACGTCCACCTTGGCCTTGTGAAGCTTCATCGTCCCGTAGTAGTGCGGTAGACCACCGCACTCGCGTTCGGTGCGTATTCCTGGTAGCTGCAGGTTGTCCAACATAGCCTCCGTCGTGTTAGCGACGTTCACCACGTGCCTGGCATGCGTGATGTTGGCATTTGCCGGCTCGTTGACAGCGAAAGCGTCGTTGCTGTGCAGGTCGTGCAGGAGGACCTCGATGTAGGCGCGCCGACACACGAAAACCAAATTCCCGGCGTTCTTGTCCATGGTCGTGATGGTGAGGCGTGTCGCGTCTCGCCGCAGAGCCACGCGATCGTCGGGCTGAATGTCCGCCAGCGGCGGGGGCCATGGAAGGCGGAACCCGGGTTGAAGAGCGGGTTGGAGTGCCGTTTGCGTAGCAGCAAGTATAGCATCAATGTACGGCATGCACGCTGCCGCGTCCATGTCGGCGGCCTTGCTGACGCGTTTCGTCCACCCGAGCAGCGGCTTCTGGTAGGCTTCAACGATGCTAGCTACGGTCGCGCTCGTGGCTTGGTGCAGCTCCGGGACGTGTCGGTGCTTGGCACCGCCGACGGCGAACAAACGGCGGTACGCGGTGCTCTGGATGCCCGCCGCAGCAGGGTCCAGCGTGCAGAGGTGCCGCACAGGCTCGCCGTCGATCTGCCAGTAGGGGTCCTCGAGCGTGAAGTGGCGTCGTAGGTCCGGTCCTTGGTGTTGCGCACAGTCGCACTGCGTCGCCATGATGTCGTACAGGCGACTGCGTGCAAACTTGGCAACTCCGCTGTGCGTGCACACCGAGCGCGACAGCGGTGGAAACCTGACCGAATAGCGCGGGGCCACCAGAAACAAGCCATCCATACCTTCGCGGATACGCTCAGGTAAGAGGTTGAGAAAGTCATCATTATTGACGAGGGTTTCGAGGGGGGCGAGGCTAGCCAGGGGGGTAGGGAAGTCGTGGATCATGAGGGTACGGCTCCCGAGGTCGATGTCTGCGACGGGAGGGTAGTGGTGGTTGATGGCGGCCTGCAAAACGGTGCGGGCACTGTCCAACATCTGCTGTGTGTAAAAGGGCTCGTCGAGACCCAGGTTAAGCGCATCGGGATGCATGTGCGACACGCAGTGATGGAGGGAGAAGAGGTATTTTCCGATGTTCGCTGCCGTGCAATGGTTCACCGCGCGTCTCCAATGATCGTGCTCTGTGTCGCCGGCGCGGCGGAACAAAACAACGTCAAGAAGGAGGCGAGTCTGGTAGATATACTCGCGTGTACCGAGGCGCGGAGACATGCCTGCGATAGCGGGGGGCAGGGACAACGCTGGTGCCGTAGTTGTGAGGCAGTTGTCAGCGTCGAGGTGGATGGTACGTTGATGCGTGGAGGAGATGGCAAACGTTGGCTGGAAGAGGGTCGCCAGCGCTGGGAGCCCACTCGGGCCGGGCGGGACGGGGAAGTCGTTGTGGGGGATCGCTACGGGGTGGGGGTCAGCGGCGATTTGGAACGCCAGGGGGGATAGAGGCCATGGGGCAGCATCAGAGTGGCCAGCTCCGTAGCCGAAATTCCACATGCCCTTGCAGTAATTGAGGCCGCCGGGGTATGTGGAGCCCAGACAGCGTATCATGGTCTGCTCCCAGGCCAGGGAGTAGGTGCGGAACTTGTGGAACCAGGCCTTCAAAGCGTCCGGGCTAGTCGCCGGCGGGATGGGCACCTGGCGTGCGAAATTGATGCGAAAGAGGGGCACGATGGTGAAGTCGCGCCACGGGACATGGCCGTTCGGCGACTGCGCCCACACTCGTCGCATAAACTCGTAAAGCGGGGTGTGCACGGCGTTCGGATGGTGCGTGAATGCTGCATCAAAGTGCTCCTGCAGTCGTTCGATCGCTGTGCGGTATGTCTCCCCGACATAGTAAAAGAAGGGGTATTTCCGGCACAAGAGGACATAGACAACCCCGCGCGCCGCAAGCGGGGGGTTTGCCGTGACCGATGGTAGCGCGGCGAGGTCCGAGAGCGCCGGCGGGGGCGGTGGGAAAGGAGCGCTCGGTGGGGGGCACGGGTGCGGGTATGCGGGCGCCCGTTCGTCGCGGGGCACGTAGTCCCAGTAGGGTCGAGGGGCTAGTGCGGAGGCGGGGTGGGAGGGTGTGTGGTGGGGGCTAGGAGGGGGCCAGGCACGGGGAGATGCCTGCGGAGCAATAGCGGCCGCGATGCGGCGTGCGTGCGTGATGCTGGGTCGAAAGTTCGGGTCGTGGTCATTTAGATTTGCGACATGGTGGAACAGGGTGCCATTCGAAAGGTGGCCACGCAGCGTGCGCGCCTCGGCGGTGCCGGCCTGGTCGCTGAGACGCAACGCTGCTTGGAGCCGTTTCCTCCGTCGGCGACCGATTGGAGTGCGCATGGTGAGAGGTTTTGGGGGTGAAAAGAGGGTGGTGTGCGGAACTAGACCGAGGATGCAGTAATCAAGCCACGACGGGAGGGCGACGATGACGGGGAGAGCTCTACCTAAGTTGCGCGTTCCTAGCACGCCGGGCGGTGAGCCACGGACGTGAGACGGCGGAGTCAGTTAGCCGGAGGCAGGCTCGTCTACGCCGACGGTTGAAGGCCGGAGTAGGGAGGTAGCTCTCAGCTGGCACTGCGCCAAAGCCCCATGTTCGAGGCCCGGCGCAGCACAACACGACACACAGAGTAGTAATTGACCACCCGCGCACGAAACGAAATGCGGGTGTGCTATCGTCCTGATCAAGGCGGCAGCGTGCTAGGAGTACTCGCGCGAAATGCCATGTGAGCGTGCCATCATGTGCCAAGGGAAGGCTCTGACCTGCAATCAGTTAGAGTGAGTGGCGGGCGTCGTCAGCAACAACGCGGCGAGCCGCGCGAGTACTGGACGACGCCCGCCAGCCGACGCGCCGAAGTGCTGGTCCACGTCCTAGGCTGCTTGTACCAGGGGGTGTCGGCAGCCGGCTGGGTGACAGCGGTGACTGAGTCTGCGGCATTGTCCGCGTTGTGTGGCGACGCGCCGACGGCTACTCAGCTCTCCTCGTCATCGCCGTCCCCCGCGCGTGGCCTGTCATGCGAAAAGGGATCATACCCACCTGACACAAGCGGGGGGACTCTCCCGCGCACCGCGCCGCACTGCTCGCCCGCGCCTCCGGTCACATCCTCACGCCCGCGTGGCCCGGGGGAGTGTTTTCTTCTCCCGGAGGGTGTTTTCAAACTCCCTCTGCGAGCGCACCATGTCCTTCTTCCGCGTCAGGTCCTTCGCGTCGTCCTGCGCCTTGCGCTGCTTCATGTCGCGCATCTTCAGGTCGTAGTCCGTCAGCAGCGCCTCCCGCTGCGCCTGCGCCATGCGCTGGTTGTCGATCTTGATGCTGCGCTGCCGGGCCATCGTGGCCTCGTACAGCTCGTCCTCGCCCTTGACCGTCGCCTGCGTGTTCCGCACGATCCGCTCGGCGCCCGCGCGCAGCTCCGCGAACTTGCTCTCCTCCACCGCGTCCGCGCTCGCCGCCTGCTGCGCCTGCTCGAACTTGATGCGCTTCTGCTCCGCCGCCAGCCGCGCCTTCTCCGCCTCGAGCGCCGCCTTCCGCTCCTTGATCCGGTCGCTCAGCTCGAGCGTCTGCGCGTCCTTCCGCCGCGACTCGCTCGCCGCCGACGTCGCCGCGTCCTCCTCGCGCCGCCGCCGCCGCAGCGCCGCCTGCGCGTTCGCCAGCTTCCGGATCCGCGTGATGTTCGCCGCCTTCGCCATGAGCGTGCTCTGCTTCGCCTCCTTCTGCCGCTTGATCCGCGCCCGCCGCTCCTCCTCGGCCTCCCGCTCCCGCTCCCGCTCCACCACCATGCGCTCCCGCAGCTCCACGAGGCTCATCTCGTCCAGCAGCCCCAGGTTGGGCGTCCACGTGGGGTCCACCTGCTTCTGGTGCGCCTCCCGCGCCCGCTCCATCGCCCGCAGCTGCATGATCAGGTCCTTCTTCAACCGCATCTCCTCGGCCTGCTGCTCCGCGAGCCGCCGCGCGTTGGCCTCGCGCTTCCGCCGCTCCTCCTCCGCGAGCTCGCGGTTCTGCGTCAGCACCGCCTCCTGCTGCCGCGCCACGTTCGCCCGCTCCTCGGCGATCTCCGCCGCCCGCTGCCGGTTGCGCTCCACCTCCTCCTCGCGCTCCGCCTCCACGCGCTGCGCCGCGCGCTCCCGCTCCTCCTTCATGTCCGCCGCGAGGCTCTGGTTCTCGCTCACCTTGCGCTCCCGCGCCTCCGCCGCCGCCTGCTGCCCGCGCGCCATCTCCTGCCGCCGCTCCTCCACCTCCTCCAGCCGCGCCTGCTGGTCGCGCGCCAGCATCTCCGCCTGCCACGTCTCGAACGCCTTCGCGTCCCGCAGCTCCGCCTCGTACGCCTTCAGCGCCGCCATCTCCTCCGCCTGCTTCTTCCGGTACACCGCGTCCTCCCGCAGGATGGCGGCCGCGTTCAGCCGCACCTCCGCCGACGGCGGCCGCGGCACCGGCTTGGGCTTCACCGGCCGGTACGCGCTCTCCTCCTTCTGCCGCTTCCGCTCCGCGGCCACCAGCTGCGGCAGCTTCGACGGCCGCTCCGTCACGCGCAGCTTGAACACCAGCCGCTGCTGGTCCTGCCGCAGCGCCTCGATCTTGCGGCGGTTGAGCTCGCGCGCCGCCTCGATCGCGCGCTCCTCCGCGGTCGGACCCTCGTCGAGCTTCGGCGCGGGCTTGGCGCGGTACGGCTCCGGCTCGGGCTCCGGCAGCGGCGGCGGCTTGGGCTTGGGCTTGGTGAGCTTGAAGGGCTGCGGCTTCGTGGACTTCGGGGCCGGACGCGCGCGGCCCGTCGTGGCCTTGCGCTCCCCGCTCTTCGAGTTCGCGATGAACACGCGCGACTCCAGCCCTGCGGACACAAAGCAGGCAGGCGTCACGGCACGGCACGTCACGGCGTGCGGTGCGCGGGCAGGGGGCGCGTGCCGCGGGGCGCGGCGGGGCGCGCGGCGGGGGCGGGGGCGCACCGTTGAGGAGGTCGGCGCTCTCCTCCTGCCAGAGCGCGACGCATTCGATGAGGTCGTCGACAAAGACCTTGTCGTAGAGCTTGAGCCACGAGTCGCGGCAGAAGTTGCGGAGGTTGTCGGTCGTGAACATGAAGTGCAGGAAGACGTACATCTTCTGCGGCTCCTGGGACGCGACGAGCTTCCTGCGCCGCGGAGGGAGCGCGCGAGGGGGCGTGGGCAGGAGCGCTGCGCGCTGGCGCGACGGTGGAGGGCCGGGCTGGGTCCAGGCGCGGTCCGCGGTGCGTGGTGAGGATCGGGTTGTTGCGTCGGGGCGGAGTCCGTGCGTGCGGTGGTCGCAGCGGCACCGCAGAGGCCGGCGCAGGTCTGCCCGTTGGTGCTGGGCGCGGCGTCGGTCGCGGCGGGCGGCCTTTCGCGTCCCCGGCGCTCCAGCGACGCGGTTTCGGGACAAACGCACCTGAACATCGAGAACGTGAGCTCCTCTAGCCGGAACAGAGCCAGGTACGCGAAGACAGAGTACAGGTTGGCATCCGCACGAAGCGCCGCACCACTGCGATCAAGTCGAGGGAATCCGCGCCACGTGTGAGCAAGCAGACACCCACAGCTCGCCATCCGAGCCGCCGCACCGTCAGCCGCGGCCCCCCAGACGCGCCCGCGGCCCGCGGGGCGCACAGCGTCTCCACACGTCAAACGCGCGCGGCACAGCGGGGCCGGGCAGCGGCCCCGAGCGCGCGCCCGAGGTCCTCCGGTCCAGGGGGCGGCCGCGGGGCGCCGCGGGCCCGGGTGCGCGGGCGCACCTGTTCTTGTGATAGAAGGCAGCAAGCAGCGCCTGTATCAGCCGCTTGTAGCGCACGGTGCCGTAGAACACCTGCCGGACGAACACCGCGTCGTCCTCGTTGCTGATCTTCTTCTCGGAGAGGAACGTGTCCGCGTGCGCGTCCAGCGTCAGCGCGCTGGGGTTGAAGCTGGTGTAGATGGACTCGCACAGCCCGAGGAGGCGCCCGGCGGTCATCTCGGCCTCCTGCTTGCCCGGGTCGTCGGTCGCCATCGTCATCGCGCGCTCGAGGGACTCCTGCGCGGCGGTCGGCGACCCCCGCCGCTCCCCCGCGCCCGCCGCGGCCAGCCACGCTGCCGCTGCCATCGTCGCCCTTCTTCCCGCCTCCCGCACCAGCGGCCGCCGACGCCGCGCCGCAAACGCCCCGAGCGCCCACGCACGTCACGTCCTCGCCGGACACGAGCGCTCCCTCCCGTCACAGGGCCGCCCGGCGCACACAGCGGGCGGAGATCAAAACGCTCCCCCAGGCTTCTGAACGCAATGCAGGGGCCAGCGCGTGGTTTCGCCGGCCCTAGACTACGCGGGGCCGCTGTCGACCGCAACTCGCGCCTCGGGGCGCTGGACGCCGACAAAGACGACGCGCCACCGCGCTGTTCGCCCGCACCGGTATAAGCGACGCAGGTCTGACGGTCCGTCAGGGCCGCGTGAGGCCCGCGACGCCCTGCCGCTTCGTTGCGCGAGCGTGGCGCGGGCGTGGCCACGTTCTGGAGTGCACGCTGGCGAGCGCAGGGGGTGTCGTCGGCTGGGGGACGCGATGGTGTCAACGCGGAGCCGCTCGCAGGTGTCGGGGGGCGACCCTGCTGCGTTGGAGGAGGACGCCGTGTCGCGCAGGCGAGCCACCTTCGCGCCAACATGCGCCTGCTGACCGCAACGGCCGTGACCGCCCGCATGCTGCGCCGCAGCTGCCCCCTGGGCCCTCCGCAGCCGTCCCGGACGGGTCGTTCGCCGCTACGGGGCGCGACCGCGCCGTGGCGTGCATGTGACGTTGGTTTCCTGCGTGCTGGTAGCGGTGCAGGACACGTTCGGGGTCGAGGGCGAGCCAGGACGACCCGCAGACCCCAGGCGCTGGCTCGCAGCCGGCCACTGGCCGCCGCACGCGGCAGCAGCGCGCTGTCGGCCGGTCGGTCCTGTCGCCGGTCGTCGAGCAGCCAGTGAGTCCCCCTGTCGCCCGCCCATCACGCACAGCCGTCGGCAGTGCCGGCACGGATGCCTCATCATCGCCGCCCCTGGCCCACTGGCAATGCAGGCCGAGCGCGCCGGCGGGAGCCAGGCGTCGCTGCGGTCCGGCAGCAGGGCGCAGCCCCCACGGCGCGTCAGCGACTCGGACCCGTCGGACGATCAAGGTGCCGGCACTGACGACGACAACGACGACGCAGCTGTCGACGCCATGGCTGCGGCGATGCGCGCCGCACTGGCCGCCCGCACCGCTCCGCAGCCCGACGCCGCCTCCCCGTCCGCGTCAGCCAGCAGCGACGGCGCCAGCAGCAGCGACGACGAGGACGACAACGCAGCTGAGCCGGCGCTGCGGTGGAGGCCGACGCTCACAGGGCTCGACGGCCCGACGCGCCGGGCGTACGCGGCGCACGCGGCGGACGCGCACAACGCGGCGCTGGTCGCGAACGCCCGGAAGGACCCCGCGCTCGCCAAGCAGCTGACAGCGGGCCCTCTGGACCCGCGGCGCGAGGAGCGGCTCGCCCGGCGGCGCGCGGGCGCGACGACCGCGGGCGCGAAGTGGTTCGACCTGCCCGCGACGCAGATCGACGAGGAGGCCAAGCGCGAGCTGCGCCTGCTGCGGTTGCGCGGCGCGATGGACCCGAAACGGTTCTACCGGTCGATGGACGCGACGAAGTTCCCGACGTACTTCCAGGTCGGGCGCGTGGTGGAGGGCGCTGCGGACTTCTACTCCGGGCGGCTGACGAAGGCGCAGCGGAAGCGGACGCTGGCCGAGGAGGTGCTGGCGGACACGGACGTGCGCAGGTACCGGAAGCGGCGGTACGCGGCGATGCAGGCGGAGGCGATAAAGTGGTCGCAGAAGCGGCGGAAGAAGGGCAAGAAGGAGCTGCCGCGCCTGACGCCGAAGCCGCACCGGCCCAAGCACTGAAGGAGTGCAGCAGCGCGCGATTGCATGCACTGGGACCGCGTCGAACAGCCAAGCGGATCGGCCGAGCAGCAGCGCCGGGCGGGGCGAGGCGGGGGAGCGGGGGACGCGCGCGCTGCGTGTCGCCGCGCGGTGGTGATGGGTCGGCCGTTGGGCACTGTGGCGCACTACATGTCGTGTCGCTGCGTGTGACGCGGACGAGTTTTACAATGTGCGCAACCGCAATTGCGGCGCGGCAGCGAGGCGAGCTACTCGCTGCGGTTTCAAGGCACCGCGATGACACGAGTCTGTGGTGAATCAGTGCGCGGGAGCTGAGTTGTGCGGTGCGGCGTGGTGCGTGGCGTGGGCCCAAAATCGGTCTTCGTGGCGCGGATCGTGTCGCTCACGCGCGGTCCGCCGCCACCGCCGCCACGGGCTGCGCGCCGCCCTCCCCGGCCTTGTCCCCCATCCCCGCCGCGACCATGCCCTCCATGATCTTCTCCTTGCTCATGTTGAGGATGAACACCGCGCCGACGAGGCGCAGCGCGCGGGGCGCGGCCCCGGAGAAGAACCCCGCGAGCCCGCCCTCGCCGAGCACGTGACGCATGGTGGACAGACTGCTGCGGTACTGCGGCTTCTCCTCGACGTCCATGTTGGCCTGCATCCGCGTCTTGATGGTGTCCGACGGGTGCGTGAGCACGCACGCGATCAGCCCGCCCGTCACCGCGGACGTCCCGAACGCCGACGACTCGCTCCACCCCTGCTCCAGCAGCGCGTCCTTGATGGCCGGCGCGATGCCGAGGTAGCCCATGGTGTAGAGGCCCTCGCGCACGCACGTCATGGAGATGCCGCGGAAGAGCCCGCGCGACACGCCGCGCTCGTTGACCAGCCTCTTGGCCGTTTCCAGGATGCCGCCGCCCACCTTCTGCTGCTGGATGACCACGGCCTCGAACGGGCCCGCGACGGCGCCGGAGGTGATGCCCGCGAGCGCAGCCGTCGACATGCGCGTCGCGACGTTGTCCGACAGCCCGGCGTCGCGGGCCAGACCGCCGTAGAAGCGGTTCGCCCCAAACTGCACAAAACACAACAACACGCGGCGCTGAGCGTCGGGGCGCGCATGGGGCGTGCGGCGGCGCGTGTGGGGGTGCGGGGCGGATGCGTGGGCGGCGGCGGGCGGCGCGGCGGACCTGGACGGCGGTGATGGGGGCGATGGAGGCGGCGCCGGCGCCCCAGCCCGTGTAGAGGGCGCGCGGCGTCATCGTGGGCGTGCGGCCGTCCTGGAGGGCGTTCTTGATCGTGATGGTGGGCTGGGAGCACGAGATCTCCACGACGCCGGCGAGCGCGCCGGCGGCCGCGTGGTGCGCGGGCGTCAGGTTCTCCATGTTGCTGCTAATCGGAATCTAAAGACTCAAAGCACCTGCGAGACCATGTGGACACGAGATCCTGTCGGGTCGGATTCGCGTCCAGCCTACGCGCGCCCGCGAGCCCGCTGTCCCGGGCCGCTGACGAGAGCTTGCGCGCAGTGCACGCCTGCGCGCACCGAGGCGCGCTGACGTCACGCCCGGCGTCGCGCAGCCCGCAGCGAGGGGGCGTGCCAGTGGGCAAAGGCACACAGCGAAGCAGGCGCGCAGGAGGCCGACGCGGCCAGCGCGGCCCACAAGAGCGCTCGGCGCGGGACCACAGTCAGCGGTGGAGCGCGTGCGTCGCGGGAAACACGCCGCGGCATCCGCGGGAGCGCCCGGCCGCGGTGCGAGGCAACGCAGTAGTAGGCATGCGCGGCCCCGTGGCGCGAGACGGCGGTTGAGCGTCCCTATGGTCGCGCACGGACGCGTGGAGGCCGAGAAACGGGAATGTGGCGCCCGGAGCGGCCAGATGAGGCACGGCAGCCGCCGCCGCCGGTGCTTGTGGGCGGCCCCTGAGCCTCTCGGGGGCGTGAGGGCGCAGCGGCGGCGTCACGGCTGGGAATGGGGCGCAGGACGTGCGCTGAGGGCTCGATTGGGCGCTCGTTGCGCACGCACGGGCGCGCCGGGGGCCGACGGGCGCGCGGGCGTGCTGGTGCAGCGAGCGCAGGTCGACGTACCCGTGCGGCAGCGGCCTGGGCCTCTGCGACGCTCCTGCCCGCGATGGGCCGTGCGGTGGGTGGCGAGGGGCCTCCCGCCGTCGGTCTCGACCGGAGCGCGGCCGCAGCAACGTTCGCACGGAGGTGCTGCCGAGGGGGTGGTGGGGGTCTGAATTCGGGGCGATGTGGCACGACGCAAGGTGCGGCTCGCCGGGACTTCGATTGCTCAGATTGAAACTGCACTGCAGAGCGCGCGCGAGCGCGTCACGAGCCCCTGCGCGGCCCGCACGAACGGGCACGCCCCACCCCCCCCCGACTGCCGTGAACGGCCTCGTACGTGGGCCGGGGGCGTCGAGGGCGCGCCCACGGCGCCACAGCGGCAGAGCGGCTCCTCCGGACCACCTGAGCGATTCCTGCTTGATCCACCGCCACAGCCTCCGCGCTACACACACGCAGCAAGCGGCTCGTTGCACGCGCCTCGCTCCGTCGCACAGACCGCAGCTCGACCCCCGCTCCGCACATCGACGGCAGCCCGCGCAGCCGCCCTTTCACGCCGGCGGCGCGAGCAGTCGGCGCCGTGTCGCTCACAGCGGGAGCAGGGACGACCTAGAGGACACACGCACGCGGGCCCGGCTGCGGCCGAGGGGTTGGCCCTTCCTCTGGAGATACTGCGCCTGGCATGAGCAAACATGGCAGCGGGCTGCGGGACGGCCGGGCGGAGGGGCAGGTGGCCGCGCGGGACATCGTTCCCCCAGAAAGGCAAGTGTCCACAGGCCGGCGGACGTGAGGTGGTCGGGAGGCCCTGCCAGGCGGGCGCGGAATCGAGCACGCGACGTGCTCCATGGCGTCGTTTTGTTTTGCGACGTCCGCGGAGCCCTGCACGCGAGCACGCTGCTTCCCTCCAGTTGATGGCTCCAGGCGCCCCGCGCCCCGCATGATGGGCACCGCGCGGCTGGCCGCCTCTCGCAGGTTCCCGCTCTGTATTGTGTGGACGCCGATCCCGGTGGTGACGTGGATCATGCCGTTCGTGGGGCACATGGGCGTCGGGGACAGCCGCGGGCTGCTGCACGACTTCCTGGGGCACGGCACGATCAACACGGGGCGGCTGGGGTTCGGGAGCCCCGCGCGCTACCTCCGCGTGGGCGACGGCAAGACGCTCAGCCTCCCAGGTGCGCAGCCGCGTCGCCCACCTCTCATTTTCGGTTACGGGAGCGCGCCCGCGCGCGCGGTCGGCCTGGCTGACCGCGCCGCGCTTGTGCCCGCTCGCTGCGCAGACGATGCGGGCAAGACGTGGGACGACGCGGTGCGGTTGTCGGTGGAGGACTTCAAGACGGAGGACTACAGCTTCTTCACCAACAACTGCCACACGTGCGACGCCCGACCCGCGCGCCACTGCTGGCCCCCCGCGCCGCACGCAGTGTGTTCCGAGACGCCTGGGAGCGGCGGCAACGGGCTGCGTGTGTGTTGTTGCTGTGCAGGTTTGTGGGGGCGGTGCTGTCGCGGGCGCGGTGCGGGGGGCGGACGAAGTGGGACATGGCGCGGCTGGCGGTGCTCGTGGCGCTGTTCGGGCGGCACGTGGGCGTGTGGGGCGTCGCGAAGACGTGGGTCCCGTGGGGGTGTGTCATGGGGGTGGGGGTGTACTTCGGGGGACTGTGGTGCGCCGTGGCCTGGCTCGGACTCTGCCTGGTCCTCGCGGCGTACGCGGTGTCGTACGAGAGCTTCTGTACGACGCGGTGGCTGTGACGCCGCGTGAACGCAGCGGGCAGGGGTGGTCAATGAACCCTTTGTGTTGCGCAGGCACCAGCGCGGAGGGGGGGAGGCTGGCGAGAGGGGGGGCGCGAGCTGACGAAGGGCGGGCAAGCAGTGCGGAGGGGGGTTCGCAGGCGGGGTGTGTTGCGGGGGTGTGTGCGACTGTGTGTCAGTGGTGCTGTCTGCACCGCTTCTTTGCCGGGGCGGGGAGAACGGCGAGTGCAGTGGAGGTGTGACGCGTGCGCGATCGATTTCAGCAGGGGGTCTGTCTGTCCTGCGCTGATTTGTTGCGCGAGGTCACGGCGGCGGTCGGTCGGCGTTGGCTGGGACACAGGACGAGCGCTCCTGGGCGCGGTGGGGGCAGCCGCGGCTGGGGTCGTTAGCGTAGTTGATGAGGTGATAGGATGCGGCCAGCGGTGATTTTGCTTGCGCTCGCCCTCGCGCTGGCGTGCGTGGGGGCGCTGCCTGGGGCCGCGGCACGGCGCTTGACCGGCAAAGAACGCACCTACGAGGTTGGAGACCCGGTGCCGCTTCTAGCGAACAAGATTGGGCCTTTCTCGAATCCGAGGTGCGCAGTCCACCCCTTGCGCCACGCCCGCAAGCCGTGAGCGGTCGAACAAGCACCCCATCAACCCAGGGCGCGCGGCGCCCCGTTCGGCGCCCACGGCGCAATACTTCGCTGGAAATGCATCGCACTGCCGTGAGGAATCGGGCCCCTTGTATCCCGCGCTTCGTCCGCTGCGCTGGACGCCGCGGCCCGGTGGTGGCGCGAGCGCTGATGCACCACTGCGAGGTCAGCGGTGATCCCGCGGCATCCCCCGCGCCTGCGAAGCAACCGCGCGCCAAGGTCCTCTGCAATCCTCGACCCGCCGTTGCGCCACACCGCACCCCGCGAGCCCCCCGGGCCATCGCGCCCCGGTTCGATTTCCCCCTCACGCAGCTCAAGGCGCGGCCGTGCGCTCGGCTCCGGCGCCGCGGCCCGCCCGCCACCGGCGCCCTTGCTCCTCCGTCACGCAACCTCGCCCCGGGCCCCGTCGCCGGCTCCCCGCGGCCCGTCCGTCCGCGACACTCGCCCCCGAAGCTCCATGTGTCGCAGCGAGACGTACCGGTACTACGACCTGCCGTTCTGCCAGCCCGAGAAGCTGGAGAAGCAGAAGGGCGGGCTCGGCGACGCGATGGACGCGAACCGGATGACGAACACGCCGTACGAGATCAAGTTCCGCGAGGACGTGGACAGCGCCACGCTGTGCACGGCCAAGCTCGACAAGAAGGCGGTCGGGAAGCTGCTCAAGGCGGTCGAGGCGGAGTACTACTTCAACATGTACTTCGACGACCTCCCGCTCTGGGGCTTCATCGGCAAGACGGAGCAGGACACGCACGCGAGCACGGCGGACTACAAGCGCCTGCTGCACACGCACCTGCCGCTGGAGGTGGCGTACAACGAGGACCGCGTGATCGAGGTGCACGTCGCGCACGACGCGAGCGAGGCCGACGACGTGGTCGACATCACCGACGGCGAGCCGCGCGAGGTGACGTTTACGTACAGCGTGGCGTGGAAGCCGACGACGATCCCGTACGCGCAGCGCATGGACAAGTACGCGCGGTACAGCTTCCTCCCGCAGCACATGGAGATCCACTGGTTCTCCATCGTCAACTCGTGCGTCACCGTCCTCCTCCTGACCGGCTTCCTGGCCACCATCCTCCTGCGCGTGCTGCGCAAGGACGTCATCAAGTACCAGGGCGACGAGGAGGCGCTCGACGACGCGGAGGAGACGGGGTGGAAGTACGTCCACGCCGACGTGTTCCGGTTCCCGCGCCGCCGCGGCCTGTTCTGCGCGCTGGTCGGCACGGGCTACCAGCTGCTGCTGCTGTCCGTGCTGCTGTTCGCGCTCGCGCTCGCGGGGCAGTTCTACCCGCACAACCGCGGCGCGATCATGGTCGCGCTCGTCCTGCTCTACGCGTTCACCGCGTGGGTGTCGGGCTACGCGTCGGGCATGTACTTCCGCCAGATGGGCGGCGGGAACTGGGTGCGCAACACGCTGGTGACCTGCGCGGTGCTCGCGGGGCCGTTCTTCGCGACGTTCTGCTGGAACAACACCGTCGCGATCGCGTACCGCTCGACCGCCGCGCTGCCCCTCAGCACCATCGCGCTGCTGTTCTTCATCTGGGGCGCGGTGACGGTGCCGCTGACCATCGCGGGCGCCATCGTGGGGAAGAACTCGCGGTCGACCTTCGCGGCGCCCGTGCGCACGAACAAGTACCCGCGCGAGACGCCCGACCTCACGTGGTTCCGCTCCACCCCCGCCCAAATGGTCATGGCGGGCTTCCTGCCCTTCAGCGCCATCTACATCGAGCTGTACTACATCTTCGCCAGCGTGTGGGGCCACAAGGTGTACACCATCTACTCCATCCTCGCCGTCGTGTACTGCATCCTCGTGCTCGTCACGGCGTTCATCACCGTGGCGCTGACCTACTTCCAGCTCGCCGCGGAGGACCACCGCTGGTGGTGGCGCTCGTTCCTCTGCGGCGGCTCCACGGGCGTGTTCGTGTACGCGTACTGCTTCTACTACTACTTCTTCCGCGCGGACATGTCGGGCATGCTGCAGACCAGCTTCTACTTTGGGTACATGGCGTGCATCTGCTACGCCTTCTTCCTCATGCTCGGGACCGTCGGGTGGCGCGCCTCGCTCGCCTTCGTGCGGTACATCTACGGCAGCGTGAAGTGCGAGTAGCCGCACCGCGTGACACTGTGCAGTCACATGTAACACCTCGAGCACGTGCGTCACTCGAGCTCCTTCAGTCGCGCCTCGAGGTGCCGCACGCGGTCCAGCAGCGTCTTCTCCCGCTCCGTGAGCACCGCGCTCCCCGCCGCCTCCACCTCCGCCAGGTGCGACTTGGGCGTCATGCCCGCCTGCTCCATGGCTTGCATCATCGCGCCGTCCAGGTCGCGCAGGAGGTCGTCCGCGTCCTCGATGCCCACAGATATCCGCACGAGGTCGTCCGGGAGCCCGCGCTCCGCCCGCACCTCCGCGGGGATGGACGCGTGCGACATGAAGCACGGCAGCGAGATCTGCGACGCGACGTTCCCGAAGGAGACGGTGATCTTGAAGAGCTGCGTGCGCTCCACGATCGCCTTGCTCGCGACGATGTCGCCCGTGGTGAACGACAGCAGGGACCCCCCCGACGAGGCCTGACGCCAGTGCACGTCGTGCCCCGGGTGGCTCTCGAGGCCCGCGAAGTTGAGCTTCGTCACGAGGGGGTGGTCCTTGAGGTACTCCGCGAGCCGCGCGCAGTTGTACGCCTGCCGCTCCATGCGCACGCCCATCGTCCGCATTCCGCGTAGCAGCAGCCAGCAGTCGTGCGGGCCCAGGATGGCGCCCTCGGCGTTCTGACAGAACGCGATCTGCGGCGCACGGGGACGCGGGGGCGCGGCGTGGGGCGGCTGGCGCGCGCGCGGCTGCAGTCCTGTCTGGCACACGAACAAACAAACAAGCGCACCTTGTCGGCAACGTCCTTCCCGCGCACGGAGAGCATGCCCGCGGTGACGTCGGAGTGTCCCCCGAGGAACTTGGTGCCGGAGGTCATCACGACGTCGGCGCCCAGGTCGAGCGGGCGGCAAAACGTGGGGGCCATGATCGAGTTGTCGACCACGACGACGCAGCCGGCCTCCTTCGCGACCCTCGCGCACGCCTCGATGTCGCAGATCTGCATCCGCGGGTTCGTGGGGGACTCGAGCATCACCAGCTGCGTCTTCCCCGGGATGATGGCCTTGCGCAGCTCCTCCACGTCGCACGTGTTGACGTTCGAGACGCTGATGCCGAGGCCGGGGACCACGCGCGAGAGCAGCCGGCTCGTGCCGCCGTACAGGTCGTCGCCCGCGACGATGTGCCCGCCCGTCGACACCAGGCGCGTGCACGCCGCTAGCGCTGCCATACCAGAGGCGAACGCGAAGGCTCGGTCCGCGCCCTCGAGCGCCGCCAGGTGGTCCTCGAGCAGCGTCCTGCGTGCATGCCACGGCGCGGGCCGCGTGGGGCGGAGACGCGCGCCGCGTCGCGTGCGCCGCGAGAAGCGGTTGGCGCGGCGGCCAGCGGCGATCCGGGCCGCAGGGCGGCGTACAAGAGGGGGCGCGTGCCTGGTGGGGTTGCCGCTGCGGGTGTAGTCGTACTCGCCGTTCTCGGTCGCGGCGGGCTGCCCGAACGTGGCCGTCTGGTAGATGGGAGGGGCCGTTGCGTCGTAACCATCCAGGCACCCGCCCGAGCGCGGATGCACCAGACGCGTGGCCGTCTTGATGTCCGCCGGGAGCTTCTTCTTGTTGCCGTCCTTCATGGCCGTCGCGATCGTCCGCGTGCGGCGCTGCGCGCACCCGCAGCCCGAGGACCGCACACCCTGTGCCAGGCCAGCAAAGACGGAATGCGCCATGTTCGCTGCGCGTGAGCGGGAGGTTACCGTCCCTGGCGCCGCGGATCTGCGATGAGACGCGGAGGAGGCGGCCGCTCCGGCTGAGAAGGCCCGGGAACGCGACTGCGGCATCCGCTGACCTCAGGCTGTGCCCGACCGCTCTCGCGGCGTCGTGGGGGCCGCGCGCGGGCAGCGCGCGGCAGTTTCTCGGTCGAGTGCCGACCCTTCGTCATTTTGCTGTTCGAATAGCTCGCCGCCAGTCGACTGCGAGAGAGCTACGCGATGCAGAGGGTGCTTGCACCAACGTCTCAGGCTGCGTGCCGGGTCGCGCCCGGCGCGCAGCGGGTCCGCCTCGCTCCCGTTGGATCGGGAGTGAGGCCCGCGGGCGGTCTTGGCGGCAATGCGGGCTCTCGCGCGCTCCCGACGCGTCACGGCAAGGGCCGAATGGTTGCCACGGTGCGTCGCCCTCGTCCGCGCGCACTTCCACCTCACGCTCGCGGAACCGGTAGGATCAGTTCAAACGCATCCCAGCAATCGACGCAGCGGGCGTGGGTCCGGCCTGAAACGCAGCAACGCGCCTGTCGGTTGCCAGGCCGCCTCGCCCCGTAGCCGGCCCTCCGCGTCCCCCCGCGCGCGCCCCGCGTCCTCATCGAGACCTGTCAGTCGTCCACGGCCCCGCGCGGGCGGAAACAACGCCGTAATCGCTCCGTGGCCGCGCGCCCAGCACCTTCCCTCCCTGGCTGTTGACCACGCGCGCGTTGCAGGCGGCGCTGGACGTGGAGAAGGCCGCGGACGGCGCGAAGGGCGCGACGGAGGTCGGCATCGACAACAAGGCGCACGAGAAGTACACGCTGATCACGCTCACGACGCCCAACCGCCCGGGCCTGCTCAACGCCATGTCGGCCGCGTTCCGCGACATGGGCATTGACATCCTCAAGGCCGAGCTCGACATCCAGGGCAAGATCGCCGTCGACAAGTTCTACGTCCTCGACGTCGAGACGCGCCAGAAGGTGCGCCGCCCGCGCCGCGCTCCGCCGCGCAACCACCGCCGCTGCCCACCAACCGCTCCGGGCCCCCGGCGCCGCGCCGCGTGAATGCCGCGCCGCGCCGCGACGCAAGGCGACCCCCGGTGCCCGCACACGCCGGCGCGGGCCGCCGGGCCGGCCGCGGCCCCGCGCGAGCCGCGCGCGCCGCTTCCCCACTAGATCTCCTGTGCCCAGCAGCGTGCCGGGCGGGGGCGCCCGCCGCCGCACGGCCCCGGCCGCCCCGCGGCGCGCCCGGCCCGCACGCCACGTTCCCGCGCCGAGCCGCCCGTCGCGGGCCCGCACCGCGCCCCGCGCCGCGGGGCCCACGCCCAGCGGTTGCGCGAGGCCACGTCGCCGCCCACGCGTCCGCCGGCGCGTGCCCGCGCCGCGCGCAGATCACCAAGGCGGAGGACCAGGAGCAGATCAAGCGGACGATCGCGACGGTGGTGGAGGGCAAGCACACGGGCAACACGCCGCGCCCCTACATGGGCCCCATCAACGAGACGCGCGGGCGCAAGGAGCTGCTCTACTCGATGATGGACACGTACTCGAAGAACGACGTCCTCTCGATCCAGCAGTCGATCATCAACCACGTCGAGTACACCCTCGCGCGGACGCGCTACCGCTTCTCGGTGCAGGAGGCGTACCAGGCCACGGCCTTCTCCGTGCGCGACCGGCTGATCGAGGTGTGGAACGACACGCAGACGTGGCTCCGCGAGGCCGACCCGAAGCGCGTGTACTACCTGTCGATGGAGTTCCTCCAGGGCCGGAGCCTGAAGAACGCGCTGTACAACCTCAACGTCAAGGACGCCTACACCGAGGCGCTCGAGGAGCTCGGGTACGACCTCGAGGAGCTCGCGGAGTGCGAGCGCGACGCGGCGCTCGGCAACGGCGGCCTCGGGCGCCTCGCGTCGTGCTTCCTCGACTCGATGGCCAGCCTGGAGCTCCCCGCGTGGGGGTACGGCATCCGCTACCAGTACGGGATGTTCCGGCAGACGCTCCAGGACGGGTTCCAGCACGAGCAGCCGGACTACTGGCTGACGTTCGGGAACCCGTGGGAGATCGAGCGCAACGTGGTGACGTACCCGGTGAAGTTCTTCGGCCACGTGAGCGTGTACGAGGAGAACGGGAAGCAGAAGTTCAAGTGGCACCCGGGCGAGGAGGTGACGGCGGTGGCGCACGACAACCCGATCCCCGGGTTCGACACGCAGCACACGATCAACCTGCGCCTCTGGAGCGCCAAGCCCGTGCGGCAGTTCGACCTCGAGGCGTTCAACACGGGCGACTACGTGCAGGCCATCCTGGCCCGGCAGCGCGCGGAGACGATCTCGTCGGTGCTGTACCCGGACGACCGCACGTACGAGGGGCGCGAGCTGCGGCTGAAGCAGCAGTTCTTCTTCTGCTCGGCGTCGCTGCAGGACGTGGTGCGGCGGTACCGCGAGACGCACGACACGATGGACCTGTTCGCGGACAAGGTGGCGTTCCAGCTGAACGACACGCACCCGGTGATCGCGGTGCCGGAGCTGATGCGGCTGCTGATCGACGACTGCGGCCTGGGCTGGACCAAGTCGTGGGAGATCACGACCAAGGTCTTTGCGTTCACCAACCACACGGTGATGCCCGAGGCGCTCGAGAAGTGGCCGGTGCAGATGATGGAGAAGCTGCTCCCGCGGCACATGCAGATCATCTACGACATCAACTGGCGCTTCATCCAGCTGGTCAAGGACAAGAAGGGGCCCAACTGGCCGGGGCTGCAGAACATGTCGATCATCGAGGAGGACGCGTACGGCGGCAAGGTCATCAAGATGGCCAACCTCGCGTGCGTCGCGAGCCACACCATCAACGGCGTCGCGGCCATCCACTCGCAGATCATCAAGGACACCATCCTGAAGGAGTTCTACGAGCTCTGGCCGGAGAAGTTCCAGAACAAGACCAACGGCGTGACGCAGCGCCGCTGGCTCGCCTTCTGCAACCCCCCGCTGCGCATGCTCATCACCGAGACGCTCGGGACGGACAAGTGGATCAAGGACCTCACGCTGCTCGAGGGCCTCCGCGCGCACGCCAAGGACCCCGCCTTCCAGGAGAAGTGGGTCGCGGCCAAGCTCGAGAGCAAGCAGCGCCTCGCCGCCAAGGTCAAGGAGCTCACGGGCGTCGAGGTCAACCCCAACGCGCTCTTCGACGTCCAGGTGAAGCGCATCCACGAGTACAAGCGGCAGCTGCTCAACGTGCTCGGCGTGGTGCAGCGGTACCGCGAGATCAAGAAGATGACGCCCGAGCAGCGCAAGAAGGTCGTCCCGCGCGTGGTGATGCTCGGCGGCAAGGCGGCGCCGGGCTACGAGATGGCCAAGCGCATCATCAAGCTCGTGTCGGCCGTCGGCGAGAAGATCAACAACGACAAGGACGTCGGCGACCTCCTGAAGCTCGTGTTCCTGCCGGACTACAACGTCAGCCTCGCGGAGGTCATCGTGCCGGGCACGGAGCTCTCGCAGCACATCTCGACGGCCGGCACGGAGGCGTCGGGCACGTCCAACATGAAGTTCGCGATGAACGGCTCGCTGATCATCGGCACGATGGACGGCGCCAACGTCGAGATCGCCGAGGAGATTGGCGAGGAGAACATGTTCATCTTCGGCGCGCGCACGCCCGAGGTGCCCAAGCTGCGCAAGGAGCGCCGCTCGCTCAAGCCGGACCCGCGCTTCACCGAGGTGTGCGCGTCCGTGCGGAAGGGCGACTTCGGGTGGCAGGACTACCTGCTGCCCGTCATCGACAACGTGGAGGGCACCGACTTCTACCTGGTCGCCAACGACTTCCCGAGCTACCTCGAGACGCAGAAGCGCGTCGACGACCTGTACCGCGACCAGGCCAAGTGGAACGAGATGTCCATCCTCTCCGTCGCGGGCATGGCCAAGTTCTCGTCCGACCGCACCATCAAGCAGTACGCCGACGAGATCTGGGGCATCCAGCCCTGCCCCAACCCGGGCGACGGCAACGGCGGCGCCACCAGCAACAACTGAACGGCGCACCCGAGCCGCGCGGGGGGAGCAGGCCGCGCCCGGACGCGAGCCATTAGTGCAAGGCATGTAGAAGCATCGTCCGCGCCGAGGCAGGACTCGGCCGGGGTGTGAACCACAGTGAACGTGCGCAGAGGTGGCGCGCGGCGGAGACGCGAGGCTGGCGCCAACCCGCCGTGCGTGTGCGGCGCTGCTGACAGCTGGGAGCGCGGCCGTGAGTCAATCAATACTTTGAGTGTGAGCGCCGCTGACGCGCACGACGGACATGTGTGGCTGTCGCTCGCGTCCGCCTCGCGCCTGTGCAGGCGCGTGACGCGACGTCGCCTGGCCTGCTCACGGCGTTGGCGCTGTGCGAGTCAATGGTTGCTCGGTCTGGTCAGCGCCCTCCGCAGAGCACTTGTTCGCAGGCGAGTCAGGACGCACGCGGTGGTGGTGGGACACGGTGCGGCGTCGTGGCGGCCGGCTGCCGCGGTCCCTTGCTGACGCAGGGGGGGAGGAGTGTGTGTCGAAGAGGGCGAGTGTGCACAGCAGTGGCGCTCCATGCGACGCGTCACGCGCATTCGGCGGCCGACGTGTGCCTCTCACGGATTTGAGCCTGTTGGCGACTCACTGCTGCGTGCACTGCACCCGCGGCGGATTCGCGGACGGAGAAGCACCTGGATTCCTCCTGGTGCGAAGCGAGGTCGTAGGCGGCGGGGACGTGGATATAGAGCAGCACAATAGAGGAGTACGTTTGGGGGCGTCCGAATGGCGGAGATCCAGGACGCCGTCCAGGTCGCGGCGAACCTGGCCGAGTACGAGGAGCAGCTGGAGCAGACGAAGCAGGCGCTGCAGGCAGACCCCGGGGATGAGGAGCTTCTGGGCGTCAAGGAGTCGCTTGAAGAGATCATCACGGCCACGAAGGAGCTGCTAGAGACGCTTGGCGGGCCAGATGCGATCCCTGTCCCGGCCCCCAAGCAGCCTGCAGCACAGGAGGCGCCTGCGGGCGAGCAAGGCGACGAAATCAGCGAGCCGCTCCCGGAGGGCATGACTTACGTCAAGGAGCGGCCGCCGCTACCGACAACGCTTCCGGACCAGACGCTGCGAGAACTGAAGTGCGTCCCACACACCCCGGCCACACCCCGGCCACCACACAGACCCGCGCAACACACCAACCTCGCGCGCACCCCGGCCCCCGCGCGCTGCACGCCCCACCGAGCACCCACGCCTCGCGCTTGCACGCGCCAGTCTCCGCGGGCGAAGGCAACACCCCGTCGCACTTGACTATGGCCGCCGCGCTGACCGCCCGGCCGCCCGCGGTGCTCGCGTTGCAGGAAGAAGCAGGTGAAGGAGGCGCTGGCCGGCGCGGGCGACCCGGCGTGGGCGATCGGGCACAGGTGCAACGCGCACTACTGCGGCGACGGGGAGGAGTACCCCGCGGTGATCGTGGGGGCCACGGCGGACCGGCGGTTCGTGGTGGTGTACGACGGGTTCGGGGAGTACAGGGAGGTGGTGCGGGCGGCGGGCATCAAGCCGCGCGAGGAGGGGCAGGGGTACACGGGCGTGGCGGCACCCAAGGTGCGGCGCGTGGGCGGCGAGGACCTGGCGGCGCTGCCGAAGGAGATCCCGAAGCACCTGCAGATCAGTGAGGGCGACGACGAGAAGACGCGGGAGCGCAAGGTGAAGGCGATTAAGACCATCAAGAAGAAGAGGCGGTTCGCGGAGCTGGACGCGAAGCTGGACGAGCAGCAGAGCGCGTGGCAGAAGTTCAAGCAGGGGAAGACGGGGAAGAAGTTCTTCAAGAACAAGAAGTCGATCTTCAGCGTGCCCGAGGGCGGCAAGGTCGGCGTGAGCAAAAAGATCGCGAAGCGGCCGTGAGGCGCGCGGGACGGATGTGAGCGAGCGTGAGCGCGAGTGCCCCGCACGTGCGTGCACGCAGGGCGCGCGAGCTGAGCCGAACGCCCCCAGGCAGGCGCGGCCACGGTACCAGAGCAAACCGCCTCAGGGCCGCCGGGGGAGCGAACGACACATGTGCTGCGTGCGCAGCCCGCCGGAGAGTTCGGCGACGTCGCCTGTGCGTTTCGGCGACGCGCCGTGCGGAGGGCGTGCGGGCGAGGCGCGCTCGTCGCGCACACAGCGTGACGCCGTCAGTGGTGCAGCCGCGACGTGGCACAGTCGCCCCTGGCCCCGCAGCCGCAGCAGTAGCGCAGTGTCTGCATGGTCTCGTGCGCCGGGTGTGGGCGCGCCCGGTGGCGCTGCGAGACGCTGACGCGCGCATCACAACAATGATGTCATCTTGGCACTGGTCAGACAGAGCTGCTGACGCGCGTGCTGCCCGGAAGCGGCCGCGACGGGCCCCGGCGGCCTCACTGCGCAGCGAGGGGCCGCGGAGAGGACAGTATTCGCATTCTGACTCAGCGGCACGTAGCGTTCGGTCGTTGGAATCGGTTGCTGCTCAGAGGGCCGGCCGGAGAGAATGCACCGGCGGCCTCGGCGCGCTTGAAGGCTGCGTGCGCGTCATGAGTAGGTGTTCTGGACCATGAGCGCGGAGACGAGCGACGACGAGCCCCGGGCGGACGAGGAGGGCGGGGTCCTCGGCGGCGGCAATGCAGTGCGGCCACAGCGAGCGCGGCACCCGGGGCTGAACAACGAGCTCCACGTCCGCACCTCGGACGACCTCCCCGTGATGCGTCTGTCCGGAAGCAGGACGTTGAACGGCAGCGTGCAGTCGCGCGCCGAGCCCGGCGACCTGCTGCCCAGCGCAGCAGAGTGCCCCACGCCTGGCCACTCCATCGACGTCCACGCCCTGCCCGGCAAGTCAGCCAGCATGGGAGCGGCAGGTGATGCCCCCGCCTGCGTTGCTTCGCCCTGAAGATTGCGACTGCGGCGCTGGAGGGCCGCTCGCCCAGCGCCAGCAGTGTGCGCGGGCGCAAGTGCGGCATCGAGCCAAATTCGTCCTTTCCGGTGCCATTCTCTCGCGTGAGAGGTCGATTCTTCGCGTCTCCTCAGCGGGCGGAGACGCATGGGACAGCCTATCCGCCGGGAAGAGCGCTTTTCACACGCCAAGACACCACGCGCCGTGCAGGTCGTTTGCGCTTCATCGTCGAGCACAACCAGCCCTTGGAGGCAGAGGAGGAGATGCTGTCCGACATCACGTCCGAGTCCTCGGAAGACGACGACGTCGTGCCGGAAATGGCCGACTTGGTACGTGTGCGCGACGACCCATCCGACACCCGCACGCCGCGCGACGTTCCGCGCCCCGCGCCGCCCCCCGCCGACCTCCCTCGTCGCCTTCCCCACGCGACGCGCGCCCGCGGCCCGCGCCCCGCCCACAGGGCGCATCAACGGCGCGTCAAGTCCCTCTCGCTGGTCTTCCGCGCGCACGCCGCGCCCTCGCCGCCGCGCCCCGCGCACGCTCCGCCCCTGACTCCGCGCCTCCCCGCATCCCCCGCCCGCAGCGCACCGTCGTCAGGCGCCACGCGCCCCTCCCGTCGTCGGTCGCCGAGAGCCTCCCCGACCCCGAAGCCTTCCCGGAGTCCACCATCACCGGCGCCGGGACGATGCACCGCGGCGCGGCGCTGATGGGCAACGCCGGCTTCATGCGCACGCTCACGTGCCGCCTGGGCCCGCCGCCGATGTTCGCGGAGCCCACCGCGGACGTGCGCCCGAGCGGCAACCTGGACAGGCAGCACGACGCCGAGCCGTCCCAGGGCGTCCAGCCGCCGCCCCCGAGCGCCGCGGAGGGCTTCGACGCCGGGAACCAGTTCCTCGGCCCCGCGCCCTCGCTCTCGCGCCCCCCGCTGCCGTCCGCGTCCGGCGGCATCACGCCCGCGGGCTCCTCGACGCAGCACGACATCGCGTCGCAGCTCTTCATCCCGCCAGAGTGCCTCGAGGTGGACCTGAACCGCCCGCTCGGGCAGGGCGGGTACGGCGTCGTGTACAAGGCGCTGTACCGCAAGCGCCCCGCGAGCCACCCGCGCGAGGTGGCGGTGAAGGTGTTCAAGGACACGGTGCACAACCGCGCGCTGCGGGACGAGATCTCGCAGTTCCTGGACGTGGCGCTCGGGTGCAGCAACGTCGCGCGGCTGCACGGGTTCACGGAGTTCCCCCCGAACGGCGACGGCGCGCTGAAGGGCTACGGCATCGTCATGCACTTTTACCCGACGACGCTGCGGCACTACATCGAGGAGGCGGCGCCGTTCCCGCCGACGGAGGTCGTGCGGATCGCGCTCGAGATCTGCCAGGGCCTCGACGACCTGCACTCGACGCTCGAGGTCGCGCACGGCGACCTGAAGCCCCGGAACGTGCTGCTGGACCACAAGAAGGGGACGCACATCTCCGACTTCGGGACGACGCAGATCGTGGGGCTCGCGTCGGGGCGCGTCGACGGATACACGCCCGGGTACTGCGCGCCCGAGCAGGCGCAGCCCGTGGGGGAGCTGACCACTGCGTCGGACATGTGGTGCGTGGGGTACATCATCGTGGAGTGCCTCACGGGGCGCCGGTCGTGGATCCGGCCCGAGCGCCGCCCGCGCACGCCGAGCGACGTCGACATGAGCGTCGGCACCCCCGTGCAGGCCGCGATTCCGGACATTCCGAAAGGCACTCACCCGCAGCTGAAGTCGATCCTGCAGCGGTGCTTCAAGCTGAGCCCCGCGGAACGCATCACGGCGCGGCAGGCCGCGGACGAGCTCGAGCTGCTCCTGCGCGAGCTCCAGTCGGTCCCGAAGCTCCACCTGCCCCCGCACCTGTCCCAGGAGCTGCGCGCGTTCTGGCAGGACCGCGTGTCGAACGAGCGGGACCAGGTGCCCTGGTCGCGGTTCCGGCAGGCCGTGCTCGACCTCGCGACGGACTCCGTGACGCTCGGGTCGGTCCTGCGGGCCGCGAACGAGTCCGTGGCGCAGGCGCTGGCGGCGCGGGGCATCGATCTGCGCGGCGGGCAGTCGACGCACCCGTTCGTGGACATCGTGGTGAAGGAGACGCTGGACCCCGCGGGGCAGGGGCACGTGGAGGCCACGCAGATGTACGCGCTGATGATGGAGTGCAAGCGGCTGACCAAGCAGCAGCAGGCGGAGGCGAAGCGGGCGGGGGCGCGCTCGGGGTCGCACCGGCTCGTCGACACGGGCCACACGGGCCCGCCCACGCCGTCGCCCCGGTCCGGGACCTCGCGGCCGTACACGACCGTGCACGGGTGCATGCGGATCCTGGCGGACAACTGGCAATCGATCCACTCCACGCTGCTCGACAAGTACCGGCAGGTCAACATGGAGACGCTGGACCGCGTGCTGGACACGACCGCGTTCCAGTCGTCGCAGCTGCGGATGCGGACGGCGTCGGCGGCGCTGTTCCCGGGCACGCGCGACTGGCTGTTCGCGGAGATGGACCGCTGGCTCGCGACGCCGCCCGTGTCGGCGCGCGACCGCATCATGGTGGTCACGGGCAAGGCCGGCACGGGGAAGACCACGGCGGGCGCGGCGATGTGCCAGCGGGAGCGCAACGTGGTCAAAGCGTACCACTTCTGTCAGAAGAAGAGCATCGTGGCGTGCTCGGCCGCGAAGATCGTCAAGTCGATCGCCTTCCAGCTGGCGTGCAGCGTGCCCGGGTGCTACGAGCCCATCCAGGACGCGGCGGAGAGCCTCCCCGAGGACGGCAGCCCCCTGGACCTGTTCAGCTTCCTGATCGATGCCCCGCTGCGCGCCCTCGAGGCGGCCACGTCGGAGGTGATCGTCGTGCTCATCGACGGCGTCGACGAGTGCCCCGAGGACGAGCGCAGCCACATCCTCGGCCTCAACTGGTGGAGTCTACCCGACTGCGTCCGCGTCATCTTCATGGGCCGGCAGCAGATGCTCCCGACCCTGCGCGGGCGCTGCCGCGTCGTTGATCTCAGCACGTACGTCGCGCAGGTGCACGAGGATCTCCAGCGGTACTGCACGCACCAGCTCGCCGGGCGTATGGCTGACGTGGAGCTCCCGCGCGGCGTGGACTACCTCGTCCGCCAGTCCGACCAGTCCTTCTTGTACGCGCAGTCCATCGTGCAGCAGATCCGCCTGCGCGACCAGTGGACGGAGGCGGAGCTCCGGCGGCTGCCCTCGAACCTGGAGCACGTGTTGGAGGAATCTCTGATGCGCGTGTACGACGGCGTGGACACGGCGACGCAGGCGCGCATCGAGCAGGTCCTCGAGGTCGTGGTGGCCACGTTCGAGCCCGTGTCGATCGAGGAGATGGGCGACCTGATCCTGCACAAGCACGAGGACGGGAACTGGGAGCCGTGCGGGACGTCGGACCTGGTGACGGCGATCGCGCGGCTGGACGAGCTGGTCACGGAGAACGCGCGGAACGACAACTGCGTGACGTTCCAGCACCAGTGGATGACGGAGTGGCTCCTGGCGCGCGGGTCGGTGAAGCCGCAGCGGTTCAACTCAACGTCGCGCGGCACCGGGACGCACTCGGGCGCCGCAGCGGGCACGCCGACGCGCTTCGAGTCAGGTCCGCGTCGCACCGTGACGATGCTGAGCGCCACGGCCCCGTGCGCCGCGCGTTTCGCTCGCTTTGATGTTTCACATGCCTGTTGCACTGCTTTCGCCTCACTCGCGCCGTTCCCCGCGGTCGCTTCGCAGAGGTGCACACGCTGATGTGCGAGCGGTGTTTCTTCCTCGTCCAGCGCAACTCGTCCATCGACGCGCTCCTGGACGAGCAGGAGGTCGACCTGGGCCCCGCGCACCTGTACACCGTGCGGTACTTCCTCCGCCACCTCTCCATCGCGATCGACATCGACATCCGCGACTCCGGCAAGGACTCCGGCGCGATGACATCCCCGGACGTCCTCACGGGCCTCGTGTCCATCTTCTCGGGCATGGTGACCAACATGCTCTACTGCCGCGCGCAGTTCGAGGCCCATCGCGGACAGGACTTCATCACCGAGGCCGTCAGCATCACCCAGAAGCTCGTCGACGCCATCTCGCGCGACCGCACCATCGAGCCCGACCTCAGCCGCGCGCTGCTCGCCAACCTGAGCAACGCCCGCGAAATGGCGCTCTTCCTCTCCACTTCCATCTGCGACCCCGCCTCCTCGCGCCACATCTTCCAGGCCGCGTGGAGCGCCCCCGTCCGCAGCTTCCCCGCGCGCAAGGCCCGCGAGATCGCACGCATGACGGGCTTTCCGCCGCACTTCAACTCGTGGCTCGTGGAGCAGGACCCGCTTCCGTTCCGGCCGATCATCGGCACGCTGCTCGGGTACAACCTGCCGATGCTGGCGGTGGCGGTGGCGATGGACGGGTCCGTCGTCGCGGGCATCGCTTGCGACTGCGAAATGAAGGTGGCCGACCCGCGCGTGCTGGTGTGGGGCGCGGGCGACGGGCGCGTCAAGGGCGTGCTGGAGGCTCCGCAGGGGTGCATCATGACGACTGTGGCGATGTCGGGCATGGGGGAGGTGATATTAGCCGGGACGGTGACCGGGGAGGTGCTGGTGTGGGACTGCCGCGGGATGCCGAAATGGACGTCCGCGCGCCGCACGCCGCTCAAGCACGGCAAGCCCGTGGTGCTGTCGCTGCAAGTGGAGCCCGAGGACATGCCGACGTCGCGGGCGAGCCACCTGAGCGAGGGGGGCAAGGGCGACGACCCCGTGGCGTGCAGCGTGACGGCTGTGTGCATCGACCTCGCCGGCCGGCGGTTCGCGGCGGGCGCGGACGACCACAACATCCGCGTGTGGGAGATGGCCGCGACGGCGGGCGACGGTGCGAGCATTATGGGGCCCATGGTGCTCAAGGTGCACTCGGCGATGGTCACGTGCCTGTCGATGACGCGCAACGGCATGTTCCTGTGCAGCGGCGGCGCGGACGGCCGCGTGAAGCTCTTCCCGCTCGGCGCCCTCGGCGTGCGGCCCAAGGAGCTGCCCCAGGCCATCCACATCACGCGGACCGTCAAGGCCGGCGTGGGCATCGGCGTGCGGAGCGTGTCGGTGCGGCTGCGCATCGCGGGCGGGCGGCACCAGCAGCAGGTGCTCGTGTGCTGCGGCACGGAGGGCTACGTGCAGGTCTGGGACGCGCTCGGCGCCAACGGGCCGGTCTGCCTCCGCCGGCTGCTCCTGAGCGAGGGCGTGTGCCAGTTCTGCTTCATCTCGCAGGACTCCTCCGCGCTGGTCGCCAGCTACACCAGCCACGGGCGGTGGTTCGTCGCCGCGTTCGACGCCAACGAGGGGCGCCGCATCCAGGAGTATAGCGCCATGAATCAGAGCTGCTGCAGCGCGTCGGGCGACGCGCGGCTCGTCGTCACGGGCACGCCAGGCGGCTCCGCGCACGTGTGGGACTTCCAGGCCATCGCCTCGGAGGCCACGGACGCGCCGCTGCTGCGCCCCGCCGTCAACGGCCGCGAGCAGGCGCCCGCGACGCTCGCGGACCACGCGCTGCTGCTCGGGCGCGTGCCGCTCGCGGGACACGCTGCGCCGATCCGCGGCGTCGCGATCGGCGGCGGCGGCAGGGTCATCGTCACCATCTGCGAGGACGGCGTGCTGTTTGCATGGGCAGACACTGGCGGCGGGTCGTACGGCGCCGCGGCGAAGGCGCAGCCGCACCTGGACGTGGCGCAGAGCGTCACGATCAGCGGTGGCGGCGACACCTTCACCATCGCGATCGGGTACTCGAACCGCCGCGTGGCGGCGCTGCTGCTCACGAACAACGGCGAGGGGTACTGGCAGCTTTCGAAGCTCGTGGACTTCGAGGCGCACGTCGAGGCGGTGCGCTGCGTCGCGCTCTCGAGCGACAGCCAGTTCCTGACCAGCGCCACGGGCGCGGGCTCCCTCGTTCTGTGGGGGCTCGAGAAGCCGTCCAAACCACGCCGTGTGCAGATCATCAAGCACCAGCACCCCGTGTGCTGCTGCGCGCTGCTGCGCGTCCGCGAGGAGGAGCTCTGGCTGCTGTTTGGGTCCGAGGGCGGCGCGTGCAACGCGCTGCAGTTCGACGTCGGGCACGGCGACACGCAGGCACTGGCCAGCGAACGCCGCATGCCGCACGGGCTCGAGGTGCGCACGTGCGCCCTGACGATGCCCGGGGGGCGCCTGCTTGCCGTCACGGGCTGCCAGGACCGCCGCGTGCGCGTGTGGGACGTGTTGAAGGAGCGCACACTACAGGTGCTGGACGCGCACGACGGGTGGGTGCTGTCGTGCTCGGTCGCGTACGACGGCAAGCTGCTCGCTACGGGCGGCGCGGACCGCACGTGCCGCGTCTGGCGGTGGACGGGCGGCACCCACGGCTCGTACCAGCTGCTGACCGAGCACCAGTCGGCATGCCCGGTCACGTGCTGCGCCATCGGGCCCCCGGGCAGCCCCGTGGCGTACGTCTCGCGGCAGACCGCGGTGCAGGTCCGCGACCCGACGAAGGACATGGAGGAAAGCGCGATCGACGAGCTCTCGGGCCCGTCCGCCGCGATGCGCCCCCTTGGCATCTCCTTCACGGCGCCGCTGCCGCGCGTGCCCGGCGCGGCGCTTGCGGACGACTCCGTCGAGCGCGGGCTCGTCGTGTCCGGCGACGCGCGCGGCGCGGTGTGCTTCTGGAGCCTCGCGAAGGGCCTGCGCGTGGGTCGCATCAAGGATGCCCACGCCAGCACCATCATCTGCACCGTCGTCTCCGGGGACGGCCTCGTCGCGGTGTTCGGGTCGCTGGACGGTGCGGTGAGCCGCGTGAGCCTCACGAAGCACGCGATCGACTGCATGCTCGGCCGGCACAGCGGCGCGGTGCTGTCGTGCAGCACGGACACCACGGGGCAGGTCTGCGTGTCCGGCGGGGCGGACGGCTACGTCAGGATGTGGCGCGGGGCCACGGAGGTGTTCCAGTCCCCGCAGCAGGGCGGCATGGTCATCGACGTGAGCGTGTCGCTGGACGGGTCCACGCTGCTGTCCTGCACCGACCGTGGGGCGATCAGCGTGTGGAACTGGCGGGGCACGTCCGCGGCCATCTGGCGTGCCACGGGCATCGCGCCGCACGTGTCCTCGCTGTTGTCGCGGCGCTGGGCCGGGGTGCCGGTGACGTCGATCCCCCCGCTGGACGAACCCACCGCCGTGACGCTGTCGTCCGACGGCCGCATCGCGGGGGTGTGCTGCTCGTCCGGCGTGCTGCTGTGGGATCTGCAGTCGGCCCTGCGCCTCAACCTCGAGACGCCGCTCCCCGGCTCGCTGGTCATCATCGACCGATGGCCATGCGCCAGCAACGCGTCGCAGCGGGCGCCGACGCTCCTGTCGCGCCTGGCGTCGTACTGCAAGCGGCGGAACGCCCAGGACGATCCACGCGAGGAGGGCGACGCGTACTGGGTCGTGTCGCTCGACGGCGGCATGCTGCACATTCTGCGTCTGTCGGAGAGCGAGCCCGGGTCGTGCTACTGGCACAGCGAGGCGTGGCAGATGTGCACGGGGCAGACAGACGTCGACTGGATCGAGGCGGGCATGCAGAGCTGCGACCCGCTGCTTCTCGTCGCCATCGACTCGGAGCACCGCGTGCGCCGCCTTTCGCTCATGTTCTACGACGACGTGGACTCGGACGACACCGACGACGAGCGCTTCCTGCAGCCCGCACCCACCTCGACGACGGTCCTGCAGGAGGGCAACGACCGCCTGCGGCCGCTCAGCGTGCTCGTGCCATCGCACGGCGGCATGGGCATGAGCATGACGGGCACCGGCAGCGGGGCGGCCGCGTGGGACGTGCGCAACATGTTCGGCACGCTGTCGGGCGGCCCAGGCACGTCGCGTGGACATGCAAGGTCCGTGTCGGGCGGCCGGGGCAGGTCGAGCCACGCGGGCATTGCCAGCCAGCTGGCCTCGGGACACTCACGCCGCAACGCTCGGCAGCACTGGAACTCGGGGGATCTCGACACGGACATGTCCACGCACGGGGGCTACAGTAGCCACCACCTGCGGCCGTACAAGCGGTCGCGACACCGTTCCGGGATTGAGCCAACGCCCAGCTGGCAGTTCACGGTCACGATCGACGGAACCACGCTGCTCGTCGCCGCTGGTCTGACTGCGACCGCACTGGCCGCCACGGCAGCTATCTCGTACATGCGCGCCTCCGGTCGTCGGTGACCACGTGCGCTGCTGTGCGGCTTGGCCAGTCATGTGTACCGTCCCCTATTCCGAGCTGTGGGCGATGGGAGACGCGCGGCCGCGTCTGTCGCACACATCCATGTGTTCTAGGCATCTTCGTAGCGAACGACCTTTCGCAGGATGCGGAAGAGCGCCGGTTCGCATTGTTCCACACCAGAAGTATCCTGTCGCACCATTTTTTAGCTGTGAACACGTGAACTGTGCGAGCGTACGCAGCGGGCGCGGCAGACTGCGTCTCACATGCCGTCGTACCCGTCCGGCACGTCGCTTCACGTCCCGCGTCCTTGACGCAACCCTGATCGCAGCAACGTGACTGGCGGCTGGCTCTACGGGCCTCTACAGTTTCTGCAGCGTTGCGTCGATCTTCCCCTGGAGGATCTCGATGGACTGCCGGAAGATGTCCCACGGCTTGAGCGCGCCCGTGCTTTCCACGGTGAAGACAAAGTGGTCCTTCGCCTTGCGGAGAACAGCCTTGCCCTTCAGCCAGTCCTCCCCCGTCAGCCGGCGGAACTTCTCCAACTCGTTCTCGTTCTCCATCGGGTCGCGCGCCGCCAGCACGCCCCTCTCCATCGCAAACAGCCCCGGACACTCCCGCACCAGCCTCTCGCCCTCCTCCGTGCCGTTGAGCTCTGCGACCGCGAACGCACCACGCCGGGAAGCAGCTCAGCTCCCTGGGCGACACGCAACCGCCGCGACAGCCCGCACAGCTCCGCGCAGCGCGTCAGCAACCTCGCGCACATGGCCACGCACGCTGCGGGGGGCCGTCGCACCTTTGGGCCGCAGGATCGCGACCTCCGGAAGCAGCCTGTACCACGCTGTGGCCACGGGCGACCACTTTGCGTGCTCCTTCCCGATGCCCTTGATGCAGTGCATCTCGCAGTGAATCTCCTGTCCGGGCGCCAGCTTGGCCACGAGGATGTTGGGCTGCACGGGGCCCGGCGGCTGCTCGAACTCGTCCTGCTGGGACTTCGCGAACACGCAGGAGGTGTCGTGCGGCATCTCGCTGCCCTCGGGGAGCCACTGCAGCATGTCGCTGGTGACGTGCTGCGCCGACCCGTCTGCGCCCTCGTCGCCGGCGCCCCTCGTGCCGCGCTGGTGGAGCTTGAACACCAGCGTGTTCGTCTCGTTCGCCTTGTCCTCCGTCGCCTGCGCAGCACCGCGCGGACGCTGTGGTGAACAGCTGCGTGCGAGGTTGCAGGACGCCTCCGTCCCGCGCCGTGCCAGTCAGTCGCTGTCGCCGGCCGCCGGCGGCGGCATGGGCGCGGCCGGTGATCGCGCGTCGCGTGCGTGCGTGCGCACCTTGCTGGAGAACTTTGCGGGGTCGGCAGCAATAGGGATCAGCCCCAGCCGGTGCGCGAGCACCTCGTCGTGGACGATCGAGGTGTTGTTCACGAAGAAGACGTGCTCGATCGCCATCGTGGGAACCTCCGCGATCATGATCCGCCGCAGCGCGTTCGCCACGGCAGGGTCCACGCCAACCTGCAACCACCCGGGCCGCTCGTCGCGTGTGTTGCAAGTGCTGGTGCGGGAGCCGCCGTAGCGTGGCGCTGGACGCGGCACGGAAGCGCGCTGACGTCCAAGGACACGTGCACCAGCCCGGGTGTTTGTGGCATTGCACACTGGCAGGTTCGCACCAAGTCAAACGTCATCGACTCGTCGTCCATTTCCCGGATGTGCACCTCGAGCCCTTCCTTGAATTCCTCCAGATCCCAGGAGTTGTCCACGCCGAGCGCCCGGTACTGGTGGGCGGAGGTGTGCGTGCTCGTCTGTGGGAGGGCAGTTCGCACAATGGCCGCGCGGTGAGCGTGGGTGCGAGGGCGAAACCGGCCACGATCAGCTGGAATCACATGACAGATATCGCTGACCGGGGAATTACTCCATGACTGTGTGCTCAGAGTGCATGCCGAGACCACGGCAGCCGCCGCAAGGCTGTCGCGTCGGGTTAGGGCGCAGGGGGGGGGCGAAGTTGCCCTTCCCGCGGTGCGGTTCGGGGCCCTTACGTGCAGGTTTTGCTCCGCGCCGCAAGTCATGTGCGTCCGGTTCGTCTCGATGTGGGGCGGGAGTTCCTTGGAGCGTTTCTCCTTCTTCTCTTTCTTCTCTTTCTTCTCCTTCTTCGCCATCGCGTCTAGTCAACGATGAAGTCGATGCCTGTTCGGCGGAGCGCGCTCGGGCCTTGCGGCTGCGCAGCGAACACAGCAATCTCGGAGTGCTCTCTGCCAATGCAAGGCTGCCCGTATACACGCGAATGCGGCGTCGAACTCGCTCAGTCACGCGCCAAGTGGCTCTTCGTGGCCCTGGCGGCCGGACAGCGCAGGCGTTGACGCCGCCCGGGCCGGTGGCAGACCTGCCACTTCTACCTCCTTGAGCGAGTAAGCCGCACTCGACACCTCGCTCCTGCAGGGGGGCGGGACCCTATGATGCCGCGGACGGCGAGCGGTGCGCGCCACACGGCACTCGCACGATGTCGTTGTTCTGGTGCCAGAAGGTCACCGCGAAGAAGGAGGCGGCGTTCGTGCCGCCTCCCGTCGCCGCACGCCTCCACCTCTCCCAGGTGCGGTCGACGCGATCTCGGCCTGTCTGCGCCGCACAGATGCCCTGAGACCATGTTCTCGATGATCGCCCTCGCGGTGACCGAGTGATTGCCCGTAACGCTGCGCACGCGGGGCTACCTAGGCAGCTCATGAGACTCGCGCGCCTGCATCGCTGCCATCGAACCGCGGCGAGATGCCGCCCCTGCAGGCTTCTGCCGTAGATGTTCCTCTCGTTCCGATTGCCGCATTGTCAGAATCGCACCGTCTGCGCTCCCAGGCGCCTGCTCGAGCAGCCGCCACTTTGTCCGCCCCCCGGCACGTCGTCACCTGACGGCCGGACGTGGCGAATCCTGTCCGGCACGAACATCAACTATTTTCAGCATCTTTTCCGAGCACCGAGCCACCACCCTGTCTTCGTCAGCCTCAGAGGGCGCGGACATGCACCCATCCCCACACCACCTCGTCACGCGTGCACGCTTCGGCGCAGGCTGTGCTCGCGAAGGACACCAAGAGCGGCGCCACCGTCCGCCTCGCCGCGCACGTCACCCCCGACGACGACGAGGACAGCGACGGGCCTCCGCAGACTGCCGCGGACGAGGGCGAAACGGTCGTAGTGTGCGCCCTCACCCCGCAGCAGCCGGCGGCGGCCCTCGACCTCCTCTTCGACTCGTACACGGAGTTCACCGTGATCGGGCCCGCGGACGCCGAGGTCCACCTGACGGGGTACTATTTGCCGGTAGAAGAGGAAGAGGATGAGGAGGACGCCCTGCGGCAGATGATGCAGGCGCGCGGCGCGGACCCGACGATCTTCGACGACGACAGCGACGACGAGGACTTCTTGGTGGGCAACTACGGCGGCGACGGCGACGCAGGGCCGGGGGTGCCTCGACTGGCGGATGGCACTCCCGTGCGCCACGTGTCGATCGAGGACCTGGTGAGCCGCAAACGGGGTTGCCGCGTCGACGCATGCGTGTAGTGGTGCTGCCTGCTAGAGAGCGCGGCGTTGCTGGCTGTGGCGGCGCGTGATCGATGCTGTGTGCGTTGCAACGCTGTGTTTGCGCAGGATAGCGACCAGGAGATGGGGAGCGAGGAGATCGACAGCGACTTGGCTGGCTCGGACGACAGTGACGACGAGGACGACGACAGCGACGACGAGGACGACGAGGACGAGGGCGGAGCCCAGCGCCCTAACGTTGTCATTCAGGAGCTCGGGCCGGACGGGAAGCCGGTCGAGGAGAGCAGCGACGAAGAGGAGGAGGGGGAGGACTCCGAGGACTCCGAGGAGGAGGACTCCGAGGAGGAGCCCGAGCCCGCGCCGCAGCCTTCGAGCAAGAAGCGGCCAGCGGCGGCACAGCCTGCGACAACGCCCGCGAAGAAGGCGGCCCTGAGCACGCCCGCGAAGGCCGACAAGACGCCCGCGAAGGCCGACAAGACGCCCGCGAAGAAGCCCGACAAGACTCCTGCGAAGAAGGAGACGGGCGGACAGGCTGAGGAGGGCACTCCTGGGCGGCTGGGCAAGGGCATGGTTCGCGAGTTCGACAACGGGTTCAAGATGGAGGCGATGGAGGTGTCGCGCGACCCTGCGGCCAAGGTTGCGAAGCAGGGCAAGCGCGTGGTGGTCAAGTACGTGGGCAAGCTGCAGAAGACCGGCAAGGTGTTTGACCAGACGCGGGGGAAGGCGACCTTCACGTTCCGTCTCGGCGTCGGCGAGGTCATCAAGGGGTGGGACCGCGGCGTGGCGGGGATGCGCGTGGGGGACAAGCGGAGGCTGACGGTGCCCCCGCAAATGGCGTACGGCAGCAGCGGCGTGAAGGGCGCCATCCCGCCGAACTCGACGTTGATGTTCGACGTGGAGCTCGTCGACGTGAAGTGAGGGCCGCGCGCCAATGCGGTGCACGTCCAGCAGCAGCTGCGACGCAATAGAAGCACTCAGCGATGCGAAATGGAGCTGTGTGGCGTGGTTACTGAGGCCCCCGAATTGCAACGTGTCACATGGCCACAGCGGCTGAACGTGTCGCTTCTGCAGCGGTAGGTGGTTGGCATTACTCGCCACTTAGTCGTATGATATCTTTAGGTCCGAACGAAACCGCCTTGCAGCCGCCGACGCGAAACATGAAGCGATGCGGGTTGCCTCATATAGGGGGTGCCTCATACATGGCACCCCACCACACCTCATGACATACCTGCGCTGGTCTTGGCTCCCCCAGCGCTCGGGCCGCGGGGTGGTCTGTATAATGTTTCCTCAAAAGCTGCGTGTTGTCGCCCGCGGGGGGCGCTCTCCAGTCGCCCACCGTCACGACATGCACAGGCACCCCGACGAATGCACCGTTTCCACGGGCTCCCGCGCTCTCGCGTGAGGCGTGCCGTTGTTGCTGTTGCTCCCTGGCGACGCCGGGTACACCGCGTCCCTGTTCCGCGCCAGCGATTTCTCGGCACCCGTCGCGATAGGTGACAGTGCGGGCGAACCAGGCTGCGCCTCGCTCAGCCCCCCCGCAAGCGAATGAATGCCGTGTCCGGACTCCCCCGCGGGCTTGAGACTGTTGTAGTGCACCTGCGACAAGGACAGACGCCCCCAGAGAGGTCACGCACGGCCGCGAGTGTACACTGTGGGGCCTGCGCTCTGCTCCGCCGGGCGAGCGCGCACCTCGGGATGGAAGGACAGCCACACGAACGGCGGCGCGGGCCCAGGGCGGAGACTGCCGTCAGGGCTCTGGTGGCTCTTCGGGATGATCTCGATGCACATCGTGTCCTTGAAGGTCGTCACGAGGACCACGACGACGCAGTACGCGTCGGCTGCGGCCTGCAGGCTCACGTGGTCGCCCCACGTGCCCGGGCGCGCCATTTCACGCAGGTAGTCGTCGTAGCTCTCAGCCATGACGAAATCGCGATACCACCGGCCGCCGTTCCGCTTCAGCTGCTTCACGACGACCTTGCGCACCTGCGCAGCGCGCGTGTCCCGCGAAGCGAGCCGGCAGTCAGCACGCGCGCGCGCGTGTTCAGGCGGGGGCGCGGGGAGCGGCGCACGCCCGCGGCGCACCTCGACGTGGAACTTCTCGGACCCGAACAGCTGGTCTGACAGGGAGCGGAACTGGCAGGACCCGTCCCCCACGACCTCCTTCTCGCGCAGCGCGTACTTCGCCAGGCGCTCCGTCATCAGTGCCTCGCTGCTCATCGGCAGCGGCACCTCTGCGCGGGAGGGCACGGCCGCGGCCGCGTCCTCGTCCGGGCCCATCGAGTCGGGGTGGCTGCGGCCGGAGCGGCGCGAGGCCGTGCCGGTGTAGAGGTCGCGCCGGAGCGTGTTGATCTTCATGGGCCCGCGCTTGGCGTTGTCCACGAGCTGGCGGAACGTGCCCTGCCGCTGCAGGAACGTCGACGTGCGGCCGACGTCGAGGCCCATCTTTTGGCTCATCTGCGCCGTGGGGAGCTTCTTCTTCGACGCAATCTTCGACAGCTTCTTTTCCAGCTTCCGGTGACTCGGATCCCTGCGTCCATCGCACGTACCACCATCGTGGGGCCCCGTCGTGGCGCCGAGGCGGCGGCGCGGGCCGCGCAATGAGCGTTGTTGAGAAGCAACATTCGCCGCGCGCCGCACGCGGTTTGCGACAGAAACACGATCGGGCCGCGTGATCCGCGAGCACGAGATCCACTTCGTCCGCCCGGTGAAGTCGGGGGCGCTCTGGGACGCAGATTAAGCGCAGGAGCAGGTCGTAGATGTCCCACTTACTTCTGAACTGCCGGGCTCTCTGCTCGCGACCGCCCGGGCGAGGCGCCGGACCTGGCGTCGCTCAGCGCAGCCCCCATCGTAAACCGGCCATTGGAGTGGCTCGAGGCCTCGCTGCGCAGCCCATCTGCCGTGGCAACCACAGGCATCTCCACCCACGTCCCTGCGCGCCGCCTCGAGGGCGCGCACGCCGCACGCCCGGCCCTGGTGCGCTCTCTGAGTGCGAGGAGCACCGCCTCGGACGAGTGAGAAGCCGCCTCGGACTCTCTGCTGGCACACGCGGCACTCTTTCCCCGCCCTGCGACAGGGAAAGCGCTTCGCGAGGCGCGTTCAAGGTCCCTCTACTTCCGTCGCCTGTGACGCGGCTGTCACGTGTCGCGAATCGTCGTATGCCGCGCAGCCGGCCGCCGATGTCGCGCGCGGAGACAGTGGGGGCGCCGCCCGGCGGACGCCTGGCAGAGCCCCGGCGCCACTGACGCGGGCCCGTCCGTCTGGAGCAGGCTCGCACCGCGCCGCGCCGCGGACGTTGCCGCCTGCTCGCACCCGCGGTCCGCAACCTGCAGAGGGCGGCCGAGCGGGACGACAGCTTTGCGAGGCGCTGCGCGAGCGTGTGTGTGTCTTCGGCACTCGTGGGAGTTGGAGCGAGGGGCTGCGCACGGCGCGCCGCTCGTCCTCGCCCTCTCGGCGGCGCGGGCGCCACTGCCGTGCTGTGGGCCGGTGACAGGCGATGACGGCCATGAACGGGCCGCGCCCGGCGCATTGGCCTGCGCCGCTGCCGGTGCGGCAGGTGTCGGACGCGACGGTCGTGTCCGTTCGGTTCAGAATCGCGTACTACACGGAGTGGGGCCAGAAAGTGAAGATCTTCGGGCGCGGTTCGACCTTGCTCGGCGACGGCGATGTCCAGCACGGCTGCACCATGACTTGCTTCCATCCGCAAGACAAGGTGCGTGCGGGACCGACCGCCGCGTGGCGGTGGCCGTGTGCTCAGATGCCGATCTCGCGAGTGCGGGGGTAACCAAGCCGGAACAAGCGCAGCGTGCGCGAAAGTGAGCGGTAGTTGGGCTGGCTCTGCCACGCCCGCACGGCGGGCTGCGAATGCCGCAGGCGGTTTCAGGGCCGCCAGCGTGCCGTCCCGCTCACTTGAAGAAGTTGCGCGTCCAAACTACGGCGCACGTTCACGCGACAGGACGCTGTAGGCCTGGCAGTTGCCCATTCCGTGCGAGGCGGGCGCCCTTCCGCTGCCTGCGGTCGGGCTGCTCCGCTTCAGCGACCCCCGCTTCAGCCCTCACCCTTACCACTGTACCGAACGCTGTGCGCACCGGCGCGAAGAAAACCCCTCCCAGCGGAGCGCGCGCTCTAGGTGCCCTGGCCCAGGCAGCACGACGCGGCGTGCAGCAGCCTCCTCGCACGCACCGGCGACGCTGCGTTTCCCGACTATCAGCACAGTCACGACCCTGTGCGACCGGCGAGAGAGCGTTGCCCGCGCTGCCGCCACCGCGCTGCCCACTTGCAGCCAGCAGCGGTGGCTTTCCGCGCCGCTCTCCCGCACCTCGTCCGCCAGCCCCTGCGAAACGCCCTGCGCGGCGCTCTCCCCGCCCGCGTGCAGAAGGACCAGCTCGTGTGGGAGGCGCTCATTCCGTGCCGTCCGGGGCAGGACCTGACCTACAAGTACGCCGTGTTGGGGGGCGACAACCGCGTGGTGCACATGGAGCAGGAATACCGCACTGTCAACCTGCCCGACCGCCTCCGTGACGGAGACTACGTCGAACTCCACGACAGGCAAGACCCCGCGCCCCCGCGCTCGGCGCCACCCATCCCACGGGCCAAGCAAACCGCCACGCGCCGACGCTGCCGGGGCGCGCCCAAGACGCACGCCCACTCCCCACCCAGCGTCGGCGACACCTCCCTTATGTCCCTCCCGCAGATGGATGGCCCCTGGGCAGCCTGACGCAATCCTGCACCGCGCTGCGTTCGCCGAGGTCATCCACCGCGTGGACGTGACCGACGCAGCGGACGTGTCCCCGCGGCAGCACGCGGAGGCCACCGCCCGCGCCCTGGCGTCCCTCCGAGGTGAACCGCGCGACCACCGTCACCACGCACGCACACCCCCGCCCGCGCGACGCGCAGCCCCCGCAGGACGCCCCCGGCCGCTCACAGCCGCCCCTCGTACCCCCGAACGCGCCGCGCAGAGTCCCGGCTGTCCCCGGCGTCCACCGAGGTCCTCGTGAAGCTGCGCGTGTACTCCCTGCGGCTCGAGCCCGGGCAGAAGCTGTGCGTCGTGGGCTCGATCAACGCCCTCGGGAGCTGGTCGACGAGCGACGCGCTCGACATGCGCTACACGGGGAAGCGGTACTGGGAGGCGGAGTTCCCGGTCGCCGTGTCGCTGTTCCCCTTCTCGTACCGATACGCGCTGTACAGCCCCGGCGGGCAGCGCACGATGGAGCACGGCGACGCGCGCGTGTGCGTGCTCGACCCCGCGAAGCCGCCGTCCGGGTCCGCGCAGGCCGCGCTGGCCAGCAGCCTCCCGGACGACCTGGGCGCGCGGCGCAGCAAGGACGAGGCGGCGCGCGCGGCGGCGCCGCCGCCGTCGAGCCCCGGGCGCACGATGCACGTGCGCGCCGCGAAGGCGCCGGTGCTGGTCGTGGTGAACGACGGGCACGTGCGGTACCAGGACAACTGGAAGGGCGCGGGGATCTGCGTGCCGGTGTTCTCGCTGCGGTCGGAGACGTCCGCGGGGTGCGGGGACTTCGAGGACGTGAAGAAGCTGGTCGACTTGGCGGTGCGGTGCGGGATGAAGCTCATCCAGCTGCTGCCGGTGAACGACACGCAGGTCCACAACGACTGGCGCGACTCGTACCCGTACTCGTGCACGAGCGTGTACGCGCTGCACCCGCTGTACCTGTCGATCGAGGTGCTGATGCGGAACGTGGACAGCCACGCCGGGCGCACGCAGCCGTCGCAGCTCGGCGGCCTCGGGCACCAGCTGTTCAGCGCGGCGGGGGAGCGCAGCAGCGGGAGCGTCGGGGGGCTCGCGCGGAGCAGCGCGGGCAACCCGGGGAACAGCCAGGGCGCGAGGAGCGACGGGAGCGGGGACGACGACGCGCTGAAGGACACGTGCGCGCCCGCGGGCGGCCGCCTGAGTCAGGCGGACCTGGTCCGCCTCAAGGCGCAGGTCGACAACGAGGTCAAGCGGCTGCGGCGGGACCTGGGGGAGCAGTCGTCGCCGCGCCCGGACATGGACTACGAGCGCACGGCGCGCGAGAAGCAGCGCGTGGCGCGGCTGGTGTTCGACGCGTGCGGCAACGGGACGATGACGTCCCCGGGGTTCCGCACGTGGTTCCAGGCGAACGCGCACTGGGTGCGGCCGTACGCGGCGTTCTGCCTGCTCAAGGAGCTCTTCGGGACCGCGGAGCACTGGAAGTGGGGCGAGCTCGCGAAGCCGTCGGCGGAGGTCATCAACCGCCTGACGGCGAGCGACACCCCGCACTACCACGGCGTGGCCTTCACCTTCTGGCTGCAGTACCACCTCCACCTGCAGCTCGAAGAGACCTCGCAGTACGCCAAGCAGCACCGCGTCGCGCTCAAGGGCGACCTGCCCATCGGGATCGACAAGCGCTCGGTGGAGGCGTGGCTCGAGCCCCGGCTGTTCCGCATGGACGTCTCGCTCGGGGCGCCGCCGGACTACTTCAACCCGATGGGGCAGAACTGGGGCTTCCCCGTGTACGACTGGGTCGCGATGGCGCGCGACGACTTCGCGTGGTGGCGCCGCCGCCTGCACCACATGGCGCAGTACTTCCACGCGTACCGCATCGACCACATCCTCGGCTTCTTCCACATCTGGGAGCTCGACGGCGACAACGTGACGGGCATGCTCGGGCACTTCCGCCCCGCGCACACCCTCTCCCCGCGCGAGCTCGACCAGCTGGGCATCGCGTCGTCGCCCGAGGACCTCGCGCGGCTGCTGGACCCGTACATCACCGACGAGATCCTCGACGACGTCATGGACGGCGACGCCGCGCTCGTCGCGGAGGCCAAGGCCAAGTACCTCGACGGGCCGGACCCGAAGACGCACCGGTACCGCCTGCGCCCCAACTTTTCGTCGGAGAAGGCCATCTGCACGGTGACCGACGGGCTCGAGGGGGCGCCGCCGGCGCTGGTGGACCGGCAGATGGCGCTGATGAACGGGCTGCTGCAGCTGCGGCAGAACGTGGTGCTCGTGCGCGACACGCGGCACCGCGAGCGCCTGCACCCGCGGTTCCAGCTGCGGCACTCGTCGTCGTTCGCGGAGCTCGAGGCGCCCGTGCAGCGCGCGCTCGTCGAGCTGCACGACGACTACTTCCACAACCGCCACCTCGACCTCTGGACGCAGTCCGCGCAGGAGACCCTCCCGCACCTCCTGCAGTGCTCCGACATGCTGGTCTTCGGCGAGGACCTGGGCTTCGTGCCGACGTGCGTGACGCCCGTGATGCGCTCGCTCGGCATCATCGGGCTGCGCATCCAGCGCATGCCGCCGCCCGTCGAGCAGCCCGAGGGCACGCAGTTCTCGGACCTCTCGCGGCACCCGTACCTGTCGGTGGCGTCGCCGTCGTGCCACGACGTCGCGCCGCTGCGGCTGTGGTGGGAGAGCGACCCGCGCCGGACCGCGCGGTTCGCGTTCGAGATGCTCCGCGTCCCGGACCCGTCCGAGAAGTGCACCGCGGAGATGGCGGGGCTGGTGTTGCAGCACCACTTCAACTGCCCGTCCGTGTTCACGGTGCTGCTGCTCCAGGACCTGCTGGCGCTGTCGGACGACCTGAACACGCGGCCCGCGGCGCAGGAGACGATCAACAACCCCGCGGTGTTCCCGTGGTACTGGCGGTACCGCATGCACGTGACGCTGGAGGAGCTGATCGCGCACAAGGAGTTCCCCGCGACGGTGCGGGGCATGCTCGCGTCGTCGGGGCGCACGGGCGGCGGCGGGTTCGAGAAGCCGCGCGGCCCGAGCTACGTCGTCGGCGAGAGCATCAACATCGTGCCGTGCGGGCGGCGGTCGCACACGGGCGTGTGCCTGTTCAGCTCGACGCCGCCGCGGTTCGTGTCCCTCGCGCACGACACCCACGACACCGGGTCGGCCACGTCCAGCGCCGCGGGGTCGCACCGCATCGAGAGCCACCTCGACGGGATGCAGGCGCAGGGCGCGCAGGCGTCGACGTGGAGGAACCCGTGGCCGCGGGAGGGGGAGGCCGACGGCGGCGCGCACGGGATCAAGTCGCCCGTGGACGACTTGCGGAAGCGGCGGTCGATCGACATGCAGAACAAGACGCGCATGGGCGCCGGGTCGCGCGCGGAGGCCGCGGGCCTGACGCGGCTGTCGACGTACTCGGAGGGCGGGCAGACGGCGCCGGAGGGCAGGGTGCGTGCGGGGAGCGGCGGGCCGCCGGGCCGGCAGCACAAGTGATGTTCAATTAATCACATGAAGGGGGGGGGTATTGCCACCGCGGGTGTGCCCGTGGGGGCGTGTGAGCGATCCCGACAATGCGCGGACCGGCGGTCCGAGGCAGCGCCGTTCGAGGGCATCGGGAGCCGCTATCGTTCGTGAGCAAGGGACTGCTGCCCCCCCGTGCTACTGTTTGCCGGTCGAGGGGCTGCAGGGGGGGCGGGGAAGTGGGGGGCGAGCTAGCGTCGGTGCGTGTGTGTGTTTGGGGACGATGGCGGGGGGGCGGCTTCTCCGAGGGTGCGTCGTCACGACGGCACGCTGGCCATGCTCATTTTCATGTGTCGCTTGACTTTCTTCTTGTTGCGCCCGGTGCTCAGGAAGCTCGAGCTGGGCTTGTCCCACGCGGGCGGGTCGCGCCGGAGCTCCCAGTGCGTCTTGGTCACGTACCGCCCCGGGCCGATGTCGGGCAGGGTGGTGTTGTGGCTGGCGCGTGACCGCCCGGCGGTGGAGACCGTGCTCATGGCCGTGTACTTGCGCGGAGAGTCGCGCACGATCGACGCGAGGCTCTTGTTCGGGCCCACGTCGGTGTCGTACACCACGTCGGGCGCCTGCGACGCCGCCTGGCGCTGGAACCGCGGCCGGCGCGACCGCATGTTGGAGTACTGCCGCGCGGTCTGCTCGAGGGACTGCTTGACCGACTTGTAGTCCTCAACCTCGTACCACGCGTCCGGGGCTGCGGGGGCCGCCGGGCAGGGATCTCGCCGTCAGGGCGCGCTGACGAGGCCTGCGACATGTGCGTGCGCCCGAGCGAGGCGGCGCGGCGCGAGCGGTGCGTGGCGCACCTGACGAGGACCCGAAGTCGAACTTGCGCTCGGTGCCCTTGAAGGCCACGGCGTACGTCACTCGCGAGTCTTCGATCGTCTTCTCAAAACCCTTCTTGTGACCTTGGTTGATCTCGTACACGCCGGGGCCCGGGGTGGCGGTGCTCGGCGCCTCGCGGAACCGCGGCGCCGTCGAGGACATGATCTTGTACCGCCTGGGTGACTCTGCGGGCGCGCATCGAGACGCGGAAGGTGGCATTGAGAGAGGACGCGGCAGCCCGGCGGCCGTGTGGGACCGCCGGGCGGGAAAACACACTACTACGCGTCGGTGCAGGTGCATTGACACCAGACACAGAGTGCGGGGGGCAGCATGGCGCAGGGCAGGGGTCCTGTGCGCGGGGCTGGCGGAGAGCATGTTCCTGGTGGGTGTCAGGCGCTCACCTGCCACGACGCGCGCCAAGGTGGCCTTGTTCCCGAAGTCCGCGTCGTAGAACTCGGCACCTGCACGCGGTGGGGCTGCGTCCCCGCGGTCAACGGACGCCCGCGCCGAGTCCCTGTGCACAGACTGCCCTAGGCGCGCGCGCACACCCGCGGTGCATGAGCCGCGGAACGTGGACTCATGGAGGCGACGTAGGCTGCTCAGCGCCGCCAGGCCACTTCCCGTGCGCTCGGCGGGGAGCCCGCGCACACTACCTCGTGGCATGATAGGAAGCCTCCGCCGCGGTGGCAGGTGAGTCAGCGAGCGCGCGTGAACGGGAAAACACAGGTCCCTGGAACCAAGAGGACTGGCCGAGCGCCGCGCCGTCCTGCCACGTGGCACAACCAGGCCGCGAGGCCGCCGTCCAAGGCAGGAATCGCATGGCCGGGCCGCAGCGCGCACCCAGGCGGATAGTTCGGCCCGCCGGCGATATCGGCGTCATCTCAGACATCTAAACATCCCGTCGCCTACGGGAACGCCCCGTGCGGGGCACGCAGGCGGGTGCCCGCCGGCTCGACAGCAGCACCTGTGTGGGGGGCCGGTCGCAGACGCACCTGTGCTCTCAGGAACCGAGACATGCCCCGTGTGGTAGGGGAGGGGCCCCGTGTGGGCCGCCTTGTCCTCCATCCTGACCCGACCGCCCCCCAGGTAGCTCGCGCCGACGCCCTGCTGTGCCCGGGCGATGACTGCAGCGCCGCGCTCTTTCAACAAGCAAGAGAACGCGAAACCGAAGCAGCCTGTGCTGACTGGCCCTCGCCTCCGCGCTGCGCGCCCTGGTAGCCCCGCTGAGCCCCGCGGCTGCGCGCTGGCCACCCCGTGATGCTGCCAGCGCTGCACTCAGTCCGACGCAGCACACCGGGCCGGTGCTTGCCGCGCTGGACATGGGCGCGGCGCCCCGGCCGAGGCGAGAACACTGTCGAGCCACCGGTGCAGCGGCCGGGCGCACAGCGGCGCTCCTGGAGACGAGAGACGCGCCGGTTTAATAGTGCGCACCGCTGCGATGTTGAGCCTGCGGGCACGGAACGGACGCCCCGGTTCGAGCGGTTTCGGATGCGCGAGGCCGCGCACATCGTAGCAGAGCACGCCTATCCGCCGCGCTCGCTGGAGCAGGCGGCGCGGAAGCGCGACTGCACGGAGGGCGTCTCAAAACCGCTGGGTGCAGCTGGCGACGGGACCGGCGCCTCGGACGGACGCGGCGGCTGCAAGGTGCGCGCGGACGACACCACGCCCCGCCCTGACGCTCGTCGCCCGGGAGCGAGCGTTGCGTCCCGTGCATGGCCGCAGCGAGCGCTCAGGGGTGCAGCGGGCCCCTCGAGCGCCCGCGGGGTGGTCTCGCCGGGCCTCTGCGCGCGTGGCTCGCCCGGCCGCCCTGTATTCGAGTGAAGAGGTCCGGGGCGCGCGTGTCGCGCTCGCGCGGCCCCTGTTCTCGCGCGGCGAACGCACGCTAGCTCCGGCCACTGTGCGGGCCGTCCTGGCGCTCGGCGTCGCGCGGAGCCACGCGCGCTTTGAAGTATGTGCTTCCAGACGAGGCCCCGCTGGCTATCCACCTTGCGAGCGCGGCAACAGACCCCGCAGCGTCACGCGCCCGCCCTGCTATGGGCTCGCTCGATCTTCTCCTGCCGCCACCGCAGCGTCCCCGCCATCTCACGCGCGCTCCCGCGACTACAGAGCCCGGTATACTCAGAAGCACCTCGCCGACCACCGAGACGGCGCGAACCAGCCGCCACACCCCCCTTCCCTGCAGGCACTGACCACGCACCCTCAACAACCAAGCGGCCATGGAGACCAACCGCTCCCGCCGCCGCGCCCCCGCCGGCGAGGCTCCGAGCGTCGGGCTCGCCACGGCCGGCCCCTCCCGCGCCCCCGCGCCACCGCCCCCCCGCGGGCCGCCCATGCAGTCTGCCGTCCCTCCCGCGCGCATCTCCACGCTGGACCTCCCGCGCACGCAGAACACCGAGCCCCTCCAGGTGCAGCCGAAGAACCTCCCCACGCCCTACTGGTCCACCAACCGCTGGGGCATGCCCGCGCCTGAGTCAGTCCCAGCGCCACAGCCGGCGCGCGCCGGCTCGAAACGCCCCGCGTCCGCGCCGCGGCGCCCCCCGGCCACGGTTTCGTCGGCGTCGTCCACCGCGGCGCCGCGCGTGAAGTCCGCGCGGCACGCCGGCGGCGGCCCGAGCGCGCCCCCGCGCACTGCGTGGGCGGTCGGCGGCTCCGAGGCCGGGCAGCCGGCGGCGCCGCTGGGCCCGCCGGCGTCCCCCGGGCGCGTCGCGGCGCTGGAGAGGGAGATGCGGGCCACGCTGGGGTCGATGGCGTCGTTCAACGAGGACGAGAAGGCGCTGCTGCTGCGGGCGTTCCGACTGCGGGAGCGCAGCCTGCGGCAGCGGGGGATCTTCCAGCCGCCCGGGCTGGCGACGGAGCGGGACTTCCGGAAGGTGTGGGCGACGTTCTCGGTGGAGGTGTCGCGCGAGGACGTGGTGGCGCTGTTCCAGCGGTACGGGTGCGACCGCGAGGGCCGGCTGCCGTACGACGTGTTCGCGCAGACGATGTTCGGCTCGCGGACGCGGCTGATCGGGCTCGAGCCGTCGCACAAGGGCCCGTTCAAGGCCGGCGAGGACTACTCGTTCCGCGGCCAGTTCAAGTACCGCTTCTGCCGCAAGGCGGTCTACACGCCGACGGACTGGGACGGCGCGCTCGGGGCGCGGTCCGCGGAGCTCCCGGGGCCCGGGCTGGAGCTCGAGCACGTGCACGGGTACGCCGGGATCGACGGGACGGCGAGCAACCTGTTTTACAACAAGGCGGGGCACGCCGTGTACTACTGCGCGGGCGTGGCGGTCGTGCACGACAAGGACGAGAACCGGCAGCGGTTCTTCCTGGAGCACAACGACGACATCAAGTGCCTCGCGATGCACCCCGACCGCGTCCTCGCGGCCACGGGGCAGGTCACGCCCAAGTACGGCGCACCGTGTGTGCTGGTGTGGGACACCACCGGCGCGCCGCCCGAGACGCGGCAGCGCATCGACTTCCCGACGGAGGAGGGGTACGGCTACCGGCAGATCGTCGCGGTGCAGTTCAGCCCGTGCGGGCAGCGCCTCGTGGTAGTCACGGGCGACGACCGGCACACGGTCCACGTCTTCGAGTGGGCCTCGGGCGCGCTGCTGTTCGAGGGGATCGGCCACAACGGCGCGCCGCCGCAGGTGTTCGGGGCGGTGTGGAACCCGTTCCCGCGCGAGTCGTTCCTCGACCCCGCGCTGCCGGCGACCGGCACGCTATCCAAGGCGCCCGCTGCGGGCCCAGATATGTTCGTCACGTATGGCGTGAAGCACTTGAAGATATGGATCCGCGGACCGGACGGAAAGGGGCGGGAGACGTACGCGAGCCAGCACGGGAAGTTCGGGAAAGCACGGGTGCGCGCCGCGCCCCGCACCGCCGCGTAGCAGCCACCACCACACCTGCGCCGGCGGCTGGCACTTCCAACCACAGCACACACCCCCCCTCCCACCGCGCGCAGGTCGGCGACGTTCTGTCCGCGTGCTTCCTCCCGCGCGGCCTCCTCGCGACGGGCACGCAGTCCGGCGCCATCCTCCTCTGGGACATGGGCGCCACCAACACCCCCCACTCCTTTGGCTGCTGTGTCCGGATCGAGGCCGCGCACTCCCCGGGGCCCAAGGCGCGCAGCCCGTTCGACGGGCAGCTCACCCTGCAGGGCGTCCGCGGCCTCGTGGTGCGCAAGGGGTGCTCGGAGCTGGTGTCGGGCGGGTCGGACGGGCAGCTCATTGTGTGGGACCTGCTCGGCGGGAGGCTGGGGCTGGGGCGGCCGATGAAGGGGATCCGGTTGGACGACGTGGGCGACAAGATGGTGCCGTCGGTGCGCTCGCTGGACGCGCACCCGGTGTCCGGGTCGCTCCTGGTCGGGACGTCGGCGTGCGACGTGCTGGAGGTCCCCGGCGACGGCGACGAGGCGCCGGCGCCGCTCGTGGACGGGCACCGCGCGGACCTGCACCACGTGGCGTTCCACCCGAAGCGCGGGCACAAGTACGCGACGGCGTGCGAGTCCGGCGTGGTGTCGTTCTGGGACGCGCGCCGGCGGCAGCTGCTGGCCAAGGTGAACATCGGGCTGCCGGCGTGCGCGGTGGACTTCTCGCCCAACGGCCTGCACCTCGCGATCGGGTGCGGCGAGGGCTCGGTGCGCGTCCTCGCCACGTCGGACCTCCGCAAGACGCTCAAGGCGGCCCGGCACTGCATCGAGGCCATCCACGAGGTGCGGTACTCGCCCGACGGCGCCAAGCTGGCCGTGGGGTCGCACGACAACTTCGTGGACGTGTACGACGTCGAGCGCGGGTACGCGCGCCTCGCACGCTTCGCGGGGCACTCCTCGTACGTCACGCACATCGACTGGAGCGCGGACTCGCGCGTGGTGATGAGCAACTGCGGGGCGTACGAGCTGCTCTACTTCGACGCGGCGACGGGCCGGCAGGTCAAGGGCTCGCAGCGCGACACGCGGTGGGCGTCGTGGACGTCCGTGCTGGGGTTCCCGGTCATGGGCGTGTGGCGCACGGGCGAGGACGACACGTACGACGGAACGGACATCAACGCGCTGTGCCGGTCGGTGCTGGCGCCGCCGGGCGGGCGGGACGCGGGGGAGTCGGCGCGCGTGGTGCCGCAGCCGGACACGCTCGCCGGGCAGGGCGCGGTGGTGGTGACGGCGTCGGACGACGGCATGGTGCGCATGCTCAACTACCCGTGCGTGGTCGAGAACGCGCCGGCGCGGGAGTACCGCGGGCACTCGAGCCACGTGACGTGCGCGCGGTTCTCGCCGAACAACGGCTGGGTGGTCACCACGGGCGGCCACGACCGCGCGGTGTTCCAGTGGCGCGTGCTGCCCCGCGCGGACCCCCAGGCGAAGCGGCGGTCGCTCGGGCCGAACGCGGTGTGGGAGCGGCCGGAACGGATGCTGGTGGAGCCGTCCGTGCCGATTCCGGGCGACGACGGCGCCGCGGCGAAGCGCGAGAGGAAGCTGCCGGGTCCGCGGCACAAGATGGAGCGCGGAGAGGCGGAGTACGACATCAAGGTGTACACGTCGGACATCCGCGGCGCCGGCACGGACGCGAACGTGTTCTGCATGATCTACGGCGAGCACGGGCAGACGATGGAGCTGCGGCTGGACAACAACAAGAACAACTTCGAGCGCGGGCGCGAGGACGTGTTCACCGTCAAGGCGCGCGACGTGGGGAAGCCCGCGAAGCTGCGCATCGGGCACGACAACAGCGGGATGGGTCCCGGGTGGCACCTGGACCGCGTGGAGGTGCGCAACCGCGGCGAGGGCCCCACGGCGCCGCTGGTGACCTTCCAGTGTGGGCGGTGGCTCGCGACGGACGAGGACGACCGGCAGATCGTGCGGGTGCTCGCGGCGGACGGGAGCGGCGTGAAGGCGTGCAAGTACCGCGTGGTGGTGCACACGTCGGACATCAAGGGCGCCGGCACGGACGCGAACGTGTTTTTGACGCTGTACGGCGAGGGCGACGACGGGTCGTTCGGGCCGGTGCGGCTCGACAACTCGAAGAACAACTTCGAGCGCAACATGGAGGACGTGTTCGAGGTGGAGTGCATGGTCCAGGACATCAAGTACATTCGCATCGGCCACGACGGGTCCGGGCTGGGCCCCGCCTGGCACCTGAATGATGTCATCATCTCGTGCCCCGGGAAGCCGACGCTGACGTTCGACGCCGACCAGTGGCTGCCGGAGGAGGACGGCGGGGACACGTACGTCGTGTTGTCGCCCGAGGGCCGCGACAAGCCGCCCGTGCACACATACAAGGTCGAGGTCTTCACCACCGACATGCGGGGCGCCGGGACGGACGCCAACGTGCACCTCGTCATGTTCGGGGAGAACGGCCGGCAGATGGGGCCGACGCCGCTCGACACCAGCAAGTGCGCCCCCCGCCCCAAGTTGTCTGCCGCGCTGTCGTGCCGCGTGTTTGATGCCACGTGCAGCTTCGCGGCCGTCGTGGCCGAGCGGCAGTCCCCCGGCTGTGCTGCTACGTCGACGGCGCGGCACCTGCTCCCGCGCTCACCGTTCCGCCGTCGTCCTCGCCCGTGCAGGAACAACTTTGAGCGGGGCGCGCACGACATCTTCCTGCTGAAGAGCCCCGACCTCGGGGCGCTGCACGAGATCGAGATCGGGCACGACAACAAGGGCCTGGGTCCCGGGTGGCACCTGAGCCAGGTGGTCATCACGAACACCACCACGCAGGCCCGGTACAACTTCCCGTGTCACCAGTGGTTCGACCGCAAGGAGGGCGACGGCCTGACGCGCCGCCGCCTCCAGGCGAGCGACGCGGACTCCGCGATGACGACGTACACGGTGACGGTGGTCACGTCGGACCTGCGCGGCGCGGGGACGGACGCGGGGGTCTACATGGAGATGCACGGCAAGGACAAGGACGGCGGCGAGGTGGTGGTGCCGCGGCAGACGCTCGACACGTCGAAGAACAACTTCGAGCGCGCGCAGGTGGACGTGTTCATCCTCCCGCAGATGCCGAACACCGCGGAGCTGACGCACGTGATCGTCGGGCACGACAACAAAGGGTTGGGGCCCGGGTGGCACCTGGACCACGTGGAGGTCGTGAACGAGGCGACGGGGCTGCGGCAGTACTTCGACTGCCGGAAGTGGTTCGACAAGAAGGAGGACGACGGGCTGATCGAGCGCAAGCTGGACGCGAGCAAGGGGAGCGCGGGGTTCGACGACATGGTGCCGTATCGGATCGTGGTGCAGACGTCGGACGTGAAGGGCGCGGGGACGGACGCGGACGTCGAGGTGGAGCTGTTCGGGAAGATCGAGAAGGACGGGCGGCTGGTGGCGCGGTCGAGCGGGAAGCAGAAGCTGGACAACGGTGGGAAGAACAACTTCGAGCGCGGGCAGCGGGACGCGTTCACGATCGTGTGCCCGAACCTGGGGAAGCTCGACCGGATGTGGATCGGACACAACAACAAGGGGCTCGGGCCGGGGTGGCATCTCGCGTGAGTGCACTCGCCCCTCCGGCCCTGTGCGCCTGCTCGCTCGCTCCGAGCCGACGCTGGCGTGCTGCTGCACGTAGACCGTTTGAACGCACCGATGCGTGGCCCCGACGCGCTGTGCATCCCGCGTTTGCGTGTGCGCAGGAACGTGGAGGTGACGTCCGTCTCGACTGGCACGCACTATGTGTTCCCGGCGTACCGCTGGCTGGACACGAAGGAGACGCCGTACTCCACGGACGCCCTCCTGTACCCCGAGGGGTCGGACGAGGCGGCGACGCGGCCGCACAGGTACCGCATCGTGACGCACACCAGCGACATCCGTGGCGCCGGCACGGACGCCGGCGTGTCGGCGCAGATCCACGGCACGGAGGGCGTCACGCGCTCGATGTCGCTGCACACCCGCGGCAATCCCTTCGAGCGCGGCAACCGCGACGAGTTCGTGATCGAGGCCGCCAACGTCGGCGAGATGCAGAAGCTCACCATCGGGCACGACAACCGCGGGCTGGCGTCGGCGTGGCACCTCAGCCACGTCGAGGTCGACGACCTCACGACGGGCCAGCGCTGCATGTTCTTCTACGGCGGCTGGCTCGACAAGACGAACGGGCTGCAGGTGACACTGGAGCCCACGGGCGACGTGGGCGCGGAGCAGCCGCGGCGGTACCACGTGCGCTGCAAGACGGCGGACAAGCGCGGCGCGGGGACGGACAAGGACGTCACGGCCTTCCTCGTCGGCGAGGACGGCACGCGGTCCGAGGCCCTCGCGTTGGAGAAGTCCAAGAACGACTTTGAGCGCGGGCAGCTGGACGAGTTCCTGGTGGAGCTGCCGCCCGGGACGGAGCTGGGGGAGCTCAAGGAGGTCGACATCGGGTTCGCGGAGAAGCAGTCGGTGGCCGGCGCGCTGGGAGCGCTGACGGGCATGGCGTGGGGGCTGGAGTACGTCGAGGTGGTGGACATGCAGTCGAACGTGACGTACTTCTTCCCGAACCGGCACGGGTGGCTGGACAAGAAGCAGCAGCGCGTCGTGCTCCCGCGCGGCCTCCCCGGGGAGGAGGCGAAGGCCCGGTTCAAGGTCGTGGTCACGACGTCGGACATCCGGGGCGCGGGCACGGACGCGAACGTGGCGCTCAACCTGTTCGGGGAGCACGAGGACGGCACGAAGGCGGTGTCCGGTCCGCTGCCGCTGGACTCCGGGCGGCGGAACGACTTCGAGCGCGGGCACAAGGACGAGTTCAGCGTGGAGAGCGTGCCGCTGGGGGAGATCGTGCGCGCGGAGCTGAGCAAGGACGAGTCGGGGCTGGGGTCGGCGTGGCACTGCGAGAGCGTGGAGGTGACGGACCTGCAGACGTCGCAGGTGTACTTCTTCCCGTGCGGCAAGTGGCTGGATGGGAAAAAGGACCCCAACTCGCTGACTCAGGTTCTGCTGCCGGAGGGCAAGGCCGGGGAGGTGCTGTACGACTACGTGGTGACGGTGTACACGTCGGACATCCGCGGCGCGGGCACGGACAGCGACGTGACGATGGAGCTGCGCGGGACGCAGGCCATGTTTGGGCCGCGGCGGCTCGACAGCTCCGAGAACGACTTCGAGCGCGGGCGGAAGGACGTGTTCCACGTGGAGGGTCCGGACGTGGGCGACGTCGAGGAGCTGGTGATGGCGACGAACAACAAGGGCATGGGGGCCGCGTGGCACCTGGACTCTGTGGAGGTGTTCCATCCGCTGCAGAAGAAGTCGTACTTCTTCGTGTGCAAGGACTGGCTCAAGTACGACAAGACGACGAAGATGGACGGGTGCCGGAAGGTCCTCAAGCCCGGCGAGGGCCCCAGCGGCGACAAGAAGCGCTACCGCGTGGTGACGACGACATCCGACCTGCGCGGCGCGGGGACGGACAGCGACATCTTCGTGACGGTGTACGGCGACAAGGGCGACACGGGCGAGCGCGCGCTGGACGCCGGCAAGGAGGCCTTTGAGCGCGGCAACCAGGACACGTTCTTTGTGGACGCGCGCGACATCGGCAAGGTGCAGCGCCTCAAGGTGCGCAGCAACGGCAAGGGCATGGGCGGCGCGTGGCACCTGAGCACGGTCGAGGTCACGGACCTCGCGGAGGGCGCGGCGACGCTGTTCTCGTACCGCGACTGGATCGACAAGAAGAAGGGCCTGACGCAGGAGCTGCTGCCCGACACGGACGGCGACGGGGCCGGGGACGACGTCGGGGCGCGGGGCCGCAAGGACTACGACGTGCGCGTGTACACCTCGGACAAGCGCGGCGCCGGCACCGACGCCGACGTGCACGTCAGCCTGAAGGGCGACTGGGGGTTCATCGGGGAGTCGATGCTGCCGGCCAAGGGCAAGGCGTTCCAGCGCAACAAGCGCGACGAGTTCACGATCTCCGGGACGGACTGCGGGACGCTGCAGGAGCTGGGCGTGCGCATCGAGGGCGGCGGGAGCTGGCACTTGCGGCAGATTGAGGTGCTGGACAAGGCGACGGGGGAGCTGTACGCGTTCCCGTGCGACGAGGAGTTCGACGACGAGACACCGCAGCGGACGCTGAAGGAGGGGCGCGTGCTCGCGGCGGAGGCGGCGGAGGCGGCGGCGGCGGACCCGCAGCAGCAGTACCGCGTGCAGGTGTGGACGGGGGCGGCGGGGGGCGCGGGGACGGACGACGACGTGCTGGTGACGGTGGTGGACGCGGAGGGCAACGTGCTGGGCGGCGAGGCGCAGAACCTGGACGACAACAAGAACAACTTCGAGAAGGGACGCGAAGACAACTTCTTCATATCCGTGCCCGAGTCCAAGGGCCTGCGCGCGCCGGTGGCCAAGCTGGTCGTGGAGAAGAAGAAGCGCGGCATGTCCCTCGGCGGCGACTGGCAGCTCGACCGCATCGCCGTCCTCGACGTCGCGCGCGGGCAGCAGCTCCTGTGGAAGGCGCAGGGTGCGTGGGAGGGCTGGTTCGGGACGAAGCACGGCGTGGTGCACGCGTGGGAGGTCGACAAGCACCTGCAGGGCGCCGACCAGGACCTCGAGCTGGTCGCCGGCGCGGAGCACGTCGGCGGCCCGCGCGGCGCGGCGCAGGCCCCAGAGAGCCAGCACGAGGGCATTGAGGACAAGTACAGGATCGCGGTGACGACGACGAAGAAGATGGGCGCCGGGACGGACGCGGAGGTGTTCGCGGAGCTCGAGGGCGAGAACGGGCAGCGCTGGGAGCCGGTCCTGGAGCAGCGCAAGGAGCACTTTGAGTCTGGGAAGACGGACGAGTTCTTCGCTGACACTGACGTGGGCCTGGGGGAGTTGAGGAACCTGCGGCTGTGGCACAGCGGCAAGGGGCTGCTCGCGGGGTGGCACTGCGACAACGTCGTGGTCGAGCGGCTCAACACGGGCGAGGCGTGGCAGTTCGACTGCAAGTCGGACGTGCCGAAAGCCAAGTCGGCCAGCCAGGCCGGCAAGGTCATACCGGCGAAGAAGATCCGCGAGGCGCGCGCGACGGAGGAGGAGCCGCCGCCGCCGGTCAAGGCCGAGAGCCCCGCGGAGAGCCCCGCGGAGAGCGAGCGGCCGCGGATCACGCGGAGGGAGAGCGTGGCCTTCGGGATGGCGGAGCCGGACCCCGACGCGGACCCCGGGGAGTACGAGATCGTGTTCAAGGTGAGCGCAGCCTCTGGGAACGAACGCCCCGTTCATGAAGGATGTCGCGCAATGATGCACGCCCCTCCCTTGCAGACAGACAATCAAAAACCTAAGATAACCGCCACACCGCGGGTGTTTCCGGCCGTTGAGACCGTTGCCTGCCCGTGTGCGACCTTCCTGACGCGCCCTCGCTCCCGCTGCGCTGCAACCGCGTTCGTGCAGACGGGGACGCGCGAGGACGCGGGGACGGATGCGCACGTGGAGTGCCAGGTGTACGGCGAGCGCGGGGGCTTCCAGCCGATGCTGGACCAGATCAAGCTGTCATTCGATCAGGGCTGCGAGGACACGTTCGTCGTCAAGTCCGACTGGGGGGACCTCGGCGAGCTCGTGCAGGCCAACCTGTGGCACGACGGGTCCAACGAGAGCCCCGACTGGTGGCTCGCGTGGCTGTCGGTGCGCCACCTGCGCTCGGGGCGCATCTGGCGGTTCCCCTGCGGCAAGTGGGTCAAGGAGGGCCCCGACGACCCCACCGTGCTGTTCCCAATGGGCGACCGGCTGGAGACGGTGCGCAGCACAGTGCGGCGGCAGTCGATGGCACTCCGCGCCACCCAGACGGAGCAGGAGCAGGATGCGGCCGCAACGAAGATCCAAGCGGCGTTCCGGGGCCGCCGCGACCGGAAACGAGTGACCGACATGCGGCGCGACAAGGCAGAGGAGGACGCGCGGCGGGACGCCGCCGCGACGACGATCCAGGCGGGCTACCGCGGGCACCGCGACCGGAATTCGGTCGCCGCGGTGCGCGCCGACGCGGACGCCGAGCGCCAGCGGGCCGCGGAGGACGCCGAGGAGGCGCGGCGCGGGGCGGAGGAGGCCGCGGAGGTGCAGAGGCAGAACGAGGCGGCGACGAAGATCCAGGCGGTGTACCGCGGCAACCGGGACCGCAAGGTCGCGGCGGAGCGCCAGGCGGCCCCCCCGCAGGCCCCGCCGCCCCGGGAGGTGCAGGAGCAGGCAGCGGCGAAGATCCAGGCGGCGTTCCGGGGGCAGCGCGACCGGAAGCGCGCGGAGTCGCGGCGGCAGCGGCGCGCGGAGGGGCGGTACGAGGGGTCGGACGACTCGTTTTCGCAGTTCAGTCGCGACACGTGGGAGGAGCACTTCCAGGAGGTGGAGGGGGTGCAGGTGCCCTACTACTTCAACATCATGACGGGGGAGAGCACGTGGGAGCGGCCGCCGGGGTTCGACTAGCGCTGGAGCGGGAGGGGGGGTTGTGAGCCGCGAGAGATCTCGATGTGTCAGGAAGCAGAGCATGCGGCGCATGCCGTCGATGCACGGGCCGTTCGGCGGGGGGCGCTTGGACACGGGTTCACTCACTCTGAGCGGGGTTCGCTCGGGTGTCTGTTCCGGGCTCGACGTGCGCTGCGGCGCTGCCTGCCCCGCGCCCGCGCCCGGTGCGCCCGCGTCACTGTTTCCTCCGCAGCATCGCGAGGCAGCGGTACGCGTCGTGGTCGTTCAGTGCCGACTCCACGTTCGTCTCGCCGAACAGCGCCTCCACCTCCATCCCCGCGGCGTCCGCCAGCAGCGCCAGCTCCCCCACGGTATAAAACCGCTGCTGCACCACCTCGTCGTACGAGTCGTCCGCGACGTCGGCCCCGCTCATGCTGATCTGGACCCTCCTGTGCAGCACCTGCAGGGATGCGCGCAGGCGCACTGCGCGTTGCTCGCTCGCGGTCGGCAGGGGCGCTGTGGCGCGGCACACACACCGGGCGCTCGCGCACCTGTCTAATGTCGTCGAACCTGTCGTAGGGCGAGCCCCACTGCACTTGGACGCGCCTGCCGTGCTCTTCGCAGTCCCAGCGGTCGGCGGCGAGCGCCTCGGGCGACGTGAGCGACCCGTCGAAGATGTCGCCGGGGTGCGACAGCTCGACGATGAACACGCCGTCGGGCGCCATCGCCGCCGCGACGCACTGGAAGAACGCCTTGGCGTCGAGCACCTCCGTGAGGTGCATCATCGTGCCCAGCATGGTGACGACGATGTCGAACGGGGCGCCCGGAGGGGGTGGAAACGACCTCATGTCGCCCTGGACCAACGCCACGTCGACGCCCGCCTCCCTCGCCTTCTCGCCAGCGTAGTCCAACATCTCCTGACAGATGTCCAGCCCCGTCACGCTCAAGCCCCGCTTCGCCACCTCCACAGCGTGTCCACCGGGCCCACAGCCAACGTCCAACAAACTCTGCGGAGCGCACACACCGACGTGATCAGCGGACGCCCTATGGCGAAATCCACGCACCATTCCATCGTGCTGACCCGGTCCATCCGAGAAATCCCCGGACGGGTGTGAGGCGGCGTTTCACGCCTGGCAAGAGGCTGCCGGGTGCCCGGCGGAGACCCACGGAAATGCCCGGCTCACCTTTGGGGCATTCTGACCGCGACGGGAACGGTACGCCTCGACGATGAATTCTGCCTCTTGCTCGAAATCCCGGTACATAAATGCTGACTCGTACAGTATGGGGCGGCGGTACACTTGCGCGCCACTCACGTCTGTGGCCCCCGGCGCGCTGCCCGCACTGCCGGGCCCAGGGCCGGACTTGGCGCGCACAGCAGCCTGCACGGCGCGTGGTCTTCGCGCCGGTTCGTGGAGTTCGCGGCGAGGAAGACTCCACGAGCTGCGGGCGCGCAGGCAAGGAGCGTGGCAGGAGACACAAGGCGGCCGGTGGTGCGCCGTGGCAGACACAGCAAGCGCCCAAGGGGCGCCCACATGCGCAGCCATCGTGCCGCAGTGCGATTTGTCGCGCGGACGCAGCGGTGCGGGCTATCCAGCTGCGGCGAGCGTGCCCGACACTGCGTTGCGCGGCAGACAACAGGTCCCGTGCGGCCAGGCCCTACGAGGGCGAGCAGCGCTGCCTGCGCGAGCATGTAGCGCCGCCTGGTTGCATGTCGGGACGTGCTGTGGCTTGGTCGTTCGTCAAGTGGGACGTCGGGGATCCCAGGGAGCACTTGCTCTCCCTGCTCCGGTCTCCCTGCGCGTTTTGAACGCGCTCTGGAGCGCCCTGCGGGGCGAGGCAGGTTCTCCTGGGAGAGTCTCCGGCGTGAGCCGTGCTGCTTGACCTCGCAGGCGCGGAGTGGGAGAGATGTTGCCCGGCATCGGTGGGTACAGGCCCCCGGGGACGATGTCGGGGGTCAACGGGTTCGGCGGGGGTCGCAGCACGATGGTATCTGCGTCAGGCATACGTGGGTTCGACTTCTACCGCACGCTACCCAAAGGTGCGCCAACTGTCGCTGTAGAAATTTCATGATGCAGCCAACAGACCATAGGACTCCTGATTCCGACTCCCGTTCTGGTGCCGTGATCCTCTTCCTTCGCTCGCGCGGCATCGACCGCTCCCGCCGCGCCTCGGCCGCCACGCAGAGCTCACGGAGTCCTCCCTCGCGGGGATCGTTACCTCGCTGCTGGCCTCGCTCTTCATCGTCATGCTCGTCGGATACGAGTTCGCGGACTACATGACACCGGACAACGTGTCCGAGCTCGTCGTAGATCGCTCCGACTTTAACGAGGTCCGTTGAGCCACCCCTCCACCCCGCGGCCGCGCTCTCCGCACCACGCACGGCCCGCGCCCGCCTCCCGACGCGCGCGTCCCGTGCCGCAGGCGATCCACACGAGCGAGAGCTCCCTCCCGCGCAGGTCCTGCGCGTCACCTTCAACGTGTCCTTCCCCGCCCTGTCGTGTGAACATCTGGAGGTCGACGTCAAGGACGCCGTCGGGACGCGGCGGTACAACATGACGCGCACCGTCACGCGCACGCCGATCTCCGCCGACCTCGAGGTGCGCCGCAACGCCAGCGCGCGAGGCGCACCAACAACAAGCATACGCTTACGGTCTCCCGCGCTCTGCTCCCGCCGTTCTCGCGCGGGTCCACCGCGTGCTCAGGCCGATCGACCGTCGTGCACGCACCCCTCGATCGCGTGCAGCGCGCCGGGCTGCCGCAGACGGCCCGCAGCACAGCGCAGCACAGCGCGGCGCCGGACGGCCCCAAGTACGACGACTACCCGCCGCTGTCGGAGGAGGAGATGCGCGCGGAGGAGAAGCACCTGTCGGAGGCGCTGACGTCGCGGACGTTCGACGCGTACGTGCACAAGCACCCGGTGGTGATGGTGAACTTTTTCGCGCCGTGGTGCCCCTGGTGCCAGCGCCTCGCGCCCACGTGGGAGGAGGCGACGCGCGTGCTCTTCCAGCGGCACGGCGCGGACAACGACGTGCGGTTCGCGCGCGTCGACTGCACCGCCAGCCAGGACCTCTGCAAGAAGTATCAGATTCAGGTGCGCGCACGTGGGCCGGTGACGCCACGCACGCGCCACCCGGGCGCCGCCGCAGCCCCGCCCGCAGCGACCGCGACGTGCTCCTCGCCTCGCTGAGCCGTGAGGCCGCGTGTCACTTCGCACCGCAGGCGTATCCGGCCATCCGCGTATTTACAAAGGGATCCGACGAGAGCGCGGCGTTCGTGGACGGCAAGGGGCACCACGCGCACGTCGCGTACCAGGGGGACCGCACCGTCGACGCGCTCGTCACCTTCGCCGAGGCGGTCAGCTACCACCGCCAGAAGGCGCCTGCAGGGCCGCTTGACGTCAAGGCGGCGCTGGCGAACTCGGACGACAAGGAACTGTCGAAAGGTACGTTGGCCACGCAAGCCCGTGTGTGGCGCGTCGTGTTCGGCGTGCGAACGCGCAGAGACAGCACCTGTGGGCGACGAGGGTCCCTGTCGAAAACTCCTCCGTGGTGCAGTGTGGTCCCTTTTCTGATCCGTGCGTGCATGTCCGTCGGTCTCGGGCTGCGTGCAGTGGTAGGCGACGCCCACAAGGCTCCGGGGTGCAACATCAACGGGTTCTTGCTGGTGAAGAAGGTGCCGGGGGCCATCACGATGTCGCTGGTCGCGCCCGGGCACTCGCTGGACGCCGAGCGGATCGACACCTCGCATGTGGTGCACAAGTTCTTCTTCGGACTACCCCTGGCCACGAGAGAGTACGCGACCCGCACAACTCGTCGTCTGCCGCGCTCACGGTCGCCTCGTAGCATCCTCAGCATGCCTCGTCCCTGCGCACCGTTGCAGGGCGGCGAGGGTGCTCAAGCGGATGCATCCGCACGGGCTCACGCGCGCCTGGATGGACAAGTTCGCCGGGGCGCAGTTCGAGTCCCCGAGCGCCAACATGACGCACGAGCATTACATGCAGGTGGTGCTGACGACGATGACGCCGCTGGGGCGCGGCGTGCGGTCGCACGACGCGTACGAGTACACGTTGCACTCGCACAGCTACTCGGCGGAGGGCGCGGACCAGGTGCCGGAGACCCGGTTCTCATATGAGCCGAGCCCAATTCAGATCATGGTCTCTGAACGCAGGCAGCCGCTGTACCACTTCGTGACGTCGCTCTGTGCGGTGGTCGGCGGCGTGTTCACCGTGATGGGCATGCTCGGCGGGGGGATCGGCGCCGCGAGCGCAGCGCTGAAGAAGAAGCTAGACTTGGGAAAGCAGTACTGAAGGAAAGGAAATCGGTGATCGGCAATGTAAATATGCAGGTTGTGAGGCCAGGGACCGCCACCGCGCTCACTTGGCAGCTCACAGCCGCACCGGCCATCAGCATGAGGTTCAGCGATCGACCCCTGACACCTCAATACACCCCCGCCGCCTCCTCCTCGAGCGCGGCCGCGATCATACGCTTGCGCTCCCCCGCATCAGCAAACCTGTGCTGCCGCCCGTGCCCCGGCAGCAGGTTCAGGAACGGCACGTCCGCCAGCTTCGCCGCACTCTGCGCCTGCAGCTCCACGTCGAACCAGTTGTACCGCCGGAACGTGCTCAGCCGCCCCAGGCGCGCGCTGAACGCCAGGTGATCCCCCGTGAACAGCGACGCGGACGGGGCGTGCAGCAGGCACACACAGCCGCGCGTGTGCCCAGGCGTGAAGATCAACTGCACGTCCGCGTCGGTGTCCGCAGGCAGCGCGTTGCCCTCCAGGTCCCACGGCCCGTCGCCGCGGAGCTGCACCTCGACCGCCGCGGTCGACCCGCGCACGTCCGCCTCGTGCAAGATGCGCGAACAGCCGAAGTGCGCAGCCCACTTGTCGTGGTCCGCTACGTCGTCCTGCGCCGTTGCCGCGACAGACGGCGCATTGTTTGTGTGAGCACTGGGGACGGTCGTGTCGCGCAGCGCATCAAGGCGGCTGCGCGGTACGCTGTCTGTCCTGCCAGGCAACAGCTGCCTCGTGCGGCATCGGCTGTGGGCCGGACCGCCTACATTCCGAGCTTGAGTGCGTTGTTCACCTGGTGGGTCAGAAACATGTGCTTGACTCCTCCCAGACGCTCGATGCTCTTCGCAAGGATGGGATTATAGCGAGGGGAGTCGATCAGCACGTTGCCCTCGCGTCTGACCACCAGGTAGGACGCCGCCCCGTACGACTTCTCCGAGTGCCACCCGCAGTGATACACCCCCTCCGCGCCCTCGACTGGGCTCGGCAGACCCTCGTGCGCCTGCGAGAGACACACCACGGCGCACAAAGAGTCACGCTGTCGGCCGGTGGTGCAGGGGACGGCATCGTTCGCGGCCGTGATGCATTGTGTGCGAACCCGGTGCAGGACGTCCTTCGAGCTGCCCTCGAAGTGGATCGAGTGGGTCGGACAGCTCAGCACCGCCTTCATGGCCTCGATCTCCTGCGCCTGACCGTCCGGCTGTCGGTACACGACGCTCTGGCTCTCCTCGCGCCGAAACAAGTCAGGCGACATCCACCTGCACGGAAGAACACGAGTCGCGCGTGCCTCAAAGACAGGTCGCGGACAGGGCTTTCCGCGACGAACAGACAGGCCCCGAGAACGACTGACAGCACCGTCGTCCTGAGCGCCTCGGCGTGTGTCCTGTCCTGGCGAGCAGCTTGGGCATCGTGCGTCGCAGCGAGATCGACAGCGCAGTTGCGTCGCACCTACAGGTGTCGCAGTCGATGCACGTCTCGTCGACGAAAAGGGATCCTGCGACGTTTCGCGGGTGTGGCCGGCGCGAGGAGGCACTGGTGGCCACAGAGCGCACCGCCGCCCGCCGAGGCGCGTGCCTGTGTCCAAGTTTGACGGAGCATGGAATGAGATTAGGTCGTGAGCATGGGCCCTGTCATCGCGGACGCGGCCTACAAGGCGCGGCACGGCACGCAGACGAGCGGTGAGCAGCGCACCCACGGAAGCCGGCAACGGGCGCGCTGAAACGAGTCGACGACATTTGCTTCCGTTCCCTGGTTCAGCAGCTTGAGCCTGTTCGGGGCCACGCGTCAGAGCGCGATAGAGTCGGACTGTACAGCGCGAAGAGGCAACGTGCAAAGCAACCACCAACAGCGATGCCGTCTTCCGCAGACTGAAGCACGACGACTTCACCGTGCGGGGATCCCTACAGAGCCTGTGCCGGCAGCGCTCACAGCGAACGCCGTGTAGGACGGACGCGCGCCGTCTTGCGAGGGGGAGACAGAGCAACAGCCCTGGAGGTGTGTGGCGTGAAGTGCGCCGCTGCGGGCGAGACGAGGCGGCCAACGCGACGCTGCCGTACGCGCCGTTGGTGCGCCGGAGCTCGTGCGCGTCGGCGTCGGTCTCGCTCTGCCTCGCCGCACCGGTCGATGCCCATCTGTTTCCATCGTCCATGGACAGTTGGCCAACTGAGGACGGCATCCTCGTCCTCGTCCTCCTAGACACGTCTCCGCCCCGCAGGCGTCCGCGCGGGAGCACGAGTGCGCGCCGGTCTCAGCAGGTGCCGAGCGGTGCAAGCGCTCACATCCGACGCCTGCGCGACGGCCTCAGGCCGCCCCACGGCGGCGCCGCCGAGCACGGTCCCGGGCCCCCTGTTCCCCGGCGCGCCGCCCCTATCGCATGATGTCGTAGTCCTTGAAGGCCTCCTTGAACCGGTCGGTGAACTGCTCCTCCTCCTCGCGCGTCCCCATGCACTTCTTCCACTCCGCGCGCTCGGGTTTCCCGCACAGCGTCGCCGCGATCTCGCGCGCCAGGGTCATCGGGTGCCGCGAGTGCCGCGGAATGACGTGCAGCAGCCGCATCCCGTTCGGCAACACCCACAGCAAAAACTCCTCCTCGCCTGCCACGTCCTTCACCGCGTCGCGAATGTCCGCCTCCGAGTCGATCTCCCTGCAGCGCACCCCCGCGACCACGCACCGCCATCCTCAGCCGCCCTCCGCAGCACGCGCAGCCAGTCGGTGCGAGGCGCGCGATCATCGGCGCCGTGTGCGCACCTGAACCCCACGCCGCTCGCCTCCCCCATGCGCACGATCGTCTGCGCCGCGCCCGGCACCGCGGCCGCCGCGACGGGCACGCAGTTGATGTGGCAGTGGTTGCCGCCCTTGGCCCGCAGGTTGACGAAGCGTTCAAAGTACACCATCTCCTTGCCGCCCGCCGCCATCATCGACCGCACCGCCTTCAGGTACCGCTGCATCTCCTCGAACACCTGGTCCGGCACGTGCACGCTGCAGCGGTAGTGCTCCACGGGCAGCACCAGGCAGTGCTGGGGGTGTATTGGCGCCTTGTCGACGGCGAGGTAGGACTGCTCGCCGACGGACGCGACGAGCCAGAGAGAGGCCGCCTCGTTCGAGACGCAGAACCAGCAGCCGTCGACGGGCTTGGCGTCCAGGAGCTGCCGCGACGCGGTGGCGCTGTCGATGGTCAGCGTGCGGCCCATCATCTGCGAGCCGTTCAGCGCCATGGCGCGCGACGCCCCTTCGAGCGTCTTGAACTGCACGTGCGCCCACGAGTTGATGCGACCGTCCTCGCGCGCCTTCCGTCGCACATCCTCGACCTGCGACGCACGCCGTGGCAATCAGTGTCGCCCCTTCAACGCGGACCGCGGGGCGGCCACACGGCGACCACCGCTGCAGATGCAGCCGCGCAAGGTCTGCGGGCGCGGCGGGATCGATGCGTCGTCCGGCGCGGGCGGTTTCGGCCTCACCTCGCCGCACTGCGAGAACCACGCGACGAGGTCCTTCTCCTCGGCGTCGAACGGGAGGTTCTTCACGAACACCGTCCGCCTCGAGTCCCGCACCACGTCGTCGCGCCCGTGCGACGGGGCCGCCACCTTCCGCTGCCGCTTCGTCCCCGGCTGTTGCCAACGCCACGACTGCCCGGTGTCGTCCGCCTCCGCGGCGCGCTTCGCGGACCCCTTGAAGAACGCCTCGTCGTACGGCGAGCGCGTGGTGTCCGCGGGGTGCTCCGCGAGCTTCGCGGGGTCCATCTGCGCCGCTGGCACCACCGCCAGCGCGTGCATTGCCTTCTGCTTCTCCTTGTTCCCGTACACGCCCAGCGCGATCAGCCGGGTGACGTGCGACCCTGCGGAGATGCGGTGCGCGCGCTGTGAGCGGCCTGTGCGATCGCGAGGCCGCGGGAGCTGACTCAGGGTTGCTGCGTCTCGATGGGCGCGTGCCTGCTCCGAGGTCCTTGTTGGCGTATGGCGGTCGCTGGTAGAACCGCCCGAGGCCCGTGGTGATGTGGTAGCGCGGGCGCAGCTTCGCGACGAGTTCCGCGGGCGCAGTGGCCCCGGCGATGCCGGGCGCGTCCTTCAGGGCTGGATCGTCCGGGGCTCCGCGCGCGCCGTCCCGCGGCCACTCCAGCGAGAGGAAGAAGTCGACGTCAGCCTCGGTCTCCGCGAGCCCGTTCAGCGTCGCCAGCTCTGCAGCGGCCGTGAGGGCAACGAAACGAACTTGCTGAGGACAAGGGACTGCGAACTAGGGGCCACGAATGACCATCCGGCGCGTTTCTGTCCAGCACAGCATCACCCACGCAAGGTCCATGCGCACAGCGCGCGGCGCTTACCGGCAGGCCCGTAGTGCTTGCCCTCGGCGGCGCTCTCCCCTGCTGTCTCGCCGCTGGCAGGAGCCACCCCGTCAAGATACGCCACCTTGATCCCCTGGACGTCGCTGATCCCGGCGCGCCCGAGGTACGCCACGTTCCTACCCCCCTCGTTGGCCGGCGGCGCCGCAAGCGCGCGCACCGCGGCCCCCGACCCCTCTCCGTTTGCTCCCAGGAAGTACGTCGGCACTGGCGCCTGCGTCTCCCCCCGGACGTAGGGCGCCAGCTGCCCCATGTCGTCGCCCTCGCCATCCGCGAACGCTTGTCCGACGCACAGGAGCGCGGCGAAGGGCCCGGACTTGGCGTTCACGGCCCCCACGCGCGCGAACAGGGCGTCCCACTGCCCGCGGGGGCCGCCGGCGATCAACACGCGCTTCGTCTCTGTCCCCGCGGGCGGCATCGCGGCGTTCGGGCGCAGCTGCGCGCCGTGCAGTGCGAACTGTGTCGCGCCGCGGCAGCAGCGGGCGCATTGGCGCCCGGCAGCGCGCAGTCGGGCCTGACGTCACGCCAACGCCCCACCCCCCCCGTGTCGCTCACGCAGCTCGAGGTCTCGCGCCGAACGAGCACGCGGACAGATTCGCATCCGAGTTGGATCTTCGCCTGCGTGCATCTTCGAGCTCGAACTCGCTCTCTGCGCGTCTGCGGAGGCCATCGACTGTACGTCTCCCGCGGCAGGGAACGACACCTCTCCGGCGCGCACTGCCCGCCAGCGGCCCGCAGCGACGGCGAGACCCCGCGAGACGTCACCATGTGCGCGTACCGGGCCCCGACAGTGAAGGAGATCGCGGCCCAGATGGGTTCGTTCGAGATCCTACAGCACGTGGGTGCGGGCAGCTGCGGCAGGGCGTACCTCGCGAAGGAGTCCGCGGGACCCTGCGCGGGAGCGAAGTGGATCCTCAAGGTGAGGCGGCGCTCGCAAGACGACGCCCGCCGACCGCGTCGCGGGGCCGTGCCGCCGGCCCGCACGTGCCTGCGCACGCCGACGGAAGACGAACCGGCCGCGCCGCGCGCGGGCGCCGGAACGCGCCGCCGGCGCCCGGCGTGAGTCGCGGCGATCGAGATCCTCGGCGCGATCGTCGGTTCGCTGTCTTGTGCCGTCGATAGCGGTGCCGACTGACGTGTCGTTTCTGCTGCCGTGGTGCGGCTGCAGGAGGTCACCCTTCCGTCAGACAGGGACGTGCGGCACAAGGTGTATCGCGAGGCGCAGGTGCAGAGCAAGCTGCACCACCCGTACATCTGCTGGCTGCGCAACGTCCGCGTGGAGAAGATGTCGTCCTGCATGCTGCTGTGCACCAACTTCTGCAAGGGCGGGGACCTCAAGGACTTCCTCGAGAAGCTCAGGGAAGCTGGGGTGTATCTCCAGGAGCCGATCGTCCTCACCATCATGGCGCAGGTGCGGCTCAGCCACAGCGCGCGTCGCCCTGTCGTCCCGGCAGTCGCGTGCGAGCCATGGATTCCCGATCGAACGATCCCTGTCTCATCGATAGCGCCTTGGACCTTCGCGCCGATGTCTGCAGCTGCTCCTGGCCGTCGACCACGCGCACAGCAAGGGCATCGTCCACCGCGACATCAAGACGGAGAATGTGTACATCGACGACGACGTCTCCAGGGGCGCGATCCAGCGCGTCATGCTCGGGGACTTCGGAGTGAGCCGCACCATCGAACAGACGGGGCAGCTGTCCGTTGTGGGTGCGCGCCGGCCCCTGCATGTCTCTCCCGAACCCATGCCTAGTGTTTTTCGTATATGCCGAAGACAGAGCTTCAATGACTGTGCTCGGCCCCGGACACCGCAGGTACCCCGCTCACCATGGCACCGGAGGTGATGCACGGCGAGATCTACGGCAAGAGCTGCGACATCTGGTCGCTCGGCTGTCTGCTGGTTGAGCTGTGCAACCGCAAGCCAGCGTTTGCAGCCAACAGCATGGAGGTGCGTGCGGGGTCGCATCACGCACCATCTGCCAACACAAGTCCACGGGCATCGCGTGGACTCGCTGGTCTCGCCGCCTCCGCTGTGCGAACGTGTGCCCGTTCTTTGTCGCTACCGCAGGAGTTGTCGATGCTGGTCCAGCTGGGCGAGTTCACCCCTCTTGACAAGCGGTACTCGCGCTCGCTGGGCCTGCTCGCCAAGGCCATGCTGTCCGTGCAGCCCGAGAGGCGGCCGACGGCCAACCAGCTCCTGCAGACGCCGGTCCTGGCCGAGTACACCATCATGGCGCTGCAGAACAGCAAGCTGCCCATCGACTCGGACTACGCAAGCATCGTCGAGGTGAGCGCGCGGCCTGCGACCTGACTCGCGCCGGATCCAAACATTGGCGCTTCCTGTTCGTCGCGGTGCCAAACGCGCGCAACACCGTGGTGGTGCGCCGCGCAGAGAGTCGCGCTCAAGGGGACGGGGCCGGCGCAGGAGCTGCACGAGCTGGACGTCGCGGTGGAGCAGTCCCTGAAGGAGCAGATGGACCGGTTCGCCCCAACGATGAAGGCCAAGCTCAGGGCCGCGGCGGACAGCAAGGCGGCCGGCGTCGAGAAGAGCAGGCTCGGGCCCACGGTCGGGTACACGAGCGTCGACGCGGCACCGAGCTCCCAGGTGCGGGCGTGACGGAGCGAACGACCCGCGCGAGGTGTCGAAGGTCACCAGCCGGGCCGCGGCGACGTTGGCGCAGACGGGCGCGAGTGTGCGGCACTTGTTGTGCTGCGGCACCGGGGAGAGGAATCACCGTCGATTACACTGGCGGGACATGCCCTGGGCATGCGCCATGGGTCGTTATACTGTGACGGAGGGGTCCCACGTCTGACGTGGCAACAGGGCGGCTCGCATGGATCCGCGACTAGGCTGGCTCGATGCAGACTGCAGTTCGCGCACCCTGCTCGCTGTCCGAGGCATGTCCCAGCGTCCTCGTCGCAGCGCTTCGCCCGCAAGCACCCACGGCGTGCTGCGCTCAGCCGCATCGTTCCGAGACCACCGTGCAGCCCGCCGGCACGCTCGCAACCACCTCGTCGATATCCAGCTGCGCGCAGCGCGTCACCACCAGGCGCTGCAAGCTGGGGCACCTCAGCAGGAGCCGCTCAAGGCGCGTGCAGCCCCAAAGCGAAAGCGTCGTCAGCGACTGCGACTCCGCGACCAGCTCGTACACCGGTGCCGTCCCCTCGGACGCCGGCTGACTCAGGTCCACGCCGTCGCCCTCCCCGAACTCCGCAGCGTCTGCCGCCGCCACGCGCGCCCGCACCACTGGCGACGCTGCCGGGCTCCCTCCGACGTGCGCGAAGTCCAACCGGCGCGTCGCGCGCGGCAGCCGCGCCGCCACCCCCACGTCCGCATCGACATCCGCACCCTGGACAACCCCCTCCTCCGTGTCCCGCGACAACGAGTACCCCACGTCGAGCGTAGTCAGCTTCGGCAGCCGCGTCAGCAGCCGCTGGACGCCCGCGCGGCTCAGGCGCGGGCACGCGGCGGCGTGGAGCGCAGTGAGCGTTCCGGCGAGCGGCGCGCACGCGGCCTCGATCGCGCTGTCAGTCAGACTCCAGCAGCCCGACACGTCAAGCAGCGCCAGCTGCGGGCAGCGCCGCGGGATGCAGCCGATGCCGGAGCTCGTCAGCGTGGGCGCGTGGTTGAGCGCGAGCGCGCGGAGGGAGCCCGGCTGGTTGGAGAGGAGCGTGTGGACCGCCATGTCGGTGATATGCTCGCTGGCAATGTGCAGACACTCGAGGTTCGGGCACTGCTCCGCGATGGCCCGGACGACCCCGATGAACTTCGACGACTGGCCGGAGGTCGGCAGCCGGCCCGAGGACCACGGGACCCAGCCGGGCGGGGGTGTCACGGGGGGGAGTTCCGGCCCGAGTGCGGCGATGGAGAGTCGCACCAGCGCCGGGCACCGCAGCTGGACTTTCTCGAGCGCGGAGCACCCGCCGACGCGCAGGGACTTGAGGCACGCCCCGACGATGCTGAGTTCCTTGAGCCCGGACGCGCCCTCGACGCACAGCTCCCTCAGCACGGGGTTGGCGCTCGACAGGTGGTGCAGCCCGGCCTGACTCAGCCCGCTCAGCGCGTTCGGGCGCTCCGGGGCGGGCTGGAACGCGACGCGCTGGATCCGCGGCGGCAGCGAGAGCGCCAGGAGCGACACGTCCGCGTCGCTCATGTCCTCCGCCGCATGCACGGTGAGCTCGCGCAGTGCATGCAGCTTGGGGAGCACGTCGCGGATCGCCTCGCGCTCGGAACGCGACCACTCGACGGCCACCTGCTCGGTCCCGGCCCAGAGCCGCTGCGCCGCGCGCCGCCACGTCCGACACACCCCTGACGCGGCCACCTGGTCCGACACCCCCATCCGGGCCAGTACCTGCATCATGCACACCTCCTCGGGGGTCGCCGGGCCCGGGGGCACGTCCGCGTGCAGCGCGTTCGAGTGGAGAGCCGCCGCGACCGCGTTCGCCGACGCGAGCGCCGCCGCGGCCTCCGCGGACGCCACCGGCGGCGCAGCGGCGCGGCCCAGCATGATGGGGTCCGTCCACGGGCCGTTCGGGGCGTAAGAGTCGGCCAGCGACGAGTGCGCGACCAGCGAGTTGCTTCGGTGGCCCGAGGGGCTCGCGGGGAGCGCGCCGCGGGCGCCTCCGACGGCCGTCCCGCGGGGCGAGCGCCCCGCGTTCAGCGCCCACACGCCCGCACCCGCCGCCGCGCCGCCGGCCGCCACGCCCGTCGGAGGCGCCGCGGCAGCGCCCGCGGGCGCCCCAGCAGCCAGCAGCGACGGTCCGAGGCGGTTGTTCGAGTGTCCGTCCAGCATGTGGTACACCACCGCGTCGTTGATGGCAGCGCGTGCCCGCCCCGGCCCCAGCAGCCCGCGCAGCGGCGACGGCGACGAGTTGCCGTGCTGCCCGCGCTCCCCCTGCGACGGAAACGTCCCGAGCGGCGACGCGAGGCGCAGCTGCACCGCGTCCCCGGGCACGGGCGACCCCAGGCCCATCAGCGCGCCATATGGCGACATGACGCCCAGGGAGGTCCCGGGGGCGTGGGGGGTGTCTCCGACGCCCCCGCGGGCGCGGTGGTGCATCAGCGGCGGCGGCGTGGAGTGCGTCCACGCGCTGAACATGCCCACGGCGTCTGCGGCGTCCCGCAGCGGCGACCGCAGCGCGAGAGCGACCTGCGCCTCGGCGAGCGCCGCCGTGGGGGGGGTGTCGGCGGGGAGTCCGGGGACCCCGCGCGCGAGCGACGCCGTCGCGGTCGCGGGCGTCGGGGCGAAGTCCGCCGTGCCGGTCGCGACGGCCCGCGGCGTCGACCGGAGCGGGGAGGCCGCCGAGTCCTTGGCCGTGGGCTGGGAACGGCGCCGAGCCTCCAGGGGAGGGCGCACGCGCTGCGGGGAGCCGTCCGACGCGAGGGGCTTCCCGGGGTGGCGCGGCGCGGTCTGTTGGGGGCGCGTGGGGGCCGGGGCCGGGGCTTTGGCGTCCGCAGCGGGCGCCCTGTGCGCGGTGCGGGCCCGCTTGGCTGCCTGCGTGGAGGGAGGGTGCTACGTGCGCGAATGAGGGGGTGGAGAGGCCGCGCGTGGGACTCAGCGGTGCGAGGTGGTGACGTGAGCGATGTGCGCCGCAGATGGCGCGGGTGGCCCGTCGGTGCTGGGCGGCAGAGCGGCTGGAAGGGGCCAGAGCGGTGGCGGGAAGCGCGCAGGGCTCCGCGACGGCGTGCGCTGCGGTCCGCGTAGTGCCCGAGCGACGCAGTGATATCAGAGACGCGACGAAATGGGGACGCATGGCCGGCCGGAGCCTCCCACGCCATCGCGCGCGCTCTGGCGCTCAGCAGCATAGAGGCGCCCCGCACGCGCGTTGTGGGGGCTTACCCGGGGCGCATCTACCATGTTGGCACCGGCAGAAGCATCGCCATTCTTGAACGGACACTGCGGTGGGCGCGGGACGTCGCGGGGGCTGGTGTTTCGCGGTTACTCTCAGCAGGGCGGGGAGGTGCCCGCTGGGGGGCAGGCCGTGCGCGGAGGCCGACGACGACAGCATGCGCCGCACACACATAATCGGAAACGGCCGTTCAGGGCGGAATGGCGCGACGCGGGCGCCCACGGCGGACGCCGCAACGCTGTGAAGGTGCTGGCGCGGGGAGCGGCGGATGCGCACCTCGTGGCCCTTCTTCGGCTGACCGCACTTCCCGCACCTGCGCGTTGGGTAGCGTAGAGTGCCACGCAGTCAGTTTCGCGGCATGCGACGCCCGCATGGCCGCCGCCGAGCGCGCATGGCCAACAGTCACTGGGCGGGTTCACGAGCGCGCCACGACGCGGCGCATAGAGGCCCTTACTTATAGTTCCCTCGATTGGCCTTTTTCTTAGCTTCTATTTCGGCGGGCACCGCCTCGTCGCGTCGCTCGCTCACACGAGCCCTCATCCTCCTCTGCCCGAGGCCCTGCGCTCGACGTGTCCAGCCCGAGCCGTTGAACGCCGACGTGTGCCGTGGCCAACACCTAGCAATCAAACATGCTTCTGGCGGCGCACCCCAGCGCTGCACCCAAATCGCGCCCGCGCATGCGGCCCAGCTGCCCGACCTCGTGCACCGACACAGAGTGCGTCAGGCCCGTCCAGCCCACAAAACCCGCGCGGCCTTCTCGTCGCGGCGCCTTCGAAAAACGACGCATCACGTGTCTCCGGCCACCACGGTTCCTCAGTTGCCTGGCGCTGCGGGGCACCAAGCCCCCGCCTGCCTGTGGCCTCTGGAGGACGCCCGCGGGTCGTCGGGGACGGATCGACAGTGCGACGCAGCAGGTGCGACTTCCGCGTGCACGCCCGGAGACAGCGGGTCCCGGGCGAAAGCTCCCCGCGGACGCAGGCACGTCTCTCTCCCTCTTCCCTCACCGCCAGCGCCTGCGTATATACCGCGGCGAGCTTTCGGGCTGCGGAGGGCCGAGCGCGGCGTCCTGCGACCGCCCTGATGGCGGACACCGCTCCCGCTGCGTCGCACGCGGCCGGGATCGTTCCGCAACGGGGTTGCGTAGCTGTTGAACATGCACGCGTCAGTCGTGGCTGCGCGCCCCTGTTCGAGGCTGCCCCGTCGCGCGCTCCGCACCTGAACGTGCGCTGCGTTGCACGGGCCGCGTCCTGCTCGGCACCGACGCGACGTCCGCGGCGTCCCGTGTCGATGTGGACGTCAGGGGCCGGGGGTGTTGGACCCAGGCTGACTCACCGCGCAGCATGGGCTCCGGGGCACATGTCCCGCGCGCGCGACGCTGCTCCTGCACGTGGCATTCTCGCTGCAATTTTGCACGGGCCTCGAAGGTTGTTCCCCACCGCTGTTAGACCGATTGCAGACAGGGGGTGCAACCTGGCACGGAGCGCGCCTGCGAAGTAGCCCAGCCTCGCTCGCGGGTTCGCCTGCGTTGGGTCAACTTCGTGATTGTCCGGGCGGTGAGATTCGAGCCCGATCCACGTGGCCCGCGCCGGGGAGGCACTAGTAGACTAGCAGGGCGTCGTGGTCGCCATGGCTCCGCTGAAGGCGTTTCAGGCCCCGTATCCGGACACTAGGCACTCACCTGGTATCCCAGATGCCGGCCCGGGCAACGGAACGACGCCTCCGGCCACAACCACGGCCCCGCCGCCCCCAGCAACGGACCCGGTGGCGGTGGCACGGATTTGCGCCAACGCGGTCGCGACAGCCGACCTGGACTGCGAGAACTCGATATTGTGGGCCGTCAACACGACCGCGACCGCGTCCTGCCACAAGTGCGTCGCGCCAGGCACCGAGGCGTGCCCCGCGGGCCACGGAGGCACCGACTGCTCCCAGTGCAGGAACGCCAACGCCTGTCCGCCGCTGCACCTCGAGAACGGCACGACGCTGGCCGCGGTGGGGTGCTCCTCCCACACGATCGCGCCGTCCCAGGAGGAGCTGTGGGGCATACCAGGCGCGATTCTCCCAGGCACGAGCCCCCCAACGACCCCCGCGGTCGCGCGCAGCGCACGCGCTCTCGCGACGCCGCTCCTTCCCCGCCGTCTCGTGCGGCTGGTCGGCGATCAGGTTCTGCCGGTTTCCCGCACATCACGCGCCCCGGACGGGGCCGCCAGCGCACGTCCACCTCTGCACGAAACTCGCCCGCGTCGGCGCGTCAGCGACGTTTTGACGCCACCGGCGCTCTGGCCCGACTCCGTGCTGACAGGTGTGCACGCACGTGCAGGGCGCGGCCTCGCGAGCGGTCCTCGGAGGCCGTACAAGGACCTGACGTGCAGGTGCGGCGGCGTGCCAAGCGACGAGTCCACCGCGTACGTCTGCGGCATGTCTACGGGCGACCTGGGCGAGGAGTTCAACTGGCAGTTCAAGGTCCACCCGCGCGGCGAGCAGGACCCCGGCGAGGTCGACATCTGGGTCCGTGCGCGCGCGCCCATGCCGTCGCAGGACGCCGAGCCCGACTGCACGGACGAGGAGCGGGAGCAGGGGACGTGCCCGACGCGCGAGAGGTATCGCTTTGCGTACCCGCAGTGGTGGGAGGGCAACCTGACGCGCTGCGCGTGGGGCGCGGCTGCTTGTACAGGCAAGGCACTCCCGGCATGACACTCGCTGTTGATTTGTGGGCACATCGAGGACTAGAACCGCCTTCTGACCGAACGCAGCGCTCGATCTGGTCGCTGACGCGACACGCTTCGCCACGCGAGGCCCGTGCCGCCCGGTGCCAGAACAAGCGGAGCGCTGACCGTCGTTGTTCGCTGGTGATTGCTGCGACCCGCAGGGCAGCTCGAGCACGCGGACGCGTCCGGGGCCGGGTGCATCCTCTACCAGTGCGCGGAGAGCTCGATCCAGTGTCCCGCGGGCGGCGTCGAGCGCTGCCCCGGCTTCCGCACCGTCCCGCCATACTGCGACAACCCCGCGGGCGAGGCGGACAAGTACTGGCAGCGCAACTGCAACCCCATCCTGCTGCCGCAGTCGGGCCTGCCCGCCAACCTGCAGTGCCTGGCCACGCCCGCCCCGGGGGGGCGTTTCCAGTGCTACTTCGACCAGGAGGGGGGGTATTTGGCGTCGCTGGGGCTGCAGTGCAGCACGGGCGCGTGCCTGTACGACGGGGGCGGGCCGACGCCGACGCCCGGCCCCGGGGGTGCGGGCAGGGCCAGTTTCGGCGAGGGCGCGTGTCTGGCGGTGCTGGGAGGGCTCATGTTGGCCCTGCTGGTCGTCGCGCACGGCCTGGTGCGCCGGGACGCTGCGCGGTCGCGGGCGCTGTGCCGCGCCGCTCTCGGGGACGACGTCGACGACGACGGGCCGGCGCAGCCGCAGCGGGTGTCGCAGGACGAGCATGGCGCGTCGGCAAGCGAGGAGGCCGCTCGCAGGGCGGGGTACGCGCCCGTGACGTCGGACGGGCTGGGCCGGGTACGGCCCGGGCGCCAAGCAGGACGCAGCTCCGCGCACGTGCGCTGGGGCGCGGTGCTCACCTGGACGGACGTGACCTACCACGTGTTTGACGCAGCGGGCCGGGCGCGCGCAGTCCTGCGTGGCGTTACGGGCGTCGCGGGCCCCGAGGCACTGACCGCCCCGCTCGCCGACGGCAGGGCGGGCCCCACCGCGGTCGAAGCCGCCGGCCGCCGCGGCTGCCTGCTCGCCGTAATGGGCCCGTCGGGCGCAGGCAAGACCTCCCTACTCGACGTGCTCGCTGGGCGGCGGCCCGAGTGCTGCGTGGGGGGCGAGATCACCGTCAACGGGCGGGTGGCGTCGCCGTCGGCGCTGCGGCGCGTCACCGGGTACGTCCTGCAGGACGACGTCCTGCACGGGACGTCGACGGCGTTCGAGTTTCTTATGTTCCACGCGGAGCTGCGGCTGCCGGGGAAGAGCCGCGAGGAGCGCGTCGGGCGCGTGCTCGGCGTGCTGTCGGAGCTGGGGCTGACTCGCGTGGCGCACAGCGTCGTCGGCGACGAGCTCGTCCGCGGCCTCTCTGGCGGCGAGCGCCGCAGGCTCTCCATCGCCGCCGAGCTGCTGGCGTCGCCGGGGCTGCTCCTGCTGGACGAGCCCACGTCGGGGCTGGACTCCACGAACGCCGCGCGCGTGGTGCGGCTCGCGGCGTGGCTCGCGCGGCGGGGGACGACGATCGTGATGTCGATCCACCAGCCGCGGCCGGACCTGCTGCGGCTGATGGACCGGCTGGTGCTGCTGTCGTCGCGCGGGCAGTGCGTGTACTCGGGCTCGATGGACCGCGCGTCCGCCATCCTCGAAGCCGCGGGGCGCCCCGCGCCCGACGCAGGCGTCAACATTGCCGACCACCTGCTGGACCTGATGATCGAGCTCCCGGAGGCGGAGGTGGACGCAATGGTGGCGACCTTCGAGCAGTCGGACGCGCACGCGGAGAACATGCGCGTGGCGCTGGCGCTAGAGCACGAACCGCTTGGGGTGCCGCACCCACGCAAGAGAGCCCCGCTCTCCGCACAGCTGCGCGCGCTGTGCGTCCGGAACCTCCGCGCGACGTACCGGCATCCGTTCGCCGTCAAGGTCAACCTCGTGGCCACCGCGGCGATGGCGCTCGCGCTCGCGCTGGCCTTCTGGGGCACTGGGACAGACACCGCGGGCATCCAGAACCGGTTCGGGGTGCTGTACTTCATCCTGCTGTTCCTGTCGCTCATGTCGATGTCCGCGCTGCCCATCTGGCGCGCGTCGAAGACGCTCATGCTCAAGGAGTCCTCCGGAGGGGTGTACTCGCCGTTTGCGTGGGTGGCGGCAGCGCTGGCGTCGGACGTGCTCCCGATGCGGCTCCTGCCCCCCGTGCTCTTCGCCGTCGTGTCGTACCTCCCGATCGGCCTCCATCCGGGCTCCGCAGGCGCGCTGCTGACCTTCACCGCCTCGCTGGTGCTCTCCAGCGGCGCGGCGTCGTCGCTGGCGATGGCCGTGGGCGCGGCCGCGGACTCGGGCGCCGTGGCCAACCTCGTCGGATCCCTCATCGTCATGTCCTTCCTCCTCTTCGGCGGCTTCCTCCTCAACCGCGACCTCGTCCCAGACAGTCTGCGCTGGGTGGCAACAGCGTCCTACTTCACGTACGCCTACGAGGCCCTCGCGGCGAACGAGTTCCACGGCTCGCCGCTCGACTTCACCTTCACGACGCCGCTCAACTCCACGCGCCTCCCGCCGCTGCGCGTGTCCGGCGACGGCGTGCTGCAAGAGTTTGGGTTTGATGCGCGGCGCATCCCCACGGACTTGGTGGCGCTGGTCGCGCTGTCCGTCGGCATGATCGCACTCGCGCTCCTGATCCTCGCCGTGCGTGCCGCGGCCGCGGGGCAGCGCGTCGCGAACTGGCTGCACCCGGAGCAGGCTGCGCTGGCGCTGGGGCGCGACGTGCATGGGCTGACGTGGACGGCGGCGGGCGCGGCGCAGGGCGAGCCGCCGGGCGCGGAGGAGGTCGTGGAGTCTGCGGACGACGTGCGGCACGCGGCGGGCGACGTCGCGCGGGGCACACATCCGTGGTCGCATCACATCCGCCGTCACGCTTCGGAGCACGGCGCGGCATCCGCGCTGCGGCTCGTCGCGTCGTACCTGCATCGCGGCGTCGCGGCGATCATCAAGTCGCCCTCGGCGCTGGTGCGCGCGGTGGCGATGTCGGCGCAGGACCGCGACCCCACACGCCCCGCGGGAGTCCCCCCCCATGACGCGGGGCTGTACCAGCAGCTCATCGCGCCCGACGAGCGCGACAGCGACCCCACGGAGGACGGCGACGTCGACACGGACGGCGAGGAGCCCGCGGCACCGCCGCGCCGGCGCACCTCGGACGTCGAGGAGAGCCACTCGGAGGTGTCGCTGCAGCACGGCATCAACGGGGCGCGGGCCGCGCCGGCCCGGCCGCAGGACGACGAGGGCGGGGCGGGGGCCTCGGGCGCCGACGTGGCGATCGACTTGGAGCCCGGGCGGGCGGCGGCGCAGCGTGAGATCGTGCCGGCGACGCGGGAGGAGTTGGCAGCGCGGGAGCGGGGCGCAGCGGCGGAGCGAGCGAGCGAGGGCGGCGACAGCGCTGCGCGGCTGTCTTGGGAGGGCATCGAGTACCGCGTGCCGCTGCCTGGCGGGGGAGGGACGCGGCTGGTGCTGCGTGGGCTCACGGGGTGGGCCGGCCCGCCTGTGGGAGGGGGCTGCGGGAAGCGGGGGTGCCTGGCGGCGATCCTGGGGCCGTCCGGCGCGGGAAAGACGTCGCTGCTCGACATCCTGGCCGGACGCAAGGATCCTGCGCGCGTGCGGGGCGTGGTGCGGCTGGGCGGCTACGTGGCACCGCCCGCAGCCCTGGCGCGGCGCATGGGCTACGTGCCGCAGAGCGACGTGCTGCCGGCGACCGCGACGGTGCTGGAGCACCTCGTCTTCCACGCGGAGCTGCGGCTGCCGGCGTCGCTCGGGCGCAGGGAGAAGGTCGACAGGGCGTGGCGGTTGATCACCGAGCTAGGTCTCAGCAAAGTGGCACACAGCGTCGTCGGTGACGAGCTCGTCCGCGGCCTCTCCGGCGGCGAGCGGCGCCGGCTCTCCATCGCAGCCGAGCTGCTGGCGTCGCCGGGGCTGCTCCTGCTCGACGAGCCCACGTCGGGGCTGGACTCTACAAACGCCGCGCGCGTGGTGAAGCTGGCCGACGCCCTGGCGCGGCGCGGGACGACGATCGTGATGTCGATCCACCAGCCGCGGCCGGACCTGCTGCGGCTGATGGACCGGCTGGTGCTGCTGTCGTCGCGCGGGCAGTGCGTGTACTCGGGCGCCGTCGACGACGCGCAGGACTTCCTGTCCGCCTGCGGACGCCCACCGCCGCCGCCGGGCATCGCGATCGCCGACCACCTGCTCGACCTCGCGGTCAACCTTCCGCAGCAGGAAATGGATGACATCGTCACGTTCCGCGCCGCCACTGCCGCGGCCGCCAAGGAGCGCGAGGTGGCGACGGCCCCGCCCGTGCCGGGGTCGGTGCCGTCGAGGAAGGGCCGCGCCCCGCTGCGCACGCAGCTGCGCGAGCTGTCCCTGCGCACCGTGCGGGCGTGGATGCGCCACCCGCTGTACGTGGGCGTCCACGTGGCGTCCGCGCTGTTCGTGGCCGGGGCGCTGGCGGCGGTGTACGCCGACACCGGGTACGACACGGGGGGCATTCAGAACCGCCTCGGGCTGCTGTTCTTCATGTTGCTCTACATGGCGCTCGTCTCGCTCTCGTCGCTCCCGCTCTGGTCGGACGCCCGCGCGCTGTTCCGCCGCGAGCGCGCCGCCGGCGCGTACGGCACGGCCGCGTACTTCGCGTCGGTCGCCGTCCTGGACCTCCTGAGCGTCCGCGTGGCGCCCGCGCTCTTCCTGGCGTGGATCACGGGCCCGACCGCTGCCCTGCGCCCCGGCGCGAGCCACCGCAACGGCATGTTCCTGGTGCTGGCCCTCGCCAACGCGGCCGCGTCGGGCCTCAACATGGCGATCGGGGCGGCGATCGAAGACACCGCGGTCGCCAACATGGCCGGCTGCATCGCCGCGCTGCTCGGCGTGCTCCTGGGCGGGTTCCTGCTCTCGCTGCGGGACGCCAGCCTCCTGCTCCGCCTGCCGTCGGTGCTGTCGTACGCGCGGCCGGCGTTCGAGGCGCTGCTGTCGAACGAGTTCCACGGAGCCGACGGGTTCAGGTTCACCGCGCACGTGCGCCCGGGCGTGCCGGCGGATGACGTGCCGCACGTGGACGTGACGGGCGACGAGGTGCTCGAGACGCTGGGGTTCCGGCCGGGCTTCTTCGCGAGAGGGCTGGTGGCGCTGGTGATGCAGATTGGCGGCGTGATGGCCGCGTCGTACGTGCTCCTGCGCGCACGCGGGCGCACGCAGGGGTGAGCGGCGCAGTGGTGTCGCGGTGCGCCCGGAGGCGGGGCTGTGAGGCCGAGCGGAGCGGCGGGCCGGGTGGTCACGGTGCAAGCTCGCGACGAAGTCCGCGTTGGGGCGCTGGGGAAGGTCGGACCACGCGGGATGTATGTGCGCCTGGGATGTGTGGGGTCCTGAGGCAGCACGACTGGTTCGACGCGTTGGAGGGCGTCGCGGCGGGAATCAATGCCGCGGCGAGCTGTCGGCCGGTGCTACTTCACGTTCGGTCCATTCCAAGGGTGGGTCGAACCTCGAATGTTCCCCGGGACGGCACCTGCTCTGTCGTTATCGGCCGACGCTTGACCGTCCGTCCTTGCGACGACCGAGCCAGTTCGCTCGGTTGCCGCCGCGGTTCTTGACTAAAAATGATATCTACTATCCGGTGCGCCGCAATGCGGTCTGTGCGGGCGTCGTTCCACGCCGGAATTCTGGTCGTCTTGCTGCTCGGCCTGAGGGTCGCGGCTTCAGGTGCGCACCCGGGCCTGGAAGCCGGTGTCGACCTCTTTGAGATGCACTTCCATCTTTGACGGCGGAATTCTGCTCTGATGCGACATTGTTGCGCGACGTTCGCGCGGATCCGCCAGGGACCCCAACGAACTGCTAGAAGCACGTCTCCACGGCGGCACAGTGGGTTCCGCCCCGCTTCTTGCACGCGACAGCACGTGTATTGACAGTAATTGCCCGTCCAGCGCGCGCACTTGTCGTGTTGAGCGACATCTACCCGTCGATGGTGTGGTCAAAGCTACGCACCGTCTCTGCTCACCTACCCGACATCCACGACATCTCCGACACGTTGCGCGGTCGCGATCGCGTGCAACATCTCGGTCGAGCCCCGCGATTGCGTTTTGGACTAATGCGAGGGTTCACCCGCGGCGTTCCGCGCAGGTTCACTGCAGTCAACAAACGATAACATCTTCGCGCGCCGCCGCGCCCTCGCGACGCGCGCCGCCGAGCAGCAGTCCGACCGGCTGCGCCGCCTCGGCTTTGCTGGCGAGGACGCCGTCACCCTCATGGCGGGCATGCACCCGCACCTCAGCCCCACGCGCCGCTACGCTGGCGTGCTGGAGCCGGTGGGCGGCGACAGCGAGGCGGTGTACGACTTCCGGACGACGGTGGCGGCGACGGGCCGCACGGCGCACCTCAAGCGGACGTACCGCGCGCAGCCGGGCGCGCACATTCTGGAGGCGTGGCCGGAGGGGAGCGTGAGCGTGGTGCGGTGCTCGCTGTCGCCGGTGGAGGGCGGGGCGGGGACGCTGGCGCTGGCGATGGACGACCTGGGGCGCGCGAACGAGTGGGGCGTGGGCACTGGGCTGGTGTCCGTGAGGTGGGTGTTGGCTACACGTCATGTGGCTCGCTTTCTCCGCGTTCAGCGACGCACATGGTCTGACCATACTCCCCTGTCGACCTGCGTGCGCTGCAGTGGTCTGGGCTGCCCCGACGCCGAGGGCGACGACGAGCACCAGCCGGGCTTTGCACAGCGCATCACGTCGCTGCGCGTGTCGGGCGGCGTGCTGGAGGTCGCCACCGAGACCATGAACCCCGATGCGCTGATGGCTGGCGTGACGGAGAGCTTCGAGACGGCGCCCGGGGCGCCGGAGGTCGTGATGCGCGCGCACTACGCGGGCCCCGAGTACGGCGTGCTGGACGGCAGCAAGTGCGACATCGAGCCCGTCGGCACGGCCGCGATGGACGCCGACGCGGCGGTGACGCTGGAGGACGACCTGGCCGCTCGCGTGTACCTGTACGCGACGGAGATGAACCTGGACGCGCTCGAGGCTGCTACCGGCGGGCAGTACGGCGTGGCGCTGGAGACGCGCGTGCACGGCGGCGCGCTGGAGCAGCACTCGCTGGCGTGTGCGGGCGTGGGCGGCGGCTCGCGCGTGTACCGTCAGATGCCGCTGGGCGACCTGCGTGAGGCCGACGCGAGCATGTGGGTGAACCTGGGGCGCGAGGGGGAGGAGTTTTTCTTCGAGGGCGTGGTGGCGCGGGCGATCGTGTCGGCGTCGCAGTTTGACGAGGCGGGCTTCTACACGCTGACGATGGGGAGCGAGCAGCACCCGGGGCTCGGCGAGGTGGTACTGTACTGTCCGCGGTGCGGGGAGCTGGCGACGAGGACGCTGGTGCGGGGCAGGCGCGCGCAGAGGATCCAGGAGTGTGCCTCGAATGATTATTTCTGCACCACAGACGCTCTGCGCCTCGGCTCCGCGGAGTACAGGCGCACGATCTACTTGCTGGGCGACGCAAACTCTGCTGTGGGCATCTCGCTGGACAACGTGCACGTGGGCGTCAGCGACGTGGTGCTGCGCTACAGGCTTAACTACGACGCGCCAACCTTGACCAGATGGTCGTCCTATATCGAGGCCCTGGCTGAGGTGTCGGGGTCGTACGAGTGGGGCTGGGGCATCAAGTACTGGGCTCGGGCTGGGGGGCGGCTTCAGCGCGGCCCCTGGGAAGTGACGATCGGCGATGTCGGCATCGACGCTCGCTTCGGGTTTGCTGGCTACGGCATGGGGGTATTCATTGGTGTCAAGCTGTCGTTAGCCACCCTTTTCGACATGAGCATTGGAGGCGCCAGCATCCAGGGCGGTACGGGCTCGGACTCGACGCAGCCGTTCACGTACTTCGTCAAGTGGGACTCAGACAACGGGCTCGGCTACGCCCGGGAGATCGGCAGCACCACGACTACGGACCGGGAGTACAGCGACTACAAGTACACCGACCGCGCGACCATCGACGCGGCCCTCACGTTCCGGCCAACCATGCGCGCCGGTCTCTTCTTCAACGACGCTCTCAAGGTCACCAGCACCTCGTGGGGCGCCGCGTACCTCGAGGCGTTTATCGACGTGGTGTTCCGCGCCTTCATCACGCTGGATTTCAACGGACTGCCGGCCTCGAACACGCCGCCAAGGGGCATCCTGACGGGGACTCCCAAGTTCACGCTCGGGGACTGCGGCGTCCCTCACCACATCGACGTGCAGGCGACGATCACGGTGTACCCGCTGCGGTTTTTCGTGTTCTACGAGTTCGACTTTCCCCTTTTCTCTTTGTTCGGGGGGCGGCGACCGTCTTCGGGATACTACGCGGCGTTCGAGCGTGGTACCGACGCTGACGGCAGAGCCACGATGTTCGGACCCTTCAACGTCCTGCGGGCCTGCCTGATTCCGGTGTCTGCCAGGAACCCCCCGCTGTTCTTCCCCACGACACTCCTGAAGTTGGACGTGTGGCAAAAATCTCGAAGTTCGTACAGCAACTGCCTGACTACCACCGCAAAGGACGCGCTCACGGCTCGGCTGGCGACAATAGCACGTGTCGATGAGGCGGACATCATGGTCACGGTCGACACCTGCAGCAGGAGGTCGGAACTGCTGTCAACACAAAGGGGCCTGCTGCAGACTGGGGTGGTCGCGCAGCCGCCGGCGGGCAACAAGCTGACAGCCACCGTCGAGCTGCTGGCGGCAACTGACAGTGGTGCACGTGCACTGAAAAACCCAGTTGTGTCGGGGCTGGCGACCCTGACGGACTCGCAGGCGTACCAGGACGGCAGCTCGGGGCTGGTGATCGGGGGCACGACGAGCGCTGTGGTGCTGCAGTCGACGCGCCAGTCGACATTCGACACGCCTGCCGCGGGACCGACCGCCACGACGGCGGCACCGACCACGGCAGCGGCGGAAACATTCACACCGATGCCGGGCTTGTCATATACGGTGGGCCCGGTGGGTTTCGGTTCGGGACAAGGCCCGGTTGCGGCACCGACCACGACAGCGGCCGAGACCACTCCGGCTGCGCCCACCACTCCGGGTGACCCCACGACGACAGAACCGCCCGTCACCACGGGACCGCATATCACCGCGCCATCTCGGACCTTTCCAATGTATTATTGGGTTACGGAACCGCCCGCCACGACGGAGCCGCCCCTCCCCACGTTGGCACCCGCCACGACAGGACCGACCACGCCAGCGGGGCCGACCACGCCAGCGGCGCCCCCGTTGTCGACGCCCTCGTACAATGCAGGGTTCGGTTCGGGGTTCGGTTCGGGACAAGGCCCGGCGGCGGCACCGACCGCGCCAGCGGCTGCGCCCACGATGGAGGCTGATGCGACATTCCATCCGGGCTACTTGGAGCTGTATATGTCGACCCCCACAGCGGCTGCACCTGTGACGACGGCAGCGCCCGAGACGGCGGCGCCCACGACGACGGCAGCGCTCACGACGGAGGCGGCGCCCACGCCCACGGCGGCGCCGACCGCGACAGCGGCACCGACCACGACAGCGGCGCCCACGACCACATCAGCGCCGACCACGACGGCGGCACCCACGACCACAGCAGCGCCGACCACGACGGCGGCGCCCACGACCACATCAGCGCCGACCACGACGGCGGCACCCACGACCACAGCAGCGCCGACCACGACGGCGGCGCCCACGACCACGGCGGCACCCACGACCACAGCAGCGCCGACCACGACGGCGGCACCCGGCACGACAAGACCGACCACGCCGGCGGCGCCCACGACGACAGCCGCATCAACGACCCAGGCACCTATCATCACGGCGGCGTCGGCCACAACGGAGGTTGCCACAACTCAACCTGCTGTCTCGCGGATCGTCTCTTTCGTGAACCTTGATTCCGACTGGTCGCCTTGCAGTGCGTCTTGTGGCGGTGGCACCCAGACGAATGAGGCCAGGTGCATGGAATACACTTACTTCTCGGCGAACGGCACGTACACGGCCGGTGCACGCGTACCCGACGCAGAGTGCATCAGTCAAGGTCTCGAGAAGCCGCCTCCTTCGCAGAGACTGTGCATCGAAGCAGCCTGCCCACGGCCACGGCTGCTCTTCGGGCCCTTTGGCGAGTGCAACGCCCAGTGCGGCGGCGGCGTGCGCTTCAGGACGGCCACCTGCGTGGACGAGGTCTCTCGGGCTCCGCTGCCCGCGTCGAGCTGCGGGTTCTCCCTCTCCCGGAACCTGTCTCTAGTGACCGAGGCCTGCAACACACAAGCCTGCGCTGACTTTGTCCTCGAGTACCCGGACACGTGGACAGCATGCCCGACGGGGTGCTGGGATCGTGCTGCAGGAGCGCCCATCCCCACGCAGACTCGATCTGCAATCTGCACCGACGGCAACAGCAACAGGCCTGTCGACATGGCCAGCTGCGTGGCCTTCGGACTCGAGCTCAACGCCGCGTTGCTGGAGCGGCCCTGCAAAGTGCAGCCGTGCGTCACTTACGAGTGGTCAACGGACAAATGGAGCGGCTGCGTGGACAGCGGCGGGCAGCTGGCGACGTGCGACGCCGGCAGCGGCGAACCGTACACGCAGACCCGCGCCGTGGTGTGCACGGGCAGCGACGGAAGCGTCGTGTCCGGCTCTGCTGCAACGGAAACGTGCGGGCCTTCACCGCCCACGTCGCGGCCGTGCACCAATTCTGCACCAGCCGCGAGCACACAGCACCTACCGCTGTGTCCGGGCATCGACGGGTGCAGCTCTCAGCCCTGCGCGTACTCCGCGGAGAGCGTACCCCTCGAGATGCGCAACAGATGCGTTCCGAACGGGGCGTCGTTCACGTGCGAGTGTGCCAGCGACAGTGCCGGCAACCCCCTGTACACCGGCACGCGGTGCGAGTCGGTCGTGCGGCCAGAGTGTCCCGCGCCGGGCAAGATGGTCGTGGTTGACGGCGCGGACACCTGCTGCGAGTCCGGAGTGTACACGTCGACCCTGGAGTGCTGTCCGTTCTCCGACATGGTCGAGGACGCCAACGGAGCCTGCTGCTTCCGGGACGCGCAGACCGCTGCGGGCCGCGGGCCTGCCCTGGACGGATGCAACGTCTGCGGGGGCCGCGGGCTGGCACGGATCGGCGGCGAGTGCTGCGAGGGCTACGCCGACAAGCATGGCAAGTGCTGTCCGCCGATCAACCCGTTCACGGGGCTGGCGCAGGAGGTCGACGACTGCGGGAATTGCGGCGGCAACAACGCCGAGTGCGGCTACGATGCAACCATCACCTTTGACGTCCCGCTGGCCAGCCGCGGCCACCCAGAACTCAACAGCAGCATTGAGACGTGGGCGGCACAGTCTACTGGCGTTGGAGCGCACAGAGCTCACTTGCGCAGGCGCAACAGCGGCGCATCGGGCGGCCTGGACGTCACGGTGTCCTTGAAGGGTGTCGAGCGCGACGGGGACAGGGTGCTGACTCAGGGGCAGATTGCCAGCGACATTGCAAGCGCTATCGCCAACGGCAAGGAGTTGCGGACACCAGGGAACGGACGCAAGGCGCGGGCGTCGCGCCGCCTCCTGCAGGCCCTCCTGGGAACAGGCAGTGGGTTTGAATCTGTGGGTACAAGCTCCGAGTGCGGGAACGGCGTGTGCGAAAGTGCATCGGAGACGGTAGTGATAGGACCTGATGGGCCTCAGTCGGGCTGCACGACGGTGGGACCCACGGGCGCGACGGACTGCGACAGCGCGATGTACTCGTGCAAGGCGCCCGACTGGCTTCCGACGCTTGCGTGCGGTGGCGTTGGCGCGTGCGTCGCGGATGATGCTGGCGCGCCGCTGCTACAGCAGGTGGCCATTTGCCAGTGCGACACGGGGTACGCAGGCGAGGCGTGTCAGCAGTGCGCGGCGGACTACGCCGAAGTCGAGGGCAGCCGTGCAGCGGGGGCACTGCAGTGCCTGCGAGTGACCGTCAGCGCCGCGCGCGCCATCCCCACTGACACCCCTGCGCCCACACCGACAGCTGCATCAGGCACTACACCGGCCCCCGCTTCAACGGACGCACCAGCAGCTTCCCCTGTCCCTGTCGTGACCAACGCACCTGCTGCAACCGCTGCCCCTGCGGCGACGCAGGCTCCTGCGGTCGCTCCTGTGCAAACACAAGCCGCTGCACAGGCGACGCCCTCGCCACCCAACCCGACCGCATCGCCGACCATCGGCCCCCCTGCCGTCGTGACCACGTCTGTCGATGTCGACGCGGATGCTCTCACCCCCACCGACCTCGACATCATCGCGGCGACGTTCTTCGAGGAGCTCTCCGCGACTGTGCCGGGGCTACAGCAGTCGGACGTGACGGCCCGCGTCGTGGGCACGGTGCGGCGGCGGCTGCTGGCGGTGCGCGTGGAGGTGATGGTGAGCTGCGCGGCGGGCGAGGCGGCGGCGCGGGAGGCGGCGTCGAGCATCGAGACGAAGCGGGCGAGCGGGCAGCTGCAGCAGGCGGTGGTAGCGAAGGGGCTGGCGGCTCCCGTGACGATCAGCGCGCCGACGATGAGGATGACCACTGGGAGGGTTTCCTCCGACGATGGGGGCACTGCGAGCGCGGGCGGTGGCTCGTTCAGCATTCCCATCGTGCCGGTCGCCGCGGCGGCGGGTGGCGGCGGGATCGCCATCGTTGCAGGCATCGTCGCGGCGGTGGTGATTCGTCACCGGCGGCGCCAGTCTCAGAGCAGTGATTCGTCGCCGAACCGGGCCGATGCGGGCGCGGAGGAGGCCGATGCGGGCGCGGAGGAGGCTGGCGAGGGCGCGGAGGAGGCTGGCGAGGGCGCGGAGGAGGCTGATGCTGGCGCAGCTGGACAGTTGAGGTCGCCTGCGGAGTCCCTGGCGTCCCGACGGTCGTCGATCGAACGGTATGAGATCGGATCACAAGACGGCAGTGGCCCGCGGGCGAGTTACGCGTGACCTCTGCGTGCCGACAGCACGCGTGGAAGCACACACGCGCGTTCACGCACACGTGTCCCGGACGACGTGGCCCGCAAGGGCGTGCGTGGGCGAGCACACACTGCACTGTAAATACATGCGATGCACCGTCGTCGCACGAGCCAGGCCTCAGCCGCGCAAGTGCCAGCGTCTGCCGGTGATGATCCCTTTTCGCATGACAGGCCACGCGCGGGGGACGGCGATGACGAGGAGAGCTGAGTAGCCGTCGGCGCGTCGCCACACAACGCGGACAATGCCGCAGACTCAGTCACCGCTGTCACCCAGCCGGCTGCCGACACCCCCTGGTACAAGCAGCCTAGGACGTGGACCAGCACTTCGGCGCGTCGGCTGGCGGGCGTCGTCCAGTACTCGCGCGGCTCGCCGCGTTGTTGCTGACGACGCCCGCCACTCACTCTAACTGATTGCAGGTCAGAGCCTTCCCTTGGCACATGATGGCACGCTCACATGGCATTTCGCGCGAGTACTCCTAGCACGCTGCCGCCTTGATCAGGACGATAGCACACCCGCATTTCGTTTCGTGCGCGGGTGGTCAATTACTACTCTGTGTGTCGTGTTGTGCTGCGCCGGGCCTCGAACATGGGGCTTTGGCGCAGTGCCAGCTGAGAGCTACCTCCCTACTCCGGCCTTCAACCGTCGGCGTAGACGAGCCTGCCTCCGGCTAACTGACTCCGCCGTCTCACGTCCGTGGCTCACCGCCCGGCGTGCTAGGAACGCGCAACTTAGGTAGAGCTCTCCCCGTCATCGTCGCCCTCCCGTCGTGGCTTGATTACTGCATCCTCGGTCTAGTTCCGCACACCACCCTCTTTTCACCCCCAAAACCTCTCACCATGCGCACTCCAATCGGTCGCCGACGGAGGAAACGGCTCCAAGCAGCGTTGCGTCTCAGCGACCAGGCCGGCACCGCCGAGGCGCGCACGCTGCGTGGCCACCTTTCGAATGGCACCCTGTTCCACCATGTCGCAAATCTAAATGACCACGACCCGAACTTTCGACCCAGCATCACGCACGCACGCCGCATCGCGGCCGCTATTGCTCCGCAGGCATCTCCCCGTGCCTGGCCCCCTCCTAGCCCCCACCACACACCCTCCCACCCCGCCTCCGCACTAGCCCCTCGACCCTACTGGGACTACGTGCCCCGCGACGAACGGGCGCCCGCATACCCGCACCCGTGCCCCCCACCGAGCGCTCCTTTCCCACCGCCCCCGCCGGCGCTCTCGGACCTCGCCGCGCTACCATCGGTCACGGCAAACCCCCCGCTTGCGGCGCGCGGGGTTGTCTATGTCCTCTTGTGCCGGAAATACCCCTTCTTTTACTATGTCGGGGAGACATACCGCACAGCGATCGAACGACTGCAGGAGCACTTTGATGCAGCATTCACGCACCATCCGAACGCCGTGCACACCCCGCTTTACGAGTTTATGCGACGAGTGTGGGCGCAGTCGCCGAACGGCCATGTCCCGTGGCGCGACTTCACCATCGTGCCCCTCTTTCGCATCAATTTCGCACGCCAGGTGCCCATCCCGCCGGCGACTAGCCCGGACGCTTTGAAGGCCTGGTTCCACAAGTTCCGCACCTACTCCCTGGCCTGGGAGCAGACCATGATACGCTGTCTGGGCTCCACATACCCCGGCGGCCTCAATTACTGCAAGGGCATGTGGAATTTCGGCTACGGAGCTGGCCACTCTGATGCTGCCCCATGGCCTCTATCCCCCCTGGCGTTCCAAATCGCCGCTGACCCCCACCCCGTAGCGATCCCCCACAACGACTTCCCCGTCCCGCCCGGCCCGAGTGGGCTCCCAGCGCTGGCGACCCTCTTCCAGCCAACGTTTGCCATCTCCTCCACGCATCAACGTACCATCCACCTCGACGCTGACAACTGCCTCACAACTACGGCACCAGCGTTGTCCCTGCCCCCCGCTATCGCAGGCATGTCTCCGCGCCTCGGTACACGCGAGTATATCTACCAGACTCGCCTCCTTCTTGACGTTGTTTTGTTCCGCCGCGCCGGCGACACAGAGCACGATCATTGGAGACGCGCGGTGAACCATTGCACGGCAGCGAACATCGGAAAATACCTCTTCTCCCTCCATCACTGCGTGTCGCACATGCATCCCGATGCGCTTAACCTGGGTCTCGACGAGCCCTTTTACACACAGCAGATGTTGGACAGTGCCCGCACCGTTTTGCAGGCCGCCATCAACCACCACTACCCTCCCGTCGCAGACATCGACCTCGGGAGCCGTACCCTCATGATCCACGACTTCCCTACCCCCCTGGCTAGCCTCGCCCCCCTCGAAACCCTCGTCAATAATGATGACTTTCTCAACCTCTTACCTGAGCGTATCCGCGAAGGTATGGATGGCTTGTTTCTGGTGGCCCCGCGCTATTCGGTCAGGTTTCCACCGCTGTCGCGCTCGGTGTGCACGCACAGCGGAGTTGCCAAGTTTGCACGCAGTCGCCTGTACGACATCATGGCGACGCAGTGCGACTGTGCGCAACACCAAGGACCGGACCTACGACGCCACTTCACGCTCGAGGACCCCTACTGGCAGATCGACGGCGAGCCTGTGCGGCACCTCTGCACGCTGGACCCTGCTGCGGCGGGCATCCAGAGCACCGCGTACCGCCGTTTGTTCGCCGTCGGCGGTGCCAAGCACCGACACGTCCCGGAGCTGCACCAAGCCACGAGCGCGACCGTAGCTAGCATCGTTGAAGCCTACCAGAAGCCGCTGCTCGGGTGGACGAAACGCGTCAGCAAGGCCGCCGACATGGACGCGGCAGCGTGCATGCCGTACATTGATGCTATACTTGCTGCTACGCAAACGGCACTCCAACCCGCTCTTCAACCCGGGTTCCGCCTTCCATGGCCCCCGCCGCTGGCGGACATTCAGCCCGACGATCGCGTGGCTCTGCGGCGAGACGCGACACGCCTCACCATCACGACCATGGACAAGAACGCCGGGAATTTGGTTTTCGTGTGTCGGCGCGCCTACATCGAGGTCCTCCTGCACGACCTGCACAGCAACGACGCTTTCGCTGTCAACGAGCCGGCAAATGCCAACATCACGCATGCCAGGCACGTGGTGAACGTCGCTAACACGACGGAGGCTATGTTGGACAACCTGCAGCTACCAGGAATACGCACCGAACGCGAGTGCGGTGGTCTACCGCACTACTACGGGACGATGAAGCTTCACAAGGCCAAGGTGGACGTGCGGTACATCTCGGACTGCTCGAGCGACATCACGCGCCCCGCAGCGCAGCTGCTGACGAAGGCCCTCGGCGCGCTCATGTGCCACGCCACCCTCGTGGAGGTCTGGAGCTCCATCTTCGACGGCGTCCCGGAGGACCTCTGCAGCAGCTTCGCGCCCTTCTTGGTGGACTCCAGCCGCGGCATGCGTGACATGGTGACCGCGTATCTACATGACAACCCACCACGCTCAGCGATACATGCTCAACAACCACCTCTGCTGCTGGGCGCCGACATCAAGCGGCTCTACACGCACATCCGGCACGAGACGAGCGCGGACCACGGGACCGGCCTCATCGACTGCGTCATCGAACACATCGACGCTGTTTTTGCACTGCATCCAGGGCAACACCTCCTGATCGACTTGCAACCCGCGTTTGACGCGAGGGAGACGTGGTGGTGGGTGGCGCAGCTGCCGGACGCGGACGGCATGGTTGGGAAATGGGCACCGAGCATCGAGCAACTTCATGGTCTCGTGCACATCCTCGTCAAACGCGCCTACGTGGTGTTCGGGGGCGTCGTATATCACCAGACCTGCGGTGTGCCCATGGGGCTCTCGGCCTCCCCCCACCTCGCGAACTGCTACATGTTCCGGCATGAGCTCGCGTTCCTCTGCCAGTTTCGCGACCGCTGGTTGAGCACTGGCGACGTCGCTTGGCTGAAGGTCTTGGGGTCTTTCCGTTATTCCAGGCGCTACATCGACGACAATTTCTCTCTCGCGAACGCACTGTACCGCTACTTCAACACCCACCCCCGCCCCCCCACCCCGCCCCCCGAAACCCCGTCGTCGATCGTAGATCTCATCTCTGGTATACATAACATGTACCCCCCCTGTCTTGAGGTCGAATTTGACGCCCCAGCGAACCCGCTCGACGGTGTCTCCTTCCTAGACCTCCGCGTGCGTCCGCATCCCGAATATCAGGGCTTCCTCCTGATCTCGCACTATGACAAACGCGGTCTGTTTCCTGAGAACATTCACCTCATACAGTACCCCCACGCTTCGTGTGCGCTGCTGCGACGACACCTTTACAACATCGTCCGCACCGAACACATCCGCGTGTCCAGCGAGGTGACTGACCGCGACAGCTACGTAGCCAAGATGTCGGCCATGATGCGCTACATGCGTACGCATCGAGGTTACTGCATGCGACAGGTCCTGGCGATCCACCGCGCCGCCTGCCGGACGCACCCGAGCCCGCATTTTGGCCCTGCCACGCCGGCGGGCCTGGCTGACCTCGTGCGTCGCCACGTGCAGTTTGCAGACCATACTGGCCAACCTGCTGACAGGGCGTGCCCGGCGCCCTGCAACTCGTCACCCTCATACATGATCCCGGCGCTGCGAAGCTGGCTCGGAACTATCCAGCCATGCCCGCACACATGACGCACTCTGTTACCCCCCCGATGTTGACATGTTGGCCATGCGCGTATTCCGTGGCCGCTAGACCGAGGTATGATCCCTTTTCGCATGACAGGCCACGCGCGGGGACGGCGATGACGAGGAGAGCTGAGTAGCCGTCGGCGCGTCGCCACACAACGCGGACAATGCCGCAGACTCAGTCACCGCTGTCACCCAGCCGGCTGCCGACACCCCCTGGTACAAGCAGCCTAGGACGTGGACCAGCACTTCGGCGCGTCGGCTGGCGGGCGTCGTCCAGTACTCGCGCGGCTCGCCGCGTTGTTGCTGACGACGCCCGCCACTCACTCTAACTGATTGCAGGTCAGAGCCTTCCCTTGGCACATGATGGCACGCTCACATGGCATTTCGCGCGAGTACTCCTAGCACGCTGCCGCCTTGATCAGGACGATAGCACACCCGCATTTCGTTTCGTGCGCGGGTGGTCAATTACTACTCTGTGAACTTGCGATCCCCGAGTTCCTCGCACTTCGCACGTCTGCGCAACCCAGCGACGGCTAAGGGCCCGGGGGGGTGATGTGTCCGCGTTGTGCACGTCGGCGCAGCTCCGCGAGCACTCGGATGACCTGCTCCGGCGGTCCTTTCTCAGCCCCGGTAGCTGGCGTCCTCGCCAAGCGTGTCCGGTGCTGTAACTGACTGCCTCTGTTCATGTCGCTGCGTCAGGGGGGTGTGACGAGCCTGACACGTGTCGCCAGCCGACGAGGTCCTCGAGGCCCGCGGCTGGTCTGGCACCCGGATAGTAGCTGCGGTGCCTACCGTGCACGCCCTCCTCTCGCTTCTGAGCGACACATGCTCGCACGCAAGCAGCTTGTCGTGCTGTGACAGGCTCCCAGAAGCACGTTGCGAGGAATCCATCACCGCGAGGCCGTGCGGCTTGATACATAGGCCTGACCTCAAGGGGGCAGCTTCGCCAGCGGCGCGTCTCGAGCCCGGTGCGCGGGGGTCGCTCTGCTGCTGTCCTTTTTGGCACGCTCGCGGGCGAAGATCTGCAGGGACGCGCCCGCCCCGCGCAACAGGGACCCGAACAAGCTGCAGCGCTCGGGCGAGCGCGAGAAGATCAAGGAGCTGCTCGTGGTGCGTCCCCGGGACCGACGAGGCCCGCGCGAGCTGTTGCAGCCGCGCTGGCGCAGCAGGGGCGGGCGGGATGGATGTTTGGGAGCGCGACGGTCGAAATCATTAGAATGACGAGCAGGCGGCGCCGCCATGCAGCGGCAGGCACGCGCCGGCGGGCGCGCAACGGCCACTTTGAGGTCCTGGGTGCACTCGTTGCACGCATGCGCGCCCACGCGTGCCTGCTGGTACCTGTCTCATGCAGGGGCGACGGACTGGCTCGTCGCGACCACGGCCCGCCGCCTCCAGCAACACGCCCTGCGGCAGTGGCAAGGATGCACACCAGTGCGGCCGCCACAGCCAGCCTCGACTGCGAGGGGTCCACGGTGCGGGGCGTCGACGCAGCCCGTCGGGTGGGACGGCAGTGCGTGGCGGCGGCACGGACGGGTGCCCGCTCACCGGGCTCGTGCGCCCGGGCGCGCCGGCGGATGCCGCGCTGCATTATTCACGCAGTCTCCTCTGAATTAAAAGACGCGACGGGCGACGAGATGCTAGGGCTTCGGACGGTCAAAACGTCGCGAGGGGACTGGCGGCACTGAGGATGCAGGCTGGCGGCGTGACGGCGTCGTACGTGCTCCTCTGCGCACGAGGGAGCACATGGCGGCGGGGGCTGCGTGCGGTGTCGTCGTGATGCGTCTGAAGAGGCGTTTGGAGGTCGGGGACATCGGCGGGCCGGGTGGTGACGGCGCAAGTATGCGAAAAGGTCCACGTCGGGGCGTTGGAGAAGGTCGGGCCACGCGGGATGTGCGCCGAGGCTGGAGATCCTCCTGAGCTGGCTTGGGGGTGGGGAATGGACCTCGAGGGACGCACTGCGGCGCGTCGCAGCGGGGGTCAACACGCGACGGGGCCGCGGACTAATACTACTTGGCGTTCGGTCCGTCTCGGGGTGGGTCGAACTTCGAAGGCCCGCGGGGCGGCACCTTCCGACCGTGCTGGGAGTGCGTCCTCTGTCCGTCAGCGACCGAGGCGACTTTGCGCGATTTACACCAACGCCTCCGTCGGACATGGTTTTCGCCATCCGGTCCGCCGCGATGCGGGCTGTGCGGGCGCTGCACCACGTCGGGGCGCTGGCCGTCTTTCTCGGCCTGCTGAGCGTCGTGGCCGCAGGTGTGTGCCTGGGTTCAAGAGCCCGCGTCGATCGCGGCGACGTGCAATCGTCGCAGACCGCGATGTTCCGCTCGGAGGCGGCGCCGCCGCGGCGTCAGTCGTGCGCACCCGCGACAGAACCTAAAGCCCTAGATGTCCCGTCTCCCCGCCGGTGCTGGCCGTTCTGCGACGAACCTCGCATCGCTGGCTCGCGTCAGCATGCGTACTGTTCACACGCGTCTGTGCGGGTGAAGACGTTCTGCACCGGGAAAGGCCTCGCTGCGTTCGCGTAGCAGGCCCAGCACCTGGTGTGGGCAAGCTGCACGTCCTCCTGCCCGCACGCTCTCAACTCGACCCCACGCACGCACCATGCAGCTGCAATGATCTCGTGATGTGTCCGGGTCAAGCGCAACGATGTCTATTCCGGCTCACTCGACGCTTGCTTCATGGCGCTTCCGTGCAGGGTCCCCGGCTGCCACAAACGACGTGTTCGCGCGCCGCCGCGCCCTCGCGACGCGCGCCGCCGAGCAGCAGTCCGACCGGCTGCGCCGGCTCGGCTTTGCTGGCGAGGACGCCGTCACCCTCATGGCCGGCATGCACCCACACCTCAGCCCCACGCGCCGCTACGCTGGCGTGCTGGAGCCGGTGGGCGGCGACAGCGAGGCGGTGTACGACTTCCGGACGACGGTGGCGGCGACGGGCCGCACGGCGCACCTCAAGCGGACGTACCGCGCGCAGCCGGGCGCGCACATTCTGGAGGCGTGGCCGGAGGGGAGCGTGAGCGTGGTGCGGTGCTCGCTGTCGCCGGTGGAGGGCGGGGCGGGGACGCTGGCGCTGGCGATGGACGACCTGGGGCGCGCGGACGAGTGGGGCGTGGGCACTGGGCTGGTGTCCGTGAGGTGGGTGTTGACTACACATCATGTGGCTCGCTTTCTCCGCGTTCAGCGACGCTCATGGTCTGACCCCTCTCTCCTTGTCTACCTGCGTGCGCTGCAGTGGTCTGGGCTGCCCCGACGCCGAGGGCGACGACGAGCACCAGCCGGGCTTCGCGCAGCGCATCACGTCGCTGCGCGTGTCGGGCGGCGTGCTGGAGGTCGCCACCGAGACTGTCGCGCCTGAGACGCTGATGGTGGGCGTGACGGAGAGCTTCGAGACGGCGCCCGGGGCGCCGGAGGTCGTGATGCGCGCGCACTATGCGGGCCCCGAGTACGGCGTGCTGGACGGCAACAAGTGCGACATCGAGCCCGTCGGCACGGCCGCGGTGGACGCCGACGCGGCGGCGACGCTGGAGGACGACCTGGCCGCTCGCGTGTACCTGTACGCGACGGAGATGAACCTGGACGCGCTAGAGGCTGCCATGGGTGGGCAGTACGGCATGGCGCTGGAGACGCGCGTGCACGGCGGCGCGCTGGAGCAGCACTCGCTGGCGTGCGCGGGCGTGGGCGGCGGCTCGCGCGTGTACCGTCAGATGCCGCTGGGCGACCTGCGTGAGGCCGACGCGAGCATGTGGGTGAACCTGGGGCGCGAGGGGGAGGAGTTTTTCTTCGAGGGCGTGGTGGCGCGGGCGATCGTGTCGGCGTCGCAGTTTGACGAGGCGGGCTTCTACACGCTGACGATGGGGAGCGAGCAGCACCCGGGGCTGGGCGAGGTGGTGCTGTACTGTCCGCGGTGCGGGGAGCTGGCGACGAGGACGCTGGTGCGGGGCAGGCGCGCGCAGACCAGCAGGATTGAGGAGTGTGGTGGTCTCTTCGATGCTGCCTGCATTGTCAGCGACCAGAACCTCGGCTCCGTGGAGTACCGCGACACGATCTACCTGGTGGGCAACAGATTCTCCGCTGTGGGCATCTCGCTGGACAACGTGCACGTGGGCGTCAGCGACGTGGTGCTGCGCTACAAGATGAACTACGACGCGCCCTTGACCTTGTTCAGTTCGTCCTATATCGAGGCCCTGGCTGAGGTGTCGGGGTCGTATGAGTGGGGCTGGGGCATCAAGTACTGGGCTCGGGCTGGGGGGCGGCTTCAGCGCGACAGACCCTGGGAACTGGGGATCGGCGATGTCGGCATCGACGCTTTCTTCGGCTTCGCTGGCTACGGCATGGGGGTATTCATTGGTGTCAAGCTGTCGTTCGCCACCCTCTTCGACATGAGCATTGGAGGCGCCAGCATCCAGGGCGGTACGGGCTCGGACTCGACGCAGCCGTTCACGTACTTCGTCAGGTGGGACTCAGACAACGGGCTCGACTACGCGCGCGAGATCGGCAGCACCACGACTACGGACCGCGAGTACAGCGACAACAAGTACACCGACCGCGCGACCATCGACGCGGCCCTCACGTTCCGGCCGATCGTGCGCGCCGGTCTCTTCTTCAACGACGCTCTCGAGGTCACCAGTACCTCGTGGGGCGCCGCGTACCTCGAGGCGTTTATCGACGTGGTGTTCCGCGCCTTCATCACGCTGGATTTCAACGGACTGCCGGCCTCGAACACGCCGCCAGCAGGAATCCTGACGGGGACTCCCAAGTTCACGCTCGGGAACTGCGGCGTTCCGTACCACATCGACGTGCAAGCGACCATCACGGTGTACCCGCTGCGGTTTTTCGTGTTCTACGAGTTCGACTTTCCCCTTTTCTCTTTGTTCGGGGGGCGGCTGCCGTCTTCGGGATACTACGAGGCGTTCACGCGCGGTTTCGATGCTGACGGCAGAGCCACGATGTTCGGGCCCTTCAACGTCCTGCGGGCCTGCCTGATTCCGGTGTCTTCCAGTAATCCCCCGCTGTTCTTCCCCACGACACTCCTGGAGTTGGACGTGTGGCAAAATACGGGATTTTCGTACGGCAGCTGCCTGACTTCCTCCGCGAAGGACGCGCTCACGGCCCGGCTGGCGTCGATTGCCGGTGTCGATGCGGCAGATGTCGTGGTCACGGTCAATACGTGCAGCAGGAGGTCAGCGGCACGGTCCGCACGGAGGGGCCTGCTGCAGTCTGGGGTTGTCGCGCAGCCGCCGGCGGGCAACAAGCTAACTGCCACCGTCGAGCTGCTGGCGGCAACTGACAGTGATGCAAGTGCACTGAAGGACCCAGTTGTGTCGGGGCTGTCGAGCCTGACGAGGTCGCAGGCGTACCAGGACGGCAGCTCGGGGCTGGTGATCGGGCGCACATCGAACGCGCAGGTGCTGCAGTCGCAGCGCTCGTCCGCGCTGCCTGCGCCGACGGCAGCACCGACCACGACGGCGGCACCGACCACCACGGCGGCGCCCACGACGACGGCGGCACCGACCACCACAGCGGCGCCCACGACGACAGCGGCGCCCACGACCACGGCGGCGCCCACCACGACGGCGGCACCCACCACGACGGCGGCGCCCACGACGACGGCGGCGCCCACGACGACGGCGGCGCCGACAACCACGGCGGCGCCCACCACAACGGCGGCGCCCACGACGACAGCGGCGCCCACGACGACGGCGGCGCCGACAACCACGGCGGCGCCCACCACGACGGCGGCACCCACCACGACGGCGGCACCCACCACGACGGCGGCGCCGACCACCACAGCGGCGCCCACAACAACGGCGGCGCCCACCACGACGGCGGC